GAGGACACGTGTGGACTGTAAAGGGAAGTAGACTTAAAATGGAGAGATGTTTTTACACAAACACTTGTAGGAGAGTGTAACAAGATGCCCAGACTTGGTCAGTTAGTTACTAGCAATCAAATGTGCTAGGAGAGTCAAATGCACTTGTCTCATTTGTAACCCTTCTGGATTTAAGTCCATTAAATATAGCACATTTTTGCTATGTAGCCTTTTAAGGGTTCTTTTTAATTCCTTGGTAATCGGCTATTTCATGTGCTTATTGATGAGACACGTGATGCTGTTTCTTTGCAGTCTTTGCAAGACCAGGCAAAGTATAGACCTCAAAATTAGAAATTAGTGCCTGTGGTGCATTTTAGCATATACAGTATATATAGTTTAAACACAGCCAAGATAAGTTCATAAACACTAGTCTCTTTCCTCCAGAAGGCAATGTTTTGGCTGAAATCATTTCCTGCTTCTAAAAATATAGATAGAAAGTAGTGAGATATTCTTTTAGAAATACATGAGGTTACTGGTGTTGCTATAGCTGATGTTCTGCTGTTTTCAGTTGCTGTAGACCTACTGGCTACATTACAGTGACATGGACCTGTAAAAGAGGCAGAACCTTTTTCTGTGCAATATCCAATACTGCATCTTGACGGGAGTTCTGCCAATTATTAACTTTGCCAAATTGTTCTCTAGCCAGACCTAAACACAGTGGACCTCAAACAAAGATCATTCTAGAGTGTAGACACAATTTGCCACATCAAATACTGTCACCCGTTTCAGCTTTCTTTAGAAAAGGTAAAGATTTCTCCACTGTTCGGAAAACACTTTCAAGTTCAAAACGTCAATTCCTAGTTTCAACAAAGTCATGACTGTGTGCAAAGACCTATCACTGCTACAAGATCTTCACCATTGAGCTCATGCTCAATTTACCCTATGCTCAAAGTTAATTTCAACCTCCGAAAAGGCAGCAGGATATATAGAGAAACACTCACATCCATATGTATATACATTATATCTTAATAGACATGCATACTTATACAAGGGTGTTTCAATAAAAAAGTAAAAAACCTTCCCCTGATAATGCATTATAATAAAGCTGCAATGCCCAATAATAAGATCAAAATATACTTCACTTTTCCACTTAGTCTCTAAACCTGCTCAAGCATGAGAGCCACATTGACACAAAGAGATCTTGACACTCCTCCTACCTGTAACACAAATGTGTGGCCGGGCATTATTTATTATTATGTCTTGTCTGTCATAAGATACATATTCTACAGTGCTTACCCACATTCAGACTGACTAGGAGAGGTCTTCCTACCTTAAGAATTGAAATGGCCTCTTATTCTGTACATTAGTTACTGTACAAGAGGTTCATCCAAAAACATTCATAGGTTGCTCAGCTTTTCTGAAAAAAAGAAAGACACATCATAATGGTTTTAAAAAAACTTCCTCTTGTGTCAGTAGTTATCTGCTACTTAGACTGCGACCGAGGATGACAGGATATGAGTAAGTCATGGAATTTATAGTAAAGAAGAACAAGCCCTACTCCCCCACCATCAGTCCTTGTAAAGATTTTTTTCTTCCTCTCAAACTTTTGAGTTTTTTGCATATAATTGACATCCATCTGTTTTCTAACTCCTTTTTCCAATTCAGGGTTACAGGGGACCTGGAGCCTACCCTGGCAAGTCGCAGGCACAAGGATACAGCCTGGATTGGATGCCAGTCCATCGCAGGGAACGCACACAGATACCGACTCACACACTCACAAGAGGGCCAGTTTTCTCAGAAGCCAATTACCCTACAAGTATGTATTTGAACTGTGGGAGAAAACATGCAGACACCACCCAGATAGCAACCCAGGCCCCAGCACTGTAAGGCACTGCTGCCATAGTTAGATCACACCATTTCAGCGGTGTGTGACACCTGAAGAAGGCTCGTCAGTCGAAACATTCTGACTTTTCTTTCTTTCTGCTTTTCAGCATGGAATTAACCTCTACTTGTACATTCGCAGCACTCAGACTAACAGACTGACAAATCTCCCCACCTGAGCATATACTGTATTAAACAAACTCAACAAGATCTTTTTTATTTTTCTGATTTTTAAAATCTACTGTGACGTTTGTGTACAGGTTTCTCCAACATGTTGGTATACAACTTTTTCTGTTTTCTTGAAAGGAGCAGAAAAGATTACAGAAATCTATGTAAATTAATGCGTTGTCCTAATTATCTGCTGTGAGCGTGAAGCCTTTTACCAGAACCTTAATAGAGCTTCTGAAGTTTGGATAAGGTCCAAAAAGTTTAAGAATTAAGTTTCTGTTGAAGAGCGCAATATTTAAATTCAACAAAACAAAAATCGAACAGTTCCTGAAATTTGACAGTAGATGCTGATATTTAAAAAAAAAAGTCAATTTGTCGTTCATGACAAACGTTCACAACAACTGATTTATATTGAAACACAGCGCATTGTGTTTTTTCACATAAGCAGACTTTTCCCCTGAGGTTTTTTAGCTTCTCACTGGTTAGCAGAAACAGAAATCAATCTTAGAAAAACAACTCCTTACATGTAGATTTTTTTCATCAGTAAAAATACGCATTTAAAATCAAATACCACTAGGGTGGGATAAATACTGTACTTTCTTCATGGTTAAAGGACTTAACGTAAAAGCCATAAACTTCTATTTATTAAAAAATCACTGTGCACCATAAAATATTTGCTTATAACTTTACATGACCATCCATGAATATTGCTAGGTGTTTTTCATCAATAATATAGCAAAAGCTAATCCTTCCACCATTAAAATGTTATGTTCCCACCCATTAACCTAGAAGATGACATACAGTGTAAAAGTTTAGAAATGTGCAAACATCTAATGGCTACTAGATTCCTTACATTTTCCAAGGATTCTAAATCCAAAGAATTAGAATTTGTAGTCCCTCACCTGTCCTGTGGAGAGTGGTGTGAGATAGTGACTGTTCTCCTCAGAGTCGTGTGTGCTGCCTTTACAAGAAAACACGCTGAGCTCTCTGTCGATCGAGGTGACTAGTTTCCTCCCAGCATCAGCTCTATTTCAGGACACTCCTCTTTGTCTGCATCACTACTTCTGCTATCTGGTGACTCTGTGGCGAACATGCTCCAGAGAGCAGCACCCTTCCTCCCAATTCACTGTGCACACTCAACACTGCTGTCAAACTAATATGCTTTCCTTAACATCCTGATTTTTGTGATGAAGAAAGCGAGATTCGGAGGAAGAAGCTGAAGTCAATCTGTGGGCTAAGCCGCTGAGCTCTTTCTCCATGTTTTGCATGGAAATGGCGGGGAGTCCCACATGACGTTTACTACCAGAAAATTGACTCTCCTGGGGAAGAAGACAGAAGTCAACTTAGGGTGCAAGAAATGAGAACCTGTGATGGGCTGAATGCCCCGTTCTTGAAGGAACTGTTGCTGTGTTACTCAGGAGAGCAAGGCTTGTTTCAAATGTCTGCAAATTCAAGTACAAACATCAAGATGGTTCATAATCCATACTCAAATCGAGTTGCTCACCATGCCAGGCTTTTCCCTAGTTTCTAATGGGGTCCATCTTTCTCTTATATTTTCATTATTTTCTTAGAGACTAAGGACTGGAGAAAGTGATGTTGGCTGTGGTGGTGTCAGAGCACTGGGGTGACACCTCAGTCTACCCCATTACTGACCAGGAGCTGCTGCTGACGATGGGCCAGGATAAACTCTGCAGAGGTGCTGAGCTCCTCTCGTGGTCAGACCTGTGTAAACTGGGCGAGGAGAAGGTGCAATCTGGGCTATGTTGGCCCCTGTAGCAGTTCCCCATCATGAAAGCTGGGGCAGCTACATCTCAGGTCTGGAAGTCCTGGCTGAAGTGCTGTGTGGGAATGTGGGGGAGTAGACACACCTTGACATTTCAGGGCAGGTTTTGAGGAGCTTGACAGGTTGTGGGGGATCTATTGCTTTAGGTCTCCCTCCCCCAGGCTACTTTCTTGAGGATCTGAGAAACGCAAGGTCTGGAATTAGACTTTGTCCGGGCTGCTCTTTCCTATTTGTGTGAAGTAAAGTTAAGCCATGGTATACTGTCAAAACATGTCCATCCATTTTCTAACTGCTGGATCCAATTTATTGTTATTGCAGAGCTGGAGCCTATCCCAGCAAGCAACAGACGCACGGCAGGATACACCCTGGATGGGACACCAGTCCATCACAGGACGCATACACTCCACCAGGGCCGGTTTTCACAGAAGCCCATTAACCCAGCAGCATGTCTTTGGACTGTGGGAGGAAACCAGAGCATCCAGTGCAAACCCAAGCGAACACAGGGAGATCACACAAACTCTATGCAGGGAGCACCCCTGGAAATGAATGCATGTCCCCAACGCTGTGAGACAGCAATGCCAACCACAGCACCACTGTGTTGCCTGGCATAGTAACATATACTGTACTTCCAATTATGATGGGACTACAGAGTCTTGTTAACTGATATTACTTAGTAATTGGCTAATATATTTTCTGACATGGCTGAGTTAGTACATGATTATAGTTTTTGAATCAATAAATAACAGTAATATGTTAAACAGTTTCTGGCTCCTCTTTTTAAACTCCAACAGACCCATACAAGCTGTGTTATTGTCCATATTTGTCAAGAAACACAACCACAGCCACGTCTCAAGGGTGGCAACATGTACTTTATTTGGTCAAAATTCTTATTTAGTCTTAAATCAGTAAAATGACAAATTGAGATTTAAGATTTAAGTCGTCTGGGCTGACCATCTGTCCACCTAGCGTTTACCTTATGGTAAACATTAAGTTACTTTGCATTAACGACTTTATTAATAAATGCAATCCTATACCATAATAAAATGAGCATCCGTTCGACTCGCTAAATAACCTTGCAAATTCTAGTAAAGCAGACGGCATCGACACGCAGGCTTGAGGTCTCAAGCCCACCCCTTCCAGAGCACAAGCCCCGCCCCCCGCCCCGGGTCAGCGGCGCCCCGCCCGCGCATGCGCAGTCGCCCGGCCGTCCCGCTGATGTTTTGATGTGTGTCTCTCCCAGCTGCTTGTCCGCGCTTTCGGGCACTCCCAGCTTTCTCTCCCTGTGAGCCGGGCACTGCGATCTGAAACCCCGGACACCATGGCTGAACAGGGCCCGGGATCCGCCCCGCCTCCCCAGCACGACGGTAACGACCCCCCGTGTTTAAAGGCTCTTTCCCTTTTCGTGCGTGTGCTGTGGAGAATCAGGCCAGCGGCCTGCACAGCCCCGGGCTCGCCCTGCTGCCCGCGCCCGGCTGGGTCGCTCTCGCTGGCGCGTCGCTAGGCGCATCCTCTCCCTGTGTGACAGTCGCGTGTGGGGCTTCGACCACCTGATGTTTTCAGATGTTGACGCGATTTGGAGGTTTTGGGGAGCCTGGCGGGCAAGCGAAGCCGTCTACCCCCTTGCGGGCAGTGGCGCTGAACGGACCGACCTGTCACCGGCTCTTGCTCGCACGCTGGCGGGGGGGTTCAGGGTCGCTGGCGGGGCTCTCCGGTTCCCCCCTCTTTCCCGGTTTCTCAGATGCTCTGTTTTTGTCAGATTTGGCAGATGCCGTTACTGGCGGGCCGATACGCTCCTCTCTGTGACCCCGAGGGGCAGGGTGCTTGTGGGCAGTAATGCGATTGAGGGAACGGGCTGAAGACAGAGGAGCGTGACTCGACCCCTGTCAAGTGTGTTTATAAGGGCGACACCATGCACTGCTACCGCATAGAACCAGCAGACACGCTGATTAATGCTTGATCCATGCTGCGATATCCTGTGTAGAGCACTGTCTGCAGAATTTCCTTTCGTTCATGATGTCGGAAATAATTGAAAGGCGGTTTGGTTGTGCGTCAAAAGCACACATTTAAACATTTCCTTTACACTTGTTACGATCCGGTGCAAAACCAAATTGTTCAGTTGGCAGTTTTAAAGAAGTTAACACTTTTTATTCCCTGTGAGATTCGTACGGCCTAGCTATTGCGATATACCGCGTAGCTTTAAGAGACATTGTTCCTTTTAAAAAGGGAAAGATCTTTAAAATATGGTTTTTATACACTTGCAGGTTGTCAGCTACTAGAAGTTCTGGCAAGTTTTATAATGTTGCAGGCATAGAAAATGACTCACGTTACAAGCTGTAAACCACAGTGAACTAGAATATTTTCCTCCAGTGCCTAATAGTACAGTATGTCACATTAGGAGCTGAAGGGTAATTGTTAACTAAAGGTAACAAAGCTATAATTGCAAAAATTATAGCTTTTCACCCTTAGAAGTTAAGGTTGTTGAATGCAATTGCTCTCGTTTCAACATAAAAAAGATTATTTTAAAGAAAAAAAAACATTTGCATATACAGTATAGGAATCATGTTGTTATCTTCAATTCATGTTAATAGCTAAAACATTGCTAGAAATGATTAGAAGGATTACATTAACTTTGTATTTAAGTCCTTATAACTGTTGATTCCCAAATTAAAAGACGCATCTTTAAGGATCTAAGGGAATTGGATATTGTTCCGGCTAAGTGCTGCTGTCCTTCAGGATTAGATGGGGGGAAAAAAGTAACCAGATTTTTACAAAGTGAAAAAACATTTTTTTTATTAGATGATCCATTGTTTTAGCCCCTAAACAGTCCTGGGATTCTACTCATTTATAGACGCATTGAAGAGACAACACAGTGAGTTACGGTTAGCACTGCTCTCTCATAGTGTTTGATTCTAGGAACACCTGGTTTGTGGAGTTTGCATGTTCAGCTCATGTTCCCTGACTGTCCTGAGAGTGCTCTTGTTTCCTCCAGCCTCTCAACAACAAGCTGACTAGGGTAATTAGTGCTTCTAAATTACCTGTGTAGAAATACAGCTCAAAATGCAAATGCTTGCCTGTGCTGAAGGATTTGCATTCTGGACATTATGCTAGGCAGGCCTGTCTTGCACCTCGTACTGCTTGGTTAGGTTCCAGGTTGCTTCAGCACTTATCAGGGCTTTGCTGAGAAGAGAATTATGTCACATAGAAAACATTTATTGATAATGAGTAGTTGTGCATTGAAGCACTTGAAGTTAAGGAGTCAACCTTTTCTTACCTGTTGGAAAGAGTTGCTTGTCCTGTGGGTAAATGATTGACTGAGAATTTGAATCTCTACAGAGTAAATGTGAATCACAGGACTAGAGCATCTTGATTTTAGTTAAGAGTCAGGAATAAGCTCTGATATTTCAAGAGTGAAACCTAGATACAATTGCTTCTGCTTTTGCTATTTGAATGGGGGGGGGGGGAGGCTATAGGGTCACAAATAAGTGTCACGTTGTACTCGGAGCACAATGTGCATGACTCATGTACGTCTTCACAGCTTTCCCTGAGCCTTAAACCTTTCAACAAGCTTCTGGGTTCGACTATTCAGATTAGAATATAATGGTAATAGCAGAATCACTTTAAGAAAATGAACAGCTACTGTCAGACTTACTTCTGCTTCCTTATGGATTGTCCAGTGGGCCCCTAGAATCATTTTGTTTACCCTAAAGCTATCTGTGCGTAATATTAGTCCTAGTGTTGTGGTCTGTTTTGGTCTGTTAAAGGTTCTTATCTAATAAAATTTACATCCAGTCTTTTCTTGTGCTGTTCTGATTCTAATTTTATAATTTAAAATAACCATTCTTAAAATAATTATGTATTTTTATGTGCTGTTAACTTGAGTATCTTCCAGCCAGAGAAGGGTTATAAACCCAGGGCTGTAAGACATTGAACAGCAGGAACACAGGTGATTCACTTGGTCCTCTGCTCCATATAATCGTGAATCAAAAACAAGACAAACTTTTAAATGCTTAGAGTTTTTAATAACCCTCAGAAGGCGTTTTGAGGTGTATTTTTAACAGTTGAGTTCAGAATAAATGTAATGATAGTGACGGATGTTGTTCTAGTCCATTGTTCAGTCTTAGTGGAGTAGGCAACAACAGTTTGTTGCTGTTTTCATTGCGTGTGTCAGCTCCCAACTGCTGGTCCCAGCCATGCTAAATAATTCAGTGTTTCTGCAGGACTGTGGGCTTCTAAACCACAGTGTCAGTAACATGCTGTACATTGTATGCATTAAACAGTACCTCCAAAAGGCTTGGAAATCCACAGGGAATCATGCATTAGGAATATTAAAGGAGGTGAATTTTCAAACAGAGTGGACAGTTTCATTTTTTTGGCTTTCCCATCTTTTTTAAAAACGTAGTCATTTCATTTATAGCAAATGCAGAGCACCTGCTGCTGTTATTTTTAAATACCTCCGTAGCGTTGTTTATTCCCCAAAAAGTTACAAAAAGCTTTCTTACTGCTCATTTTATTAATTTTTTTGACGTTCTTTGTCTTTGCTTCTCTCCACCTCTGTTTATGCAAAATACGGGTTAAATGGGCTCCTCTCACCTGTGACTGTTCCTGTGTTCTTACATCTTGTTTTTCTTGTTTTTGATTTGTCTTTAAAGGTTTGTGCTTTGTATGTACGTTCAGCAGAGCCCTGGGGGATCACAGAGAGGCAGTTTGTTCGGGGCAGATGCATTTAAAATTGTTTAATTAGACAGACTTTGGATCAATATTTTTTTGCTATATTTTATTCTGTAATCAAAGCTAATGGTCTAGAATACGTGATATGGAATGGAAACCTGTTTTTTAACTACTGTGTTAAAAAACAGTAGTTTGTAAAACTCTCCTTTACTCTGATTATAGTCTTTTTGGAATTGGTCTTTTATTGTCTTTAGGTGGGCTGTTGCTGGCTTCAGGGGCAGAGTACATGTGGAATGCCCCTGTGCTGAAATGGAGATGTGAGATATCTACATTTAGGAAGGAGAATCACTGTTTTTCATGATGCAAATGTTAGTAATGTCACGATTTACTTCTCGGACTGCCATGAAGAATCCCACTTCCTTCTGGATTGAAATTTCACTTCTGTTTATTTTCTTCTTAATTTAGATTTTCTAGGAGAATTGCCAAACAGGAGTGTTATCATTATTTTTTTAAAGGCCCTGGAATGTTCTAGCATACGATAAACAGCAAGAATTACGTCCAGGGGTCAGGGATCATATTCAGCAGTATGTGACTGTTTTGAGCTCTATTTTACTTGCATTATCAAAATACATTCTGCTGAAGGTTGGCCTGCAATTAGGGATCCTCAGTCTGTCCAGGGCTGCCGTGAAATTACAAGCTCATGAGGGTGTTCTTTATAAAACACACATAACCAGAAAGGATGCCGTCATAACTAGACTGAGACTGACATTGTCAATGAATGCGGTGCAATTAATGAGCTCTGCCAGGGTAGGTTAGGAGCTTGTTGGGCGTTGTTGTTTTAATGTTTAGTATGACAGCAACTCCTGTGACTAGCTGGACATCAGCAGGCTTACAGTGATGTCGGCGATAGATGTGTGGCTTCTCCAGTCAGAGAGAACTCATCTGGGAGACACTTCAATGTGCATTCTTCAATGAGAATGTGAGGTGCTGTGATAAAGGATCATTTTAGTTATTACAGACACATTCAGGAAAATGTAAATTATTTTAAGCTCTCTTGGTAGTTTTAAAATCTTGAGAACCTTTACACATTCTTATCTTGTTTCAGGATGAGGGAAATACCCGTGTCTTTGCAGAATTAATGTAGTAAGGCCTGCACCATTGTCCATATCACATCACAGCCTGTGAGTACAAGTCCTCAGACTTATCCAGACATTTCTTGAGTGCAGCGTGGGCATCCTTTTCACTAGCATTGCCGGGCAGCTTGTTTCAGGCTCTCACAACCCTTTGTGTAAAATGTGCACCCCGATCTCAGCTTTAAAAGCACCTACAGTACTTGTAATTTTCAGGTTTGTGTCTCCTTGTTGATTCTTCAGAAAACCACTGGGTTGATTTTGTCATTGTTTTGAATCAGATGTCTGTCTGGTCTTCTCTATTCACGACTACAGTGATAGTTTTTTTTTTAATATGTCAGTATAGGTACTCTTTCAGCCTGGGTTTATGTCTGTTTGGATTTGTCAAGACTGATACCAGACCAGCACTATCTTTCTTTATAGTGACACAGTATTTTTCTTGCTGCCGTGTTTTACAATTTCAGCATAACATACCTTTACTTACATACTACAGATTGAATTAAGGTGTTTACCTTTTTTTATTGCTTCCAAACATATTCTGACTGAATTGAAATTACACTCCAGGAATGTAAGTTTTTCTGCATGCCTTCTTCTGAGAATGAATCTTTCATTAAGAACTTTTATCGAAATCCTTCAGAAAATCTCAATATACAGTACCTTATTGTATTCTTAGTTTATAGCCATTTCTTCTATTGCTTGTTCAGTGAATAGTCTAACAAGGTGGTTAAGCATGCTTTTTGACTTTTCTCCAGACCCTTATTAACATGCTGCACAGGTGATTCTCTGGGTTGTTTTTAATTGTCTTTCCATAACCTTGCATATAAGAGAAATAAGACATAGGCTGTTTGTATATAATTACCTGGTTTGGTGTTGCCACCCTTTTATGACTGTACTCTTCGGTTTCTAATTGCTCCCGACTCAGGAAGCTGCTGGAAGGCTTTTGTTAGTGGACTTTGAACTTCTCTTGTTCGGTTGGTAGAATATCATCATACCCTGGAGGATTTTTTTATCTTATGTGCTTCGAGTACCGCTTCAGTAATGATATTATTGAATATAGAACTTTATCTTCTTTGACAAAGTCCTTTCGCCTCTGTGAAATATTCGTTTAATCCTTCAGCCATTTCTCTTTTATCACCTCAAGTGTTCCTGTTCCTGAGACACTGTCATTTCACTTTTGTAATACAGAAAAAAAACTGTTTTTTTAGCCTCCATTATAATATTATATCCTAACTGTGGGCTTTTGTACTATACCTTTTTGCCAACTCATTATACACTTCATGTTTATCTAGGTCATGTTGTTTCTTAATCATTTAATAAAGTGCTGTCTTTTTCAGGTTATTTTTCGTTGTAGATTTATTCATGTCATTTGGGTCCCTGCTTTCTAGCCTTTCATTTGCTTACTCTTGGGGTGACTCGGAAGCAGTATTTAAACTACTGCCGTCCAATCTGATTCCATACAGTATGTGTCCTATTCCATTCAACTGCTATACTCTCTATCTCAATATTCTGTTTTCCTGCTGTTATCCATATCAAAGTATAGGATATTTCAGACCACATAACCTTGTACATTTAAAATACTCTGTGACTTTCTTTTATGTTATTTTTAATTTTGTGCATGTATGGCGTATGATACGTTGAGGAAGGTTTAGTGACAGTTGTTGGGGGGCCTTTACATACTGTACATGTCAAATCAAATAACATGCCAATTAGTGTGCATGTGTACATAAAAATACAAGCTCCCAGTGTTAACAGTCTGATCTCCCTGCAGTGCAGTCACACAGCTGTTTCTCTCTGTTTCCCTAGTGGGAGAGCTACAGAGGCGCCTGGCGGAGCTTGAACAGGAGCTGAAGCTCAAACAGCAGCTGGAGATGGAGTTCAATCAGAAGAGAGCCAAGTTCAAGGAGCTCTACCTGTCCAAGGAAGGTACGCCGCTGTCCGTTTTTTTACAAGCTTAGGTAACAGAGGTGGTAGTGGCCTGAAAGCAAATGTCTTCCAGTCTTCTTACATGGGTCCCCTCTTCGTGTAGACTGGGGTGCATCACCCAAAGGGCTGGCAGGCCTGGTATGTCTCTTTATGCCTGCAGCACACACATAATGGAGGAGAGAGTTAGATTGGTCTGGTTGTGTTAAAAACCTGGAAGCTGGTGTGTGTGAAAATGAAATCCTACAGACACAACCTGCCTCCAGAACTGGAGTTTTGCATTCTCAATCTGTACACTGGGACTCATCAGGCATTGGGTCAATATGAGCCGCAGTAGTGTGATGCTTTGATTCGCCTTATTCCTGGGAGGTTGAATCAGAATTTAGCAATTAGTCTTTTTAACTCTTTTGCTTTCACACTGTCTCTTTTGTCCACGCCTCTGTTAATTCTCAGTGCAATCTCCGCTTTCTTTAAAACATCTTCCCCCCCTCTGTTGTGTTATTCTTGATTCCCCAGCTCTTTCACTATTTTTTTTCTTATCCCTTTCCCCACTGTTCTGGGTTTGTGTAGAGGAGCTGAAGAGGCAGGGGGCTTCCCTGGAGACATCCCAGGTGGAGCTGAGCCGGCTGCAAGCTAAACTAGCAGATGCCCAGGCAGAGATGGAGAATATTAAGGCCGTCGCCACTGTGTCTGAGAGCACGAAACAGGAGGCCATTGACCAGGTGAAGAGGCAGTGGCAGGAGGAGGTGGCCTCACTTCAGGCCATTATGAAAGGTACTGGAGCTGTCCCACTGTCTGTCTGCCAGCACTGTAGCAGGGATCTCCCAGTAGAAAGCATGAGTAGTGCTCCACTGTCATATCTGTTTTGCAGCATCATTTTCTCGAGATTTATATTAAGTGCATTATTGTAGCAAGCTCACTCAATGCAACATGGAATGCCAGAGGGCAGAAAGTAACATTTGCAAAAAGCAGCGTCCAGAGGATTCCACTCTGCGCCAAGATCAACCTGGTCCTTCTCCATACTTATTGATATCGCACCATTGTCTTCTGTAACCAGGAGAACATAGGAAGGTATCCATCTTCCTGTGGTTCAAAGACTTTCTGTATCAAAACAGAACACAAAGGTGTTTTTTATCTGTTTTATTGTTACCATACAACTGTATGTTAAGTTAAAGATTAGTAGTACTATTTTTTTGTAGTACTATTTTTATATCTGATTGTTGAAATATCTGTAAAATAGAGCCACGACACATCCTTGACCTTTCTTGCATCAGAGGTTGGAGTTAATTATGTGCAAAGGTCCTCGAAGCTTGCTACAACAGGCGAGGATTTTCCAAAATACGCAGTCCTTTACAGCAAAATTTACTTACTGCCGTTGACAAATTTAAGGCGGCCCAGTGGCGCAGTGGTTACGTTTGCTGGCTCACGGCACAGGGGCGCAGGGTTCAATTCCAGCCCTGGGGTGCTGTCTGCGGTGGACTGGCCTCCTGTCCAGGGAGTATCCCGCCTTCCTCCTGGGGTAGACTCCCAGTTCCCTTGCGACCCTGCACTGGATAAAGCTGTCAGATGATGAACGGATGGATGTTTGCAAATCTATCTTCAAAGCCTGAAAACTTGTTTTACAAGCAAAATAATGACTTCACCACTGCCTGGATGGCATGGACATTAATGAGTGTAATGGGTGTGCCTGGAACAGATGGTGATCTTCAGGTGCTCGGCCTACAGTCGAACTAGACCGCTCTAGTTAATCGTGAGCTCGCACCCGCCCGGGTGAAGCTGGTCCAGTTTGCCCCCTGACGCCGGGTGCCTGTGCCCCCCAGAGACAGTGCGGGACTACGAGCAGCAGTTCCGCCAGCGGCTGGAGCAGGAGCGGGCGCAGTGGGCGCAGTACCGCGAGGCCGCCGAGCGGGAGATGGCCGAGCTGCGCCGCCGGCTGTCGGAGGGGCAGCAGGAGGAGAACCTGGAGAACGAGATGAAGAAGGTTGGCTTAGCAACGCTCTCTTAATTAACCCTGAATTACTGTGTTACTTACACGACAGCGTCGCCTTCGTTGATCACGTTATTTTCTCTACTACACATTAATATTATTTTTATTTGTGAAACCCTGTTTTTTGTGCAGTGTGACATGGTTGTTGGAAGAGTAGCTGGCATTCTTTCTTCCCCGTGTGATGAGGAGAAGTTGTTGCCTTTCATGACATCGGGGCCCTTTTTTTTTTAAAATAAAGTTTTGCCCTGACTTCTGATTGCCTCAGGCCCAGGAGGATGCAGAGAAGCTTCGGTCCGTGGTCATGCCGATGGAACGGGAGATCGCCGCCCTCAAGGCGAAGCTGACTGTGGCAGAAAACAGAGTGAAGGAGCTGGAGGCGTCGAAGGTGAGAACGGTAGTGCAAGAAGAAGGCATCTGGCAGCCGTTGTGTCAAGGCACTTCTGACAGCTGGGTTGGCCCTAGCAGCAGCTGCAGCTGAATGCATACAGAAAACTATCATTGTTAATACCAGTACATTTGGTTGCTGCTTTTATTTTAAAGAGACATACATTTACACCCATTTATACAGCTGGGTGTTTTGCTGAAGCAATCTGGGTGAAGTACCTTGCTGAAGGGTACAGCTGTTCTCTTGCTTGGGATTTGGACCCAAATCTTCTAGTTCGATGTCCAGAACCTCTCCACTGCTCCACACGAAGCCCAATGTGTACTACACACATTTGGGATTAGAATTAGCATAACAGTTTTAAATTTATAATTTCTTTAATCTTTGTAGATGTGCCTTCTGTTTGTGTATTTAATGCTTCAAATAAGTGTAAATAGTGGGCTTACTATAAGGGTGTTTTTACTTGAAATAAAGACAAAGGGTAGTTTGTGGGATTTTTTATAATTGATAACTCAAGTGATGCCTAGATTGACATGAAAGAGGTTAAAAATTAGACAAGGCTGCTTAGCTTGTTTTTGTCATTTTCTGACTATTTCCCTGGTAGATATTTAATTCAGAAACGACATATACGGGATGTACATAAAGGTATGTGATTTTACCATGACCTCACCCCTGTGTTCATGCGTCTTAGGTGATGGAGATGAATCACGTCCTGGAAGCGGAGAAGTCCTGTCGCACAGATTTGGAGATGTATGTGGCAGTCCTGAACACCCAGAAGTCTGTTCTGCAAGAAGATGCAGAGAAGCTACGCAAAGAACTACACGAAGGTGAGTAAAAATGCAATAGAAAACGAGTATTTCTTATCTCATAGTACTGTTGATGTTTGCTCTTGTTTGGGAATGCCAACTACAGTAAATCTTAGACGTTCTAAAACTGGATCTGAGCAGGAAGTGTCCGCTCTGGTATCTTGATGCACAAATGGTGCACTGGGATTATTGCAGATTGTAACATATAACAACCCTCTGCCTTCCATTCAGATTTATTGAGATACACTTCATCTCCTCAAGAGCTCTAGACTAATCTCAGAATGGAGGTATAGTGTTGCTTCAAGTCAGCTATATGACAGAAGGTGGGGAATGAGAAGTTTTGGCAGATAAGTTTTTAGATAAGTTTCCATGTAGACACACTTATTCTTATTCACTTGACTTATTCAAATAGTTGTGCTGAATGGATGGCCAGCTCCTGGGGCGGTATGGTGGCGCTGCCTAGCAGCACTGGGGCCCAGGGTTCAGTTCTACTTCTGGGGTGAAATCTGCGTCGAGTTGTATGTTTGCACGGGTTTCATCCAGGTGCACCGCAGTCCAAAAACAAACTATTAGGTTTATTGGCTCCTGGGAAGATGGGACAGTGGTGTGAGTTTGTGCATGTCTGCGATGGACAGGCATCTTGTGTAGGATGCACCCTGCCTTGTGCCCATTGCTTACTGGGGTAGCCTCCAGCTCTCCTGCGACCCTGACCTTGGAAGAAGCGGTTTGAAAATTGGATGGATGGTTCTCTCTTGCTCTACCAAAACTTTCCATCTTTTTCCGCATAGTGTCACTCGTTCTGGAGCACCAGTCTAATGGGAATTCTCCTTCACAGTTTGTCACTTACTAGAGCTGGAGAGGCAACAGCACAACCAGCTCAAGCACACCTGGCAGCGCGCTAATGACCAGTTCCTGGAGTCCCAGCGGCTGCTGATGAGGGACATGCAGCGCATCGAAAGCGTCTTGTCCTCTGAGCAGCTGCGCCAGGTGGAGGAGATGAAGAAGAGAGACCAGGTATGTTACAGAACAATTGTCCAGACCCTTCCTCTTGTTGGGCACCACCAGTTTAGAGTGCCAAGAATACATTCATTTTGATGCATTAAAACCCCACATCTATAGCCAGGACATGTAATCGAGTTACTGGAAAGTTTGATTAACAGACTCTGCTAACCTCAATAGTGTACAGGACCACCGATTATACTGCCTTTTGTGTTATTTAGTGTATGATGGATACCAAGCTCCCCTTTGATTGAGGCCAGTCCATGACTGGTAAATTCTCCCTGAATGAATGTCTATTTACCTGGATCAATTATAGGAAATGGGGTAAAATACCTCTCTTAAGAATACAACAGCAGTAGTGGTATCAGTTTGGGCCCATCAGCCTCTTAAACTAGCTTTTTTTAATGTTTCGTTATGTCTTAAGCTTAATTTACACACACAGTATCCTTTTAGAGGCATGATGTTTTATTATAGGAGGAGGATGAGCAGCAGATGAGAGCCAAGGGTCTGAAAGACGAAGCAGGGATAGAACAGGCAGAACCAGCTGAAGACTCTCTCGTTACTCTACCTAATGACGAGGTAAAATCAGAATCTTTGTGGATGTAGAAAACTGATGGCATGGAGTTTTTGAAAAGTTATACAGTACTGAACCACCTTTTGTTGGAAAGGAGTGGTGCCCCCGATTGGTGAACTGTTCATGTTTAAATTACGAATGAACAACAAGCGCGCATGGGCTTGCCCTGGGAATGTTTTGGCTAACCACTGGGTTTACAGGCTGAACCTACTCTTGTTTCCAAGTCTAAAAATGAGTTAAATCACAGATGAAGGCAACTAAGCATTTCTAACTACTTCTTTAACAATACTTCTAAGTACCGGTAATTTTTTTCAGCTTCGGGTGGACAGGCGGAATGATAATACGCTTGGGCAGAGAGGTAATATTTCTCCCATAAACCTTGAGAGCGAGCAAACGCTGTAGCGCATTGAAGAGTGACGGAAAGGCAAATCTGCTTGTTCAGAAGGAATGGATTGGAGTTCATATTGTTAGTGGAGGCGGAAAAAAACCAGGGATATGAACCTGAGGTGTGCTTGAACGCAAATACGAGGGCACCTGATGTGATGGACTGTTCTTGGGTGAATTATGTACTTTTCTTTATTAGGATGGCCAATTCAGTGTCCCAGCGGAGAGGACAAATAGGAGGCATTAATGCATTATAATCAGGGGTATCTTCTTTTAAGCTAATTTTATTAGTTACATGAGGCACATGAGGCACATTTTTCTTTAAAAATCCCCATTGTGCTCTTGCCCAGTCACCTGCTTCTTTCTCCCACAGTCCAACATCAACCACAGCATCCACAGCTCCCTGCATTCCTTAGACATGGAGCCCATGACCGCTCTGGATGGCTCCGATCTCTTCAAGGAGGGCCTGCGAAGAGCACAGTCCACGGACAGCCTGGGGTCCTCCGGTGGGTCCCTCCAGTCGCGTGGCCTGGGCTGCAACCACAAGGCCAAGTCCGCCAGCAACCTGGACGAGTCTGACTTTGGGCCCCTGGTGGGGGCGGACTGTGGGGGCTCGGAGAACCTTGATACGTCCTCCCTGAGCTCCTTTCAGCTCTCCACGGGGGCATTCCTGCTCACCAAGGACCAGGAAAAGGCCATCAAGGCCATGACCCCCGAGCAGGAGGAGACCGCCTCCCTGCTCTCCAGTATCTCTCAGGCTCCCGACACCGCCTACCTTCCCGCTTCTGGCTACAGGCTGGTCAGCGAGAGCGAGTGGAACCTGCTGCAGCAAGAGGTTGGACTGCTCTCTTCTTGATTCATGTTTTTTGTGCACTTTACAGGCAATACGGAAAGTGTACAAAGTTTGGGAATGCAGACTATTGTGATGTGGACAAAATCGATAGCTAGTTAAATTAAATAGGTGATGTGATCGGGCAGAAATGTCACCTGTGGAGTCAACCATGTATTGGCTGAAAAGTAGAAAGCAAGGGTCGGTTGAAAGAGCAGAAGTTAATTGGTGTGCGTCTGTTATAGTGCAGCAGAGTTGGAGGCTTTGGTTGACACCAGAATGGTATATTAATCGTTATTGCAATGCATTTTTCTTACAGGTGAAAAATGCTGGCAGGAAGTTGGGCCGCCGCTGTGATATGTGTTCTAACTATGAAAAGCAGCTGCAGGTCATTCAAGGTCAAGAGGCAGAGACACGTGACCAGGTCCGCCACACCTCACTGCATTTATTTCATCGTTGAGAGTTGCAGTTGCCTTTTTCTGTGACTTGGAATAGCCAACAAAAAGACTGCACCTGTGGCGTAATTACAGCCCTGCACCCATACTGCACTAGAATAGAGGAAATTGCACTTCCTCAGAGTTAACATTAAATGTAAATGCTGAAATAACTCGCTTATTAAATTAATGTAATTGTCATGTGTCCCTGTTCTGCACTTTTTTACTGGAGGATGGAATTTGAAAAGTGTAAGATAGGTTAGTAATATGAGGAAGCCATTTGGTCCGTCTTGCCTGTTCGGTAGTTAGTAGCTAATTGATCTGAGGATCTAATCCAGCCATTTCTTGGGTGACCCGTTCCATACTACCACAACCCTGTTGTTTTCAGAGGTTGGGGTGTTGTTATGCTGTTGCATAATGTTATCCCCCACTGTTTAATGTCCAAATTCATATCTTCCAGTATCTTTTGCCACCCACACCTTACAGTATTAACATGATTTAAACTTTACAGTTATGAGTTCAAAGATTTAACCACTGCTGCTTTACGAACTCTTTAGTTGAGAGTGATTGGTTTCCTAATACCATTCAAAGAGTGCGCAAGTTAAAAATTGATCTCATTGCACGGCTTTCTATCACTTTTAATCCTAGGTGAAGAAGTTACAGGTGATGCTTCGACAGGCCAATGACCAACTGGAGAAAACCATGAGTGAGAAGCAGGAACTGGAGGAATCTGTGAAACAGAGCAGCGAGGAGACCAGTGCCAAGGTCAGCGCCAGTCACCTGTGCACTCCTGCAGAATGTGTTCTGACGCCTTAATTGTTCTATGCGGTGGCAGTAGTATTTAATGACAAGTACTTGTTAACTGTGTATGTAATGTACCTAGTAATTTTTATCTTGACAAATAGTAGATCATGTCACATCTAATCCAGTGTATCCACAGTCTGGAGGAAAAGCAATGTTAGTCACTACTAATGTCAGTCACATTAACACTTGTTTCACACACAGGTACAGTACGTTTGTATTATTATTTTTATTATCGGCTTAAAAGTTGGAATATAATGTAAAGGCTTTACTTACTGGAAACTTTCTTTTTGAAGAGTAAAACAAGAAATCAAAAGTTCAGTTATGCTTCAGCTATTGCAGTTGGTTTCCAGATGGTGCTGCCTACCTCTTCATGTCTTGTGTTGTAGGCATGTAATTCAGTGTGGAAACATGATGGCGTATTCTCATGCTGACTTTTCCTGACCTCGGGGTGATTTGCAGGTCTCCACACTAATGCAGAAGGTCCAGGAGTCCGAGGCAGTTCTCAGCCATCTGAAGCAGGCTTTGGTACAAGCCAAGAGAAGCACGCAGGACCAAATGGTGAGTTTCAGATTCTTATCATCTTATCACTGAGAGAGTAGTACGTTGTTCCAAAAACCTGAAATTAATTTTACTGTCAACATTTGTCTGCTTGTTAATTTCCTCTTTGCTCTGTGCATTTTCTGTACTCACCAAAAATCTCCCAGCGAGGAAAAATGGATAGTTGTAAGCCTGGTATCTGACTGCTAGCATGCTTTTGCTAAATGCAAAACACATTTAAAAATATGTTAACATGAAGAACATGGAACATACTGAATAGTCCCATGACTGTAGCGGTACGAGCAATTTCTGTGAGCGCTGTCTGTCCACGCAGGCTGTCCTGACACAGTCCCGGGAGCAGGTGGCAGAGGAGCTCAGTCGACTGCAGAGAGACAACGAGAGCTTGCAGGGGAAGCACCGGCTACACTTGAGTCTTCAGCAGCAAGAGGACTTCAGAATGCCCTCGTCAGTGCAGGTACGCCATTCATACTGTCAGCTCTAAAACATAGGAACAACGAGCTCCAGAGGGTCAAATAAAAACTGAAGAGAAGCACTGAAATTTATTCTCATGGTTTCCATTGGACACAGTGTTTTTAGAGGTAAGGGCTTAAAGATGCTGTTGACTCAAGCATTTTCAAATAGTATCCTAAACACATGGAAACCTGTAGAGAACAAACACATTCATACAGCTAATTAGATACTTAGATCCATTTATTAACTAAGAGGCGTGGAAGGAAAGGGCAAAAGCTAAGACATTGAGACTTTGATCGAAAAACATGAATGCACCATCCGCCAAGGAAAATCAAGTCTTGTCTGTCCGCTGTTTCAGGACCTGCAGGCTCTGGTGTTGCAGTACAGGGAGGACATTGTGGCAGCGCGCACAGCAGCTGATCACTTGGAGGAGAAGTTGAAGGCGGAAATTCTCTTCCTGAAGGAGCAAATCCAGGCAGAGCAGTGCCTCAAAGAAAACATGGAGGAGACTCTGCAGCTAGAAATCGAGGGCTGCAAGGAAGAGATTGGTGAGTCTAAACGGGATTTCTCTTTAAGAGCAGGTGTCACACTAGCAAGGATAGTTGTACTGTAAGAGAACAGGGATTATTATTGCAGACAAGGAAAAACAAAGGGAAAAGAGTCGTATGGCTTTGTGAGCCTCACTTGTGTTTTTAGTGTTCTTCTTTTTTAGTGTTCATAATAGCTATACTTACGTCATTCAGTTCAAATTGTCAGACAGTGTGTATTTCTTCTTTTGCGATAATAAATGTCAATACTTCCAATACTTTGTAGTAAGTGATTTCCCAATGAAGTAAATAGTCTAGTTCTGTACAGTGTAGCTCTCCTGGTACCTGTGATAATGTCACCAGGGCCTTGGTCATCTACTACATCTCTTAAACTCTTCATCTTTTTATCGTTTTCCCTAAAATCTCTTTTTTTCCTTTCCTTTCCGTCCCTTGGTGACTCTTGATCAGACATCTTGGAAGGTATGAACCAAGCCAGCACTGAAACTGGCTTTGGCTTTGTGTGTTTTTGCCATAGACTGTAGGCATCTTGCTATTAATAACCTAATTAACAAAGTATACCTCCTGTTGGAAGAAACATCATAACTGAGTTCCTTAAAGGTCTTTTCACACCCTGTGCACTGTGGAGCACTAAGCTGCCTCTGTTTCACTACAGTCTTGACTCTTTTTTTTTACTTGTTGTGACAGTCACTTTGTTTCCCATTGATAAATGATGTTGCTCATGTGTATCAGTGTTGACTTCCTCTGTGTAGGCGTACCACATGTTGAGCAAGCCAAGGATGACAAATTGGTATTTTTGTCTCTGCTTTCAGCCCCCCTTCTTCCCTAGAAACTAAAAACAAAATTGCAAGGGGGTTCCCTTCTCTTCCAGGAAGCCAAACACACCTTGAAAGAAATATTTCCTTGGCTGCTCTCTTCCCCTGTGAGCAAATCAAATCAATAAAAACGACCAAACTGATGTGGATCCCTGTCTCAAACAGGGAAGGAAGACACTTCTTTGTTTGAAGTGCTGGATTTATATATCTTTGATCAGCTGTTTCCTTGTGAACATTAAAAACCAGAAAAGTAGCCAGCTGAAACTTCAGAATTAGAAGTGAATTCTACAAGATTGGATGACCTGCTTTCTGATTCAGATCACGCATAGTAGCAGCTTCAGAGGAAATACAGAACTGTACACATGGGCTTCGATGCCATGTGCTGGGTGTGAAAATACCAGTAGACACTTCCTCATTGTGCTTCTGTCACTGCTCTTTGTTTCTAAAACCTGTTTACATTAACAGTTCTACAGATCTGACAATGTCAGGACCTTGTGAAAAAGTTGAGTTGTGTAAGAAAAGTTTTTTTTTGTGTGTGTTGAGCAATGTTGGAAAAGGACTTTAAGAACTCCCAACAGCATGGGAATTTATTTTTATTTAAAAACAAGGAGGCACACAGAAATTCAGCAGCCATCCAGAGCAGCACAAGGAGAAGGGTGAAAGAGTGGGGTGAGTGCTGTACAGAGCGGGGGTCCAGGTTCCACTCGCGGGTAGCGGTAGCCAAGTGCTTCCTGCGCCGGTGGATCTCAGCAGGGGTTTGATGGGCTGGACTTCTTAAAAAGTCTCCAAAGGGCACCTGACCTGTTTATGCTTTAGGGTTACTGGCTTTATTTCCGGTTCAGGGTGCACTGTAATTGACTAGATGACACATCTCTGTGCATCTCTTTGGTTTGTCTTGTGTTCAGCGCAGGGGTTAAGCGCACAGCGAGGATCTCCACACTTCTTTCACACGCCAGTAACTTTTGCTCTCATGTTCTAAGATTCACTGCCGTTTTGCAAGTGGGCCGAGCAGTTTACGATACGTTACGGACTAACAACTCGCATCCCAAACTCTGTAGAGTAGATGACTTTTTCGTTCAGTAACATTCAAAAAGAACATCTTACAAAATTGCCATTTCACTCTTGTTTGTACTCTGCAGCCTCCTTCTCCAGCTTGAAAACGGAGCTGGAACGAGTGAAAACAGAAAAGGGGCAGGTGAGGCTATTCCCTGGAAGTATCTTGCTAAAGGCTGAAAAACTTTAGAATAGTTGGAATAATGTCCAACTATAACATTGGTTATATTATTCTGGACATTATTCCAACTATTCTAAAGCCGATTTTTAAAGGTACAGATGATTCAAGCTACAGCAGGTCTAAAATGAAAATGTAGTGACTGGAGAGATGAATATTACATTGGGATATTAATGAAATAGGAAATGTCATACAGAACTTGCGTGCAGCGAAAGCCAGTTGGAAGGATTTGAGTTTACAACCTGTAATGGAAGTATTAATGAATTAAAGAAGTAATAATTCATTATTTCATTATTGTGGTGTTTGAAGTGAAGCTCTTAGGGATCATTCTGTCTGTCTCCTGGCAGCTGGAGAGCAGCCTGTCAGAGAAGACACAGCAACTGGAAAAACTTCAGGGACTCAGGAGCAAATTGGAAGAGCAGCTGAAGGAAGCCAACAGCACAAAGGTCAGTGTGGGTAAAGGTGGTGGCTGCACAGAGTTGTGTAAGAGTGGAGTTGTCACACCTGACCCTAGAGCAGACAAGGCCATTTCTTCTGCCGTTAGTTTTTAAAGGCCTTCCTGTCGATTTGTTTTGGTATCATACTTATTTAAAAAAAAAAACACAAAAAGGTAATTGCTCAAAAGTTTTTTGTTTCCATATTGTATTGAGAATTTTCTGTCGCTGTTTGTGTGCAGAAGAATTTGCCTCTCCTTCATGGGCTGACTTGAAGAAGAGCAGTTTGCACATTTACCAGATCTCTCCCTTCCCTTTTTACTGTTTAATAAATAGTTGGTTGAACATCTCCCCTGGACCTCATTTTGATTTTGGAAACCAAGTATTTTGTTTGCTATTAATTAAAAAGAGAAATAAATATTATGGGTGTTGGTCAAATAGGAAAAACTTAAATTAATAAATCATAATAATAACCTATTAGGGAGATCTTTATAGCTCTCTTGCAAATGAACAGACTGCATGTTATAGCAGTTGAGCAATGCAGCACAAGAGAGGTCTTGCCTTACTGTGGTGTGCTGGTTGGTTTCAGGCAGCCCTGGAGAGCCAGGTGCTTGATGAGAAGGATAAAGCCCAGAGGCTGCAAACAGAACTGGATGTCAGTGAACAGGTCCAGAGAGACTTTGTCAAGCTTTCACAGACTCTACAGGTAACCTCCTACACTTTGAAAGTTCAGGTTGTTCCTGTTTCTTTAGTAGTGTAGACTGACCCTCATATGTTCTGTCTTGTTTTGTGGCTCCTTTCTGTATAATGTTATGACATTTTTTGTGTAAAGTGAGAAGTAATGTGTCACAGATTCCCGCTGTATTTTGGTTGTACCATGATGTCCCTGGTTCCTGGTAGGTCCAGTTGGAGCGTATCCGCCAGGCAGACTGCTTGGAGCGAGTCCGTGCCATCCTAAACGATACCAACCTGACGGACATCAGCCAGCTTCCTGAGACATGATGCTGCCCTCGGCCTCCTCCAGACCGATGCCCGCCTGCCCCAGTATTGTACCCTTTCTCTCCTTTTAGAGGAACCGGGGGGGCAGAGCTGACACTTGTGGGCCTGGTGGAAAGAGATTTTTAAAATAACAATATTAAACAAAGTTAAAACAAAAGGAAAAAAACAAATGCAACACAACTGTCCCTGTCCCGGAATAAAGGAGAAATGCAGGCTGGTGGTGCGGAGAACACTAATGAGACACAATGTTTGAATAAGAAATAAGGTAGGACAGGCGCAGTTGGAACCTGCCTGTGTGTCTGTGAGAAGTGGCGGTGGGCTGCTCTGGTGAGAGTTTCCTCTGCTGTGTTGTTTTTAGCACAGGAGCTCTGTAATTCTTCTGTCTTTTGTGCAAGCAAGAGTTCCATGGACTGGCACATCTCTCTCAATCTTAGTTCTTTTGCTGTCTGGCTCCTGCTGAAAGAGGACAACACGAGACGAAACTGACCAGCTAATGAAGGAGTCCCAAACGGAACACTTGTAAAAAAAAAAAATCTATATGCTATATTGTTTTGATGAAGTAATAACTTTGCTCTACAAACAAAACGTAACTGAACTCTCTCATGTCCCATAATGTCCATTTGTGATTTAAGAAGGTTTCTATTATGCATTTTTTGTCTTAAACGTCCATTTCAGAAATGACCGGTCGTACAAAGTCGCATTTGCATTACAACTCAATTGCCAGGGAGAAAATATGTCTGGTTTGGTTTTGTATACCTCTCCCTTATAGTTGTCTCTGTGTCCACATTAAGACTAACATTAATAAACGGCCTTCCTAGAGTATTAGGGTTATGGTATCAGCACAGATATTAAGAAGGTTTACCCTTCATTGTGCTCTTGTCTCTACTAAATACTGACAGGCATATAATGTTGTGTGCATAAATAGTCCTAATGTGGAATATTTCAGATGTTCATTCCAATTTGGTGCACTTCTCAAGTGGTTTAATTATGTGGGAAATCTGGATGGTCCACTTTGAGACTACTATCAGTTTTAAATTTGAACATAATCTGGTGAAGCAGGCTTTGGAAGCACAGTCCTTGCATTTCACACAAGTAGTATGTACATCTGTTTGTTTCTGATATGCTAACAGACATATTAGGACAAAAAGTGGGAACTGGAGCTCGAGTTAGCAAGAGGCCAGGGCACACTGGATCATGTCCAGACTGTCAGATCTGTGCTCATGGAGGAGACATTCTGACAAGTAGATATTGGAGCTTGAATTCTGCATCGTTAACATTGCTATACAGCAGGTCCTCTGTAAGGAAACTGGTGATAGAATGTACATGTTCTTGAAATGTCTTGCAATAGATTGTCAAGCCTGACAAGCACTTAAAGAGCAAAGAACTCCTGAAAATTTGTATTTACCTTACCAACTTTTTGTGTCGTTGCCGATGTATTATTTTCATCATCAAGCAGTTTCCTGGTTTAGATGTTTCATACAGTTTTGCAACAGTTGTGGATACAGACCCTAAATTAGATGATTAAATTAGTGGGGCAGTGCAACTCTGGACTTCAGTGACTGGGATCCTGCAGGTTTTACAGTTCTTTGGAAATCAGGAGCTTTTTTTTTAAAGAAGTCCTATCTGTATTTTCTTGTTTTTCAGAGATGAACATCTCCCACCTTATCTAGCAAACTATATACCTCCTGAAAATACTTTTCAAAGCTCAGATGAATTAACATGGATCATATCATAGACCTAACATTATTCAAATGGCAGGCATTGTTCAACACTAATCTCCTTTTCCTCAATATTTTCTGCACAACATGTACAATGAAAAACAGGACAATTCAGATAAAAGACTGTTTTATACTGGGGTGTTTGGGTTAAACATTCAGATGTATTTGTGCCCCACTTGGCTAAATATACCAGATTTTCAACCATAAATGTCACAAGCAGTAGAGATGGGACTCTGGTTAATAATTAGCAGAGAGTACATTTTGCTGGGAAATCAAGTCTTAGTCTTCAGAAGTAAAGTTTTGGCATTCTAAAAAATGTTTCAAGTAAAAATGCTGTGGTGCTGAGGTAATTGTCTGGCCTGGTTTGTGCTCATAATATTGGATTGTGATCTTTAAGGCATTTAACAAGGATGTTTATTTTCTACAGTAGCAAGAAGAAGCAAAAAAATAAGGTATTTTATGTTTTTTTCCTAAAAAATCATCCTGATGAAAAACAAGAATCATCTGAAAAGTGTGTATTGTCTGATTTGTTTCCTGGGTTATTCTATGACGCTGTTCCTACTAAGTTTGCACATTTAGAGAAGAAAATGTCTCATTGAACGAGCCCAAGCCAAATGAAAAGCATGTGTTTAATTAGGGAAATTAAATCTGTCGCTCTGCACTGGTTAATTAATCTGTTTGGTTTTGACCAGCTATTTTTGAAAGGTAGATGTCATAGAATAATTACCGTAGGTGACAAAGCAGTCAAAACAGAAGCTTTAATTCACATATTACATGCAATAAGAGATACAACAAGTAAAACACTAAAGTTTTGTTTAAATGCTAAAAAAATACAGCTCTAATTATGTTATTATAAAAACTTAGATGCATATTTTGAGGGAAATAATGAATTTTTGTTTCCAGGGCTTTTTTTCTTGCTGAACTGTGGCTGTGTTTTACAGCCGATACAGACCTTCAGCACCTGAATTCTCCCATGGCCAAAACTTCCTCCTCCTTAAAAATATTCTCAGATGCTAGTGTACATAATATCTCTTCAAGGCTGCAGACAATGTGTGTTGTGCCAAAGAAAGTGCGAAAATGCATGTTTCATTACTGTGGGGTTTGGATGGGCCATTTATGCACTAAACCTTTTTATGAGGATTGTATTACCACGCCAGATTGAGTATTGATGTTTACTCTCAGTATTGAGATTAATCAAAAGTGCGACGCATGGCTGACTGTCCAATGTGCTGGGAAATCCCCATGGCAGTCTGCAGTTAAAGGAGTGACTACGGTTCTGGAAAATGGGGAGGGATAAAAATCAAGCAGTGGCTTTGGACCTGTGGGTAAGGTGCTAGCCAGGGCAGCACCTGCATCATGTAATGGATCTGCAGGAGGAAAATTCAAGGGAAGAACATGGTGAAGTTAGGCAGCAGTAGCTGCTAGCCTCTAGCCATTGCCCACAGGACTCAAAGGGGGTCACGCAGGTCAGAACAGAAGAACCAGATGGCTTAATGGCCATCTCGTGTTTGCACCTTGCGAACAATGGTTGTCCTGTCACAGACAGTGACTTAAACAAGCGCACTGGCAGTTGAAGCCAAGACTTTAATCTAAATGGCTTGAGTTGATGGAGGTGGACTCCATCATTTTGCAGGGTGTGTGTGTGTAAATAAGGCAAACTAGTGTTCAGAGAGCTGGTGTTCAACTGATAGCAGTATAGAAAAGCTGTTCACTCTACAAAATATAGCTTACAGAGCAGAGCCTTTTCTTGTAGAATTACCACAAGTACAGCAGATTCACTTTGCAGTTTTAAGTCCTTCATACTTGGAATGCAAAATATTGTTCCTAGATTTAATAATATTGTGCTCTACATTAGTCCTTTTCCACCTAACACTCCATTTTATAGTCCACTTCTGTGGTGATTTGATTTATGTCTTCAGCTTCCGAGTAAAATTAATGAAAATGAGGTAATACTAACAGCTGATTCATTTGCAGAGATGGATCAAATAAAAGCACTTGATTGTAACATCGCAACTAGCTTACAAATATTTATATATAGAATAAAAATCTTTCATTTAGTGAGAAGCAGAGTGTAATTATGAAAAACCCCTGAGAAATGAGTCTTAACATGCAAAGCAGCTTTTCTTTGCATCAGTAAACTTCAAAAATAACATAATTTCCTCTTGACAACAAACGTCGGCACCCAGTTAGAAGTCTTTTCTTTTCTTCTCTGCAAGTTCAATCTAAAACCAGCCAAATATATACATTTCACCCTTTGATTGTTTTTTTTTTGTGGAAATATTTTGTGGAGTATTTTAAGGCAAAATATACATACTGATTTCGGTGATTCTCAGCCCTGGTCCTGGAGCACCAATGTTGTTGAACTGTTGAACCAACTGAACTCAAGTAGACCAATTGACCTGCAGTTGCTTATTAAGAAGTTGGATAGGGTTAGGAATTACCATCAACCCTGAACCAGTTTGTGGGTTTCACTGCAACCCTCATTCAGGTTTGTGGAATTGGGGAATTGGACCTCTGCAGAGCACACTTGTTTTGTTTTTTTCACTAACTGGACTCCTATTAAGAGCTTTTTAAACCGAAAGAAGAAACACTTAATAGTGAAATTGAAAGAGATGAGAGAGTCTTGTTTGCTTCATTTGTTCGTAAACAAAACTCCTGCAACAGGGTATTTTTCTAAAACCAAAGAATGGGTGAAGAAACAGATTCCAAGAGTAGAAGCGAGATTCTCAATTACAATCAGTTACAATTGAAATCAATTATAGTGGTCTGTTATCTCAGGCAAAACCTAGAAGATACGGGAGTCAGCAGCGACCAGTTGAGAGCACCTGTTTCTCTCTGAACTGGTATCGCATACGAAGAATGAGAATACTCTTAATGTGTGACTTATTATGAATCAGCACTATATCTTTTTTTTCTTAATGCTTCACTGATCACTGATGCTTCAAAAACATATGTTTATGTTGAGACCAGGATGGTACAGCCAAATATAAAATATTTGTTCAGTTGTCTGTCTGAGATCTCGAGTGAACAAGACAAGGTCATCTGAACTTGGTTTAGAGCCCCCTCTGTAATACATGTACCTCTCAGGTAGTCTAGGCACCTTTTAGTGATAGAAAACAGTTCATTTTCACATCTCCATTACATCACGATGTAAATCATGCTGCAGAGGCGTGGTACGATCGGATTAGAAAATAGCCCTTCACCTCACAACAAGGCCTAATCTGAAATACTAACTGGTGGTCATTCATGTGTGGTTTAAGGATCATTTTAGTTGAAGTGTTTGTATTTCTTGTCATTACATTCTGAAGCTGAATATCATAAAAACAATATTAATGCGAACGCTTTATTCCTTGTTTTCAAGATTCTGGCAGGCACTGAGGGATTGTGATATTAATTGCATATATTGTTCTGATCCTTATTACAAAGATGAGTCTTTAAAAAAGCACATTTAATAGGCAAATTGTCAGTGGGGGGGGGATGCATTCCAGTGAGACAAAACTGCTCCTAGATGTTCTTCTTGTGCTTCATTGTAGCCTCTGTTTATTGTTTAACTGTTTTTACCCCTGCAGTTTCAAACCAGGGTTCAGCTCTCCAGCTGTGTTCCTATGCTTTGGGTGATCACTGTTTCAGATTTAGTAACATTGCATTCACTCTGAACACTGTTACTAATTCTAGGAAGGTTGTTTTTCAATGACACATTAAAGAATGAAGATTTTACTGTTAATCTTTGTCATATTAAAAACCTCCTTTCTTAAGACAATTACCTTTGACATTTTGCATCCCTTTTTGAGTGTCAGTACTAGATTTTTATGCTATTTTTCAAGAAAGAATGCCAATTCCAAATCAAAATTGTAGATGTGCTTTGCCTTTTCCTGTTTCTTGCTTTGTATGCACTTGGAAACCTGTTGTACAGGGAAGAATTTACTATCGTGCTACTTTATCTGACAGTTTGAGGAGAAAAGCAGGTTACATCCTTTTTCTTTCCGAGAGAGTGTTGATGAGAACGTTGTGATTTAAATGTATGCTCTTATGGGAATCAACAGCACAACACTAATGTTTTGGTAACGAAAAAATGTACACTAAGTCACTGGATTAGAGGCTAAAGTTTTCTCCCAGTTATTCAGAAAATCCTCTGGGAAGCTTAGCTTCAAACAAATCAAACCATGTCTGTTATCCAAGTGCTATCTGCATGCTAACTCTTTCTACAGCAGGAGCCATTTGCAAGCGTATATACTGTGTACATATGTGTGTATATAGCTAATAAACCAGATTGTAATTTATCAGTGTATTGAATGCATTTAAGGGTATTTAAAAACTTTTTAATATTTTAAACCACTGAAAAAACTTTAACCTGTGCTATATTTAAATAATGACTTGGCTGAAATAAGGATCATGGTAATAGGGTAGTGTACCTGCATTTGATAGGATTCATCTTGACTAAAGCAGATGAATAAGTGTATACCAGCAGCTTGGGCATCATCCACAGCGCTGAAAGGTTTCAGGATTCATTTATTTGTCATGGTTCACTAGAACATGAAGGCACACAGTGTAAAGTAGTCTAAATTGGATTGTTACTTCAAAATGCCTTTGCCTATGATAACATTGTTAAATAATGGTATTAAGATTCAGGTGAACCTGTTTGGGTGGGGGTGATGTTTAATAAAAGCATCATTTAAGGCATTTTATTATTTTGTTTTAATGTGTTTAATATGTAGTTGGCCTTGCATTATCTACATTTTTATGGTTTAGAATCAGCGGCACAATTCTGAAGCAAGAACCAGATTCTTACTGGCTCCGGCAGCACAACAAAGATGTTATTTACTGAAGCATCCTGATGGGCATTCCTGTCCATCCTTAATCTGTGGATTATGAGGTACTTTATCAGTGAAGCATCTGGGTGAAAGCAGAAGAGTGAGCATCAGGCCATGAACAGGGGTAGGTATTCTACACTGAGAAAAACCTTTGCTGCTTTCAAGATGGGTTCTTATCTTTTCAGCAGTGCAATATAGCCCTGTAGTATTCTTAGTATTACATTAACATTGTGAGAAGGAATAGCAAAGTTTCCTGCTTCATGGAATGCCTGGGTTATGGAAAGGCTAAAGTTGGTTCTTTAAAAAAAAAGCTCAGCATTACTTTTTACACTGAAGTGTTTAGTTCTTTGTGAAGAAAACGTTATAGGACACCGGTAACCACACCATATACATAGTGGAAGAAGTCCTGTACCATTCAGGACACAATGTAGAATCGCCTCCATCAGGAACTTGCATAAATAGCAAGTATTTGATCTGTTGCAGTCAATCTTAAGGGGAAAATCAGCAGTGACTGTTCTGAGCCTAGCCTATTGTATCTTTAAGCACTTCCTTTTAAACTTCAGATTATACTGAAAACGATCAGAGGTGAGAGGTGCTAAAAAAAAAGTTAAACAATTAAAACAAAAAAAAACATCTTATTTACAGAAATTGTATCTTCTGTCCTATGACCTTTGAGTATATCCTATACCAGAAGGTGATTGTTTCTCACCAAGACACTGGTGGAAGGTTTAGGAGATGCAGTGCACAGAGAAGAGATGTGCAACATTTCTCTTTGCAATTAAAAAAACATTCTTCAACAGAAGTGCAGTGGTCTGTAAAGACACTGGAAAGCACTGCAGTGCCTTCCTGTGCGAGTTCACACCCTGTCAACACAGCACTGAAAGGGACTCGGCAACAGAAAGTCACAAAAAAGTTTAATCTGTTGTTAGATCAATATACATAAAGTTCATGTATAAAAACATGGTGTACAAACTAGAACTTAAACACTGCATCTGGATTCCAGTTTTGTCTTGGTTAATCCAAGTCCAGTGCAAAGAGGGCATGTTCAAGACATTGGCATTGACCTGTTCCGCTCCAAAGACAAGTCAAATAGAAAAGCCTTTAAAAATGTTTTAACTTATTGTAGTATAATAGAGATGGATAGAAGCCTGCTGCCTGGAAAAAACACTACCTTGACAAGTGTAGGTTTGGAGCCCTTTGAGATGCATTTTGTACAACCTAGCAGAGCAGTTGAGTTTAAGATCTGAAATACCCCCTCCCCCATCAAAAGCTGAAGTGGTTCTTGATGTCTTTGATCTGTTTCATCATGTCTGCGATGTGCTCTGACCTGTGGAAACAAGACAACCCCTCAGAACAGGAGCCCCCTGGTATGTAAAGTCATGCAACACTGAAGCACTCATGGTTCCACATGGACCAGGTACAATGCTGAAACTGTCACACCATCTGGATTTTCAACATGCACCAACAGTAAAACCTGACTGCTGCAGATTTTAAATTTTACTCTGCAAGTCATTATTGCCTGGGCTGCACTAGTTTTGTTCTCCATTGTAGGGTGGGAAGGCAAGATCTCATGTGCATAATCAGACTGATATTTGTAATTGAATAAACTTACATTCACAAAAGCTTATTCAAAGACCCATTTAAGCTGCAATTCAAAACCATGCATACAAACATGTATAAATATATCTTGTAGTTTGAACAATTAATGACTGAGTACAAAAAGAGTCCTAGAAGAGCAAGCAGAGCAGTTACAGGCCAACAGATATGCTGGTGCTCCAGGGTGGAGAACCACTGATTTAGAGGAACAAGACAATAAAAACTGAGAAATTAAGCCATGTTGACGGCAGGTTGCAATACTTACTGTTCTTTAAGCACAGACTGGACACATTTCCGTTGGTTGGCGTTAAGCGCAAGACTAGTCCTGGGGGTTGTCATTCCTTTCTCCATCTGCTTCTTCTGATAGTCCATCTTCATTGTCACCTGAGGAAGAGAGCATCATGCCTCATTGTGCCCAGCTCTCCATAATGTTACACGCAGGAGAAATTCCCTCCTCCAAAAGATGTTTAATTAAGTTTAAAGGCCTGTCAAGATTACCAAACATCCACATTTTCCTCATTAAAATGTGGTAGATGTTTCAACAGTCAAGCAGTGCCTGTAATTTTGGTTCGGTTGTTTTAATCGATGTTTAGTGCCGTCGGTCCCTGCCGTGGGGGTAAGGTGAGATAATGTCGGGTAGAGAAAGCCTCATGGGTGTTTCTCTGCTGTCTGACCTGTTTGATGCCATTGCCCAGGTGGCGCAGCTGGTCACTGATGGTCTGTAGCTCCTTCCTCATGTCCTTCTCACTGTCGGACAGCACAGGCAGCTGGCATCTCAGGCTGCCCAGAACCTGCTTCATCCTGGCACAGTGAGCAACAGGAAACCATTACCATCATCACCAGGCAAAGCCTGTTCAAACTTTTTATAGGAATTAAACTTCCCAGTTAATTACAGTGCTTCATCATTCCCACATGTAAGCTCTTGCCTGGATGCCTGTGGTCTGCAATAACCATTGACTTGACTTCTGTATGGCAAGAAAACAGCAGGACACTGATCTATAATTTTGAGAGAGCTGTGCTGCCTGTTACCTGTTCATGATGGCCTCCTGGCGATACCTGGCATCTTCGTACTTCTCAGCCAGGCGCTCTGCCATCTCCCTTAGGCTTTTCCTGAAGGACACAGAGGGACTGGTAAGTCCATTAATCAGTTAACGTCTGCTGTTCTTCCATCCCATCTACACCCTTGAATACAGACGTTCTGCATTATATGAATTCTAAATAACTTTTCATAGATCATTAATGGATTTTTCTTCCATTTGCATGATTGTTTCATATAATAGGGAGGCGCCCAGTAGGTACAAAGCCAGCTCTGAAGTAAAGCATGCCCATTGTGTAATTGAGAATGTTCATTTACTGTAGGTACCAAGAATTTCCTGGTGAATTACTGCTTTTCTAAGCATTAATAATGTTGAGATTTGTTAATGTTCACGCGTGACGCTCATTTGCTTGTGCAAGATCCAATGGGTGTCTTTTCTAACACAGTCATCCTTTTGGTGCCACGCATGCCTGTGCACAAGCACACAGATGCAGTGTACCTCTCCTCTCGGCACAGTGCCAGGTCCTCCAGCTGCTTCTTTTTCTGTTCGCCTAGCAGCTTCACCCTGATCATCATGGAGAGGGCAAGCGAGAGAAAGAGAAGATGCACAGTTATGGAGGCAGGGCTAGCGCGTACAGACCTGTGTATCAACATCCATAGCCTCAATGCAGACAACCCTGCATGAAACAATACCAACTGTGACCAAAGTCTGCAAAATCCAGCATGACACATGTTTACAAGTGTACAATATGTGTAATATTTGTTAAGCCTCCCAGTGGCTGATCAGACTCCAAGGGAGTTTAGGGATTCTCAGTCCTGATCCTTGAGGTCCAACAAGGTTCATGGTATTGGCAAATGGCTGGTATTTGTTCAGCCAAGCTCTCAACTACACAATTGATTCCTTCTTCGATGTAATAATGGGATTGATTTCAACTGCTTTCGGATCTTAAACACTGGAGGTGGTCTCTTCACAACTGCATTTCCTAAGTAGCAGAATTACAAACTTCCGAGTACAAAAAAACAAACAAACTTGTCCCTGTTTTCAATCAAGCAGCTTGTGAGCTCAATTCAGTCATTAAGCTCAGCTGAAGGGAAATGTGGGCTTTTGCAGGCCAGGATGAGGAACCACAGGTCTGATCCGGGCCCTGTTGTGGCCTACCTGCGCTCCATCTCTTCACGGGCCAGGTCCTGCTTGAGAATGTACTCTTCCCGGAACACCTGGGTGGCCCGGCTCAGCAGCTGGAGACACTCGGAAGGAGGCGGAGCAGAGTCCTTCTCTCCCGCCCTGAAAAACACTCGCCTCAGTAACTCACCTCAGAGAGGCGCCCAGAGCGCAGGTCGTTACGTACTCCGTGTACGGAAAATGCATTTATTTTACAAGGATTGGGGCTACTGCAGTTGTCTGCATGAGTACGAGCACACATTAACCAAGAACAACAATTTGGTACAACACAGAAGACTGAAAATGAGAGGGGGCATTTCAGATCATCTTGCATGTTTGCCAATTAAGTAGCAAAATGAATCTAAAGATTCATCCAACCATTTCTTGGAAACACATTTCGCTTTAGTTTCTGGTTGGGACTCTGAGGTGGTCCCTTTGGATCAACCTTTACTGTATCAGAGTTTCTCTACTTGGGAAAATTGCAAATCCCCTTTGTTCTAAACTGAAGTTACAATTTTGAAATGCTTTTAAGACTATAACATTGTTTTCATGGTATGGAAAACATTAGCAAGACCTTATTTAGACTTGTAAGCAGTTGTGCCCAAACTTCATATTTTAGAGATTATGGCCTTTAAGATGACATGCTGACATGCTGTTTCTCAATCCATGTGTACACACTACCTGGGATTCCTGTAGCCTGTAATTTAAGAATTAGCGTTTAATAGAGACTTTGTCAAATGCTTTTTGGGACTAAATAGATTATGTCACTTACTTCATCTATTAACTGTCCTTAAGACTTTTTCAAACCACATTTTTCCAGTGTCCTGGTTTTGTCAATGTTTTATTAAATGCCAATATTCCATTTTTTTTAATTTAAAATATTAGTTTTGCACCTTTAACATGTTTTCCTGCTTCTATTGACTATATCTACCTGTTCCCAGTTCTGCTGTAAGAGTGCTTAAGTTTAATTCCATCAAACCTTTGCTACAAAAAAGTTCAACCTTACCTCAGGAGCAAGGGATTGGTTGAGCTGCGAGCCAGAATGTTGCGGATGTGCTGCTCGAAGGAATCCTCAGCCAATCCGCGCAAGGGAGAGCTGCCAAGCCCCGCCCCTGGGCGGGAACACAGCAGGGGAGGGGAGTGTGGCCGAATGGAGCTCCTTCAATAAGAGACAAAGTAAGTGTTTCTCCTGGAAGCTGAGTGCAGCAGAACACCTGCAAAATTTAACCTATTTTCATACTGTCTTGCTATTTTCCATATTATTGCAATACATTCAACATACAAATAATATAATAATATAATAATAATGTATCCATGCAAAACTTGTACATCGAAGTATTTGCAATGCAATATTCTTGTCTAAAAGTGTAGAGTGCTGCTTGTAATGGCATTTGGCACAAATAATGCACACTACATTCAAAATATTTTCAATAAATTTGCATGTTTTCATAAGGTAATTGCTTTACATTTCAGTTTGTGGCAACAGATACAGGCATTTCATAGATCAAATCAACATTTAGCTGGGTTGATCTGTATACACCATTTCCAAAGCATGAAAGAAAGAAGTGTGAAAATCCCCATCGGGAGGGTGCAGTGTGTGAGTCGTACAGCAGGGGGAGTGTGAGACACTCGTAGGTACTGGTGATGCAGATCATGGTGGCTCCGAGGGAGAGGTCTGACACAATCCAGAAACCTCGGACAGGAGCTGAAGAGCTGGAGCAAGACAGGGGAAAACAGATCACTAGAGAGGCTGAAATGCATGAAGCAAAACAATCTGCCGCATTAGTTTTTCCTCCTAAGATTTAGATCGTTTAAGTGAAATGACCGTCGCTCCTTCTATCGCCCTTTCCTTGCCAACAGACAAGCCAAGAGGCTTTTCCTGGTCTCCCATACCTGCTGCTGAGCGGCCGGGTGCACAGGATGTGTTCCACCATGCAGCGCTGCTCAGCCGCCAGCTCCTGCAGGCTGTCCTTGTCCTCTTCATCTGCCAGGAGAGCCAGAAAACCCAGTTCGTAAGGCCTCACCGGCCCAAACTACTGCTAATGCTCACATTCAAGGTCTACAGAACAGTGGCCAAAATACGTAGTGTTTTACAACCAAGATCCTTGTCCACCATTTCACCCACCTGACTGGAGGAATTTATGCAGCTTGTTGACCCAGGTGAGTCCCACGCTGTGGACACCTACTTCATGGGTACAGTGGTACCTCTGCTGGCAAAGAGGGTCTGCAAACACCAGACAGACACTGCTGTCAAAGACTTGGAGGTTAAGCAACTCTTCTGATCAGGCTGACCTACTCGTTTTGATGCCATATTTATCTTTGCCCACCTTAGGACAGTGACAGTTCAGCTGAGCACCACACGCTAACTGAAAATGAAATTAAAATGTTCTAAGGCTAGTCGGTATTCTTACTTGAGAACATTCAAGAATTCATATAGTGCTGAAGATCTGTCTATTTTCTCAAGTTTAGGAAACCCGTACAAAAATGGCAGAGCAGGAGGCAACATGGGTTTGGAAGGAGAATGTAAAATTCAGTGAGATATTTGTTGCTTTAGGGTTAGAAAAGCAGACAGCCCTCCTGTTGTGTGACTCTGCAGTGATGGGTGTTTATGTAAGCTAAAGAGAGTCTGGCAGCTGAACTTCAGTGATGTTTGCAAAGTCCAGAGATAACCAGTAGAATGTGTTTTTCCCCCAACACCACTTTCATGGTACCAAGGGAGGCTGTTCAAACTACTGTATGTCTTGGGTATAAGAAAGCACCTAGAAATGCCCGAGCTGTAGAGCTGATCTCTGAGAAAATGATGGGGTCTCCCTGCTTGGCTCTCCGGAGGGCCTTTCCTAATAAACCTGCTTCCAAGCCACACCGAACTGCGTGGGACGTCTAGCAACCCTGCAGTGAGGAATGTGAGCTTGGCCAACAGCAGAACCAGCTCAGTGCTTCCAGAATTACGAGATCCCAACCACCTTGCCCCTCACCTCTGTGGAGTCTGATCGGACAGGTGAAGTCGGACTCCAGGGCCTCCTCCTCCTCCCTGCCCGCCGCCACCTTCAGCGTGAGCTCCAGCTCCACGCACTCGAACACGTAGAGCGAGGGCACGGCCTCGGAGCCCCGCGCCCAGCGCTCGCCAGCCTGCTCGGGCGAGACGCGCTATTACTGCGCCGGCCACGCACTTCCCAACCACACTGACTCCCAGACCTCGTGTCTGAATGCACAGTACTTAGTTCCACTAAAACATCTTTCAACGTTTTCTCTTGCACACCATTTATGCAGTGACAACATTTCAGCTGGAGAGCCCTCTTCCCGAGTACAGTGTACACCCTTCTTCCTGAAGAAGGCAACTCCAGCCGAAATGTTGCATCTCTTTTCTTTTCCTTTCAGCCTGGAATAAACCTTCACCTGGTCCTTTACAGCCTACGCATGCTGACGCAGCTCCGTACTTGAACTTCCATAGAAAGTCGACACACCCTTTCCAAAGTTTGACTGAGCTTGAACAGTTCTGTGAGAAGGCAGGGACAAGCACTGCCAAATCTAGGTGAGCTGCAGTACGTGGGTAAAATTGATTTATGGTCAAAATTCAAGCAATTCAAGTACCAACTAAGGAGTATGGACACTTATCCAACCCATTTTTCGAGATTTTGTTTGCAATTACTTTTCAAGCATTTGTTTTTCACCTGAAGGTCATGTATGACAACGGGTACATAAAGTGAAATCAATTCTGATTTCACGTCTTGATTTCTGGCTGTTAGGCCGTCAAATGTGTTACTTTGCCAAGGTTGTGTAGACTTTCTAGCGGCACTGTATATAACTACAATATAACCAGCCGAATCTCACTGAAGTTAAAAGCTTTCATGCTCTGTCATCTGCAAGAAGTTACCCAACCTTCCCCCCTCCCACTCCCCTGCCTGACACACTTAGGACGTGCCCCTCTTGCCCGCTGCGGGCACTCACCCCAGCCTCTTCATCCTCCTCAGCCTCCAGCACTACGCAGTGGTACAGCGTGCCCGTCTCGGTGGCGATGACCAGGATGTTGGGCACACACGGCAGGCAGAGCACGGCGCAGGCATCATAGCCGTAGTTGTCCTCAGCCGCGGGGTGCATGGGCAGAGGGCCCAGGGGCTTTCCCAGACTGCCCCCGCTGCAGGACACAAGCATGACACGTGGTGACCAGTGCGCTGGAGCCCTATTACACAAGCTCACTCTTCACTCAGGCTGGACAATCAGAACCTAATCTCACACACGGGGAACTGAGTTTCACTCCACAAGTTCCAGACCTTCCAAACTGAACAGGAAACAAGGACATGCCAGTTCAGAATTAACTATGCATCTAGGGTAGAGGGTAATTTATTGATGATGATGATGATCCTCACACTTGGCGCTTTTCCGGACTATCGCATAAAACACTCTTTTCTCCTCCTGCAGAGTACTGACCTGTGCGCTAGGCTGATGTAGGTCAGGTAGGTCTCCCCATTCTCATACAGGATGTACAGAGGGTACGCCAGGACCTCCTCCTTCACCCGCTGTCCCAGGAGCTGGCGAGGAGCACAGCCCAGCGGCCCAAAGTCAAACGCCACCGCGATCTCCCCCAGCGAGGCCGCGTAGGACCGCCTGCAACACCAGGAGCCCAAGAGAAACTGACAAGCCTGCCATCGAGACGAGGGATCAGCTCATGCAGCTACTGTCTGAATGGAAATTCACAGACCTCTGGAGGACAAGAAGGTACTTCTAAGCAGAGGAAGGCAACTGTAGTCAAATGCTGCACTTATTACTGGTTTTCTTACCACCACTTCAGACCTTAATGACTTAATTGAGCTAATTAAACGTCACAAGAGCAGTTTTCCAGGTGTTAATGAGGAGTTACAGAACGCAGGGGTACCCTTGTGTGCGGACAGCATTCTCCTCTTCACACTGAGACAGACAGAGGACCCGGGCCGGAGACTGGGGCTCCTTCAGATTGTAGAACCTGTGGAAAGAGCATTGGCAGGCAGCTGAAGGAAGAGGAATTTAGAGCTCTTGACCTGCATCACTTGATGGGTAGTCAACCTTGACACTTCCATTACAAAACTGAACACTGCAAATTCCAATAAACACCCACGGTTCAATGTCAATTGCTGTCTGTAAGAATTTTAAATCTGTTCTTTTCGATCAACACTCGCATTCTACCAATTGCTTTCTTTTATGAAAATGATATTTTGACTATTCCGTTGGGGCGGTGTGGTGGCTCTGTGACTCAGGATCTGTGCCTGTGGCTGGAAGGTTGCCGGTTCGTATCCTGCGGCCGGCAGAGGAATCCTACTCCGTTGGGCCCCTGAGCAAGGCCCTTAACCCCAACTGCTCCAGGGGCGCCGTATAAATGACCGGCCCTGCGCTCTGACCCCCAGCTTCTCTCCCTGTCTGTGTGTCTCATGGAGAGCAAGTTGGGGTCTGCAAAAAGACAAAATCCTTATACAATAAATCATATCTTATCTTTATCTTGAGAAGAGAGTGCAGACAAAAAAAGAGTTATAAGCAACAAGGAACATTATTTAAAATTAAACAAATCATCCATCCATTTTCTAACCACTTTCATCCAAAACAGGGTCAAAAGGGAGCCTAACTCAGCAAACAGCAGGCCCAAGGCAGGGTACGCCCCGGATGGGAAGCCAGTCCATCAAAGGGCTCACACACACACACTCACACCAGGGTCAATTTTCCCAGAAGCCAATTAACCTACCAGTACGTCTTTGGACTGTGGGAGGAAACCCATACAAACAAGGGAAGAACATACAAACTCCTCGCATGACAGCACCCCAGGTCCAGCACTGCGAGGCAGCAATGCCACTACTTAACAAATCAATACCCAGCTCCAGTACTGACAGTTCTGCACTGGAGCAGTCTCGGGGAGCCTCAGCAGAATGGCTTCCCGCCTCGTGCCTCTTGAAGGAGACCCCTACCTTAGCGTGTTGTCAGATGTGAGCAGGACCAGGTGGGGCTCCTCGGTCTCACTGGGGTACCAGGCCACGTCTCTCAGGATCACGGAGCCCGAGCTGGTGAAGAAGCGCTCAGCCACAGGAATGGTCCTGAGCAGACAGGGAGCAGTGTTTTTAACAGGACCTCCATTTTAACAACTAAATAACTTGTTGTAGCTGCGTGTTTAGGCCTCAGATCAAATTTAAATGCCCTTATACAGGTATGTAAACAAATGCAATATTGCTGGTGGGTGTGCTTTCTTTTTATAACCCTGGAATTGTTTCAGACAACTTTAGCCATCTCCAGGGACTGTAGCCTGTTTGCCGTGCAGACAATACAATCTAGCGTCATTCCTTCCTTCAACGAGTTATACAATTTCCTCCCAAGAGGACTCCAAGAGAAAAGCTCTCTGCTATACACTGTGCACTGCAGAGCTAGCCTGACTAGCCTTGGGCAGCTCCTCCAGAGGCACTGCATGGCTCTTTAGGTCTTGATGGTCAGTGTTATGTACAAACATGAGGAATTTTGCAGTTTATAATTAATCCATTATTACAGCCACAGGCTCATTCTTGGTCATTGAGGCATGTCAGGTCACAAAAAGATTGCCCAACACTGAAAACCCTCTTCTGAAAGTTTTTATCGTGTGCTGAGAGTGAGATATATAGCATTTGTGGTTATATACTTTTTGGATGCTGCTAAATTTAAATTTTACTGAAATGAAAAACTACACCTGTAGAAACTGGACAACCACTGAATTACTTGTGAGAAAATTTAAAGTGCTGCTGTTCATACATGATTTTCAGTCTGATTGGTTGTTCTGTAGTACAGATTGCCACAACTCCATGCAGTTTTGCATTTTTGCAGGGCTGTCAAGCAGCTATTTCAGCAGATTCTCACAACTCTGAAGCGCAGCTGCAAGACACTGCGGATGGAACCCGACAGGGTGATGCACAGGTCAGGACCTTCAAGATGTTGTGTTTCTCCATGATGATTTGTGTTATACCCCTATACATTTCCAAGCCCCCATCTATAAGTAGCTGAATTGCGAACTGTAAAATACAATAAATTAATAGTGGCCTCATTGAATATTGTTGTTTGCTTCCCTGCAGCCCAGTACAGCTCTTTCTGCAGAAGCTGTGTTGTGACCTCACGGACCATCTAACCCTGCTGGTCACAACACATCTTGATCAGAAGTAGTTACTTGATCCAAGGATCTCATCCAGCTGTTTCTTGAATGAAGCCAAGTATCAACATCAACCACATGGCTGGGAAGCTTGTTCCACAGTCTTTATGCCTTAAGGTAAAGAAGTGCCTTCTATTTTTGCTTTTAAATGCACTTTCATGTAGCTTCCACTTGTGAAAACTCCATTTTGAAAATGTCTTACGGGCTGCCTGTCAACGCCTTTGAGAATTGTGATGCTTTCATCGTGTACTCTGGTAGTCTTCAGTAGGGTTCAGTTCTTTCATCCTGTCAGTGCAGGACATTCAATGTATATGGTTGCTCTTCTTTGGATGGATTTCAGAATAGCAGCAACTTTTGTATTGTGACAAACAAAATTGTACACAGTATTTTAAACTATCTAGTTTTTAACCTGTCTAGTGCATTATACAATTTCACCTTGACATCCATTGATTTGAATTCTACACTTTTCACAATACAGCCTAACATTCTATTTGCCTTTCTTATTGCTTTCCCACATTGTCCAGAAGATGTAAGCGAATGTGTCACCATCAACACCCAAGTTTTTTCCTAGCCTCTCCTAGCTCCACATTTCCCCAATTTCTATTTAAAGATTACGTTTTTGTGACCTGCATGCATTCATCTATATTAAATGTCAGCTGTAGGGTGTTCAGCAGTCTTGAATTTTATCTAAATCTTTTTGAATTGTAATTCCCTCTTCTAGAGTGTTTACTAATCTTCCTAATTTGGTATCATCAGAAAACTTGACACCTTTACTAACTGTATTAGAATGTAGATCAATTCTATAAATTAGGAAGAGCAGTGATCCTAGTACAGGTCCTTGCGGTACACCATTAATTACATCACCTAATTTGAAAACGACCCCTCAGCTGTACTCTTGTCAAACTAAGGAGTACCCACTTGCAGTTAATCCGTGGACGGCCCCCCTCAAACTCCGATCTCTTTCCCCATCGCTGGGGCAGCTCCAGCACACTGGCTCCCCGGCGCCCGATCAGAGCCACATGGTACTGCGTGGGGCTCAGCAGCACCTGGTAGACTTCAAACAGCGGTGGGTTGATACACATCAGGGTCTGCAGAGGAAAAGAGGGAACTAACCACAATGAGATACATCCTGCCCAGCACTGCTAGGTACAACATCTCTGCCACTACATTCCGCCCTCATGCATCACTGCTTCTCTGTGCTAAATATCAGCAAATACAGCTACTTACTCTGTGAGTAATAGGCATCATGGATGTACATGATGTCAATACAATAATCTGATAGATGTAGTTACACGGTGCAACCAGCTGTTTATAATTCAACATCACAAAATAAGAGGAATGGTATAAACTCACAAAGTTCCACATGTACAAAAGTTACACAGTGTAATACCAAGCAAGTTAGTCTAACAGGCTGTAAAATACAGCAATGATATTACCCTGATTCACACTGTGAATTTTTTTGCTAAAACCCACAGTTCAGTCGTTAAAATGTGTTGTAAGGATTGCAGCTTACAACATCATTGCAAAAACGTGCAATGATATCTTAACTAGAGTGATGAGGGAGTAAACTTGAATCCACCGAGGAAAACAGGCGAGTTTAAAAAAAAAACAAGACCATCGTAACGGAAAGATGAACTACTGCAGCTAGCTCATTGTGTCGTTTATGAAGCCCCGAGTACTTGGAAGAAACCTGTTGCATTGGTCTTATCGTAGCTTTTTAAAATAACTTTATGTTTACATAAAGCAACTAAAAGATGTCATCGATAACTACAGTGAAGACATTCCCATCCAAGCCGAACCTGATAATTTGCTCCATCCGAAACATCTAGCTGTCGCAGGTTCGTCGTATAAAAAACGCTGTTGGCTTCGTCCCACACAAATAAATCTCCATTTAAGCAGAAGGCCAGGTTCTTGGCTGGCGTCCTACCGCTTCCTCTAAAGTCACGATCGAGGTTTTCACGGAGTTTGGTGAATAAATCATGTCCAGGCAACTCGCTCCTCCAACGCTCTCCTACGAACGTCGCCATCTCTACTACTGTCAAAATGTACCCCCCTACAGTTCGTCTCAGGGTTATGACGTTTTGATTGAAAGCACCAATGAAAGCCAGCTGCACGCTAAAGGCGGGGTCCTTTCGAAATTAATCTCACCAATAAGAAATGGCTTATTGGAAACGTCATCCTACGCGCCGACCAATAGGAGCGGCAACTATTTATTTCAGCATAGTATGGCTGGGTTGTCTGAAAGCGCTGCATAAGTGTGTATTTCGTGACTGTTTGGCATAGAACTTGTGTTAGAAGACGTAGAATTTTTTTTTGCGTTTTTATTTTTCCAGATATGTGGCTCAGAAAAGCAAATTCATGAGTCTTTTTTTTCTAATACTTTACATCGAAAACCTCAGTAGTTCCTAATGTATATAATGTCACTTAAAGTTCAAGCATTTAACTGTTTTGCCCGTTTCTCTGTCCGCACTGCTCTGCATTGAATGGGGGTGTTATTCTCCGTTAAGTCTTTGCAGCAGTTTGAATTAGGCGAGTGACCATTTTAGCCCTAGACAAAAACCTTTCTGACTAACACGTGGTGGTATAGCAGCACAATCCATTGGGTTTTCCTCCACTAAAAGCAGCTTGTGTCTCAGTACTAATTCATTTAGACAATTCATCTTGAAGCAGACGTCTCTGAATTCACCGATGTCAATGACGGTCTTGAAATGTTAATGTAATAGCAAAGCCTCCATAGTTTTTCAATAGGATCTAATTAAGTTAAAAAAAAAATGTCCGGTTCTTGGAGGGTTAACAGGACACCGCGCCCCCGTGTGGCCGTGAGCGGCAGTTCGGCTTCATTCACCGTGTCACACCAACTCGCATTGTCTGGAGCGGAGAGTGGCGTGCCGAGCTCACTTGCTCCCAGCGCCGGCACAATGAGCAGCTGTCCGCCGCGCTCGGCATGGACCCGGACGGACTAGCCCGCCGGATCATCTGACCCACCCGTCCAGGAGCACTATGTCGCGCGGCACACGGGAGCAGAACTCGAACCCTGACGGGTTTCTGGTTCTCGGCACCAGTGAGCTCCGGGATCTGTTAGACGATGAAGACAAAATGCACCAGATTGTCCGGCTCAGCGCAAAGGTTGTTGTTATTATTATTATTATTATTATTATTATTATTATTATTATTATTATTATTATTATATGTTTCTATTTTAATTATGGGTTATACAGTCTTTTAGGAGCCATAGGTTTATTCCAGGCTAAAAAGAGAAGAAACGAAACACAACGTTTCGGCTGTGGAGCCTTCTTCGGGTTTTATACCACATGCGGGGAGCCTGACGTTTTAAATAATGTAATCCCACAGCATGATTCAATCACTCTCGTATCTCATGGATGTCCAGGTGTATCACGAAGTAGAACTAAACAGCTCAACATTTGAACCGTGCATGTTCAAATATGGTTTGTCAGCTGATCAGTGGTTTGCATGTCTCCTAGTCACACTTCGGATGTGTTTTATGAGCGTGTCCCAAAAACACAAGACTACATAATGGAACAGATGGAAAAACGCTGAAGCATTCGCAATATCTGAAAACGCAAATGCATTTATTTAACAAGTGTGAGAAAATTTCAGGAGTTTTCGAAAGTATTGAGCTCAAAGTCATTGTCCTCGTATTATTGGCACACAGCGGCTGACTAACGTAGCTACACCTTGCTGTGTGGATTAAGCAGAACCTTCACGGGCAGAGCGCTCCGAGCTCAAAAGGGTTTCAAAGGGTTAGCTGGCCGTCTGTGTAGATTTCACAACAGAAGTTGTGAGAAGACGACACGGGGCCGGTCGTTGATGGTGCGGTTTTCTTGCAAGAACTAGCAGGTGCAGTAATGGTGACCTGCAAAATGTGCAGAGGAAACGGCTGCAGCCTCGAATCGCACGGTGATGAGGAGGGTCAGACAGTGAGGGTTTCGGTTTTGCGCTGGACCGTGTGAAGTACTGTGCAGACTGTAATATTGTAACCGCCACAGCGCTGGTAGAATGCGTTCACTGTAGGTAAAACCGATTCTGTCGGGGTAGGAAGTATTACATTAATGCCAGGCGAGCGTGAGAAGAGTGTATTTCGGGGCCAATGTCAAGCTCCTGTGACCTCAGTCATTGGCCACCTTTGTTTCTAGCACGCTAGCACCAGGTCTGGACCAGGAAGCAGTGAAGTACCCGATCTTCAAGATATGTAGAACAATTCGGAAGTCTGTTTTATGTCTCACATGGAGGCCAACGCGAAAAATAAATACTCTTGACAAGGACATAGACATGCAATAGGGATTTTAATAATGTTACCTAACTTGACGCGATACCATCCCATCATTGGCACACACAGTATTTAAAGATGACTAAATGGAGACAGAATGTTTCTGGACCGAGGGAGGAAACCACAGGCAGAACATGCAGACTCCATAGAGAAAATCATTGTCCTTGTATTATTGTCCTCCTATTATCCACAGAGAAGACAGCCCAGACAGAGCCACACCCCTGTAGGTATTACCAAGCTCCTTTCACACAAGTTTTATTTAGTTTTACTGCACATTTTTGCTTTGTCAGTCTGTTTTAGCGGACGAAACAATATTCACAGAATGGCGCAGTCCTACAGTCTCTTTAGGCTCAGGTGCAGAAATTCCAAAACCCTAAAAGATCAGATTCGGTCCAGAGACATGTGGAATATCCAATCATTGCTCTCGCAGTCCAACAGCAGCCGTGCGGTGATGCTTGTGTGAGACCCAGTGCTCAGTTCTGAACGCTTAGTCTGGTTCAAAAACCGCTCACAGAAAGTCAATGGAGCTTTGTGTCCATGTCTCTTAGAAACATCCAGGCATTCTGCGTCGAATGAAGGTTATTACTGGTAATCAGCCTACAATTGTGCACAGATCAAGAATCCTCCAAGAGATGTCACAGGATGTGACTGTGGCACAATATGAGGGCTAGTGTGGTTTTCAGTTTTCAGGGGCGCCGCTGAAAGAGCTGTAATTCAGTCAGTTGTGCGAAGCATAGGTGTGAGTGACATATCCCTCTGTGAGAACTGTCGCCTTTAAAAATCACATTTAATTAACTTTTAATGTAATTCTCAGCACACAAAACAATGTGGTGGAAGCTGGAGAGACATAGACATTTGCTGGTTGAATAGGATGTAAGACTGGAAGCCTTTCAGATTGGGAGGATTCAGTTATAATCTTCTATTCTTTATTGCTGCGTATTTGTACGGCTGTCTAACACCTCTTCAGGGCTTGTCCTTTGAAATGCAGAGAAAGATTGATTCAGGACGCTAATCGATTTCTCTGGAATTATCTTTTCAATACAGATTAAAGGGGGAAAAAAAGTGGCCATTAACCACCGCAGAGGTTTGTCAGCTTCTTTGCGCAGTTCCTGTCTTCACACATTTCACACTTCCCATGAAAACGAATTGTCCAGGAGGCCGATCTGCTAGGGTTCCGAGCGGAGAGACTGAGAATGAATTTACAGCCATTCCTGCAATGCAAAGCAGCCTCTTCAAAGCACAGTTGTCTTTTCTTCAAGGGTTAGAAATATGCTCAAGTGTTTGTTTTACACAGGATGTTCAAGATGTTTGTCCAGGGCTGTCAAACAGTATCAACTCTGGTTTATGAAGGGCTTTTCATTGCAATCAAAGATCAAAATCCCCGAGAGGGGTTTGTAAAAAAAACCTTTTGGGTAAACAATAGCAGGAACAGCTGGGAGAGGGAATGGGTCAGGAAATGGACATTTTGTAATTCAGGCTGGGGGAATGTAAGCAATTCAGAATTTATAAATCTGTTTGGCTCATGGCCCTGGAATATTTGAGGTCCCTGTTCTTTTTTAAAATGTGTCTTTAATATTTAAAAATGCAACACTAAGATGAACTCTTATATAGTAATGTCAATTGCTCTTAAGACATTTTAAGCACATTTTGGAAAACCAATGATGTGATAATTATCAGCGGTCAATGGTTTGTTCCAGGCTAATTAAAACACAGAGAAGTGGTTTGAAGTCCATCCTCTGATCCATGTGCAACTTTGCCACAGCTAGTCTATGGTATTTTTGCAGTTTTGCAGTGGTTATACCATGGTCATACTGTTTAATGAATTAAGAACATAAAACAGCTACAGTTTGGTAGTTAGTAGCTAATTGGTCTAAAGAACTCATCCATGTGTTTTTTAAGAGACTTCAACCAAATAGCTGGGTAGCCTGTTCAACACCCCCACAACTCTTTGAGAGCAGAAGTCAGTTCTTTACCCAGTTTTAAATGCACTTCCATGTAATCCCACTTGAGTCTCCTGGTTCGTGTTTCGCTGTGCATTCTCAAGAAATTCACTGGGGTGACTGTGGATGCCTTTAGGTGTTTTGAATACTTGAGTCATGTCCTCTTGAAATCCTCTCTGTTCAAAGCAAAAATATTAATTTCCTTCTGTCTGTCAGTGTAGGACATTTCCTGAAACCTCATAGTGTATCTGGTTCCTCTTCTCCAGACACACTCCAGGGCAATACTATCTTTTTTTGGAACACGGTGACCAAAATTGTTCACAGGATTCTAAACGAAGCTTTGCAAGCATATTATACCATTTTTAACATAAAATCCCTTGATAAAAATTATGTGCTTTTAACTATATATCTTATTATTTTGATTGCTTTTATCACTGTTTTCTAAAATTTACATTTCTTTTGCTGCGGTTTCTTATACCAATAAATCTGTATAAAGAAGGTGACTGACATCCAAGGGCTATTGCCAATGATAATAATTATAATGATAAAACACAAGAGGTAATGAAAACATTTATTTTGTTTCTTCACCAACGGGTGGAAATCCAATTGCTGTCAGTGCACACTATGGATACAGGCTGAGATATTATTTTCTTCTGAAGTCGATTTTGTTGTTAATCGAGTTATTTTGGCATCTAAAGACATCATTTCGGAAGGGATAACCTTCTAAAGCCAGCAGCCTGGAACATCAGTGTTGTGTTTTCATGCTGTGCATCAACAGCTATGCAGAGTCGTTCTTGCCAAGTTCTTGAGTCTCACACGGTATTGCAGTAATTCAGAAATCTCCCTGACACTGAGCCTGGGAGGCAGAAAAAATCTGGATTGCCGCTGAATTCCGTTATAGCAGAGAAGATGCTGTGGGATTTTTGACAATTACATACAAAGTCAACATTTGATTCTGTGGTTTTGTGTGACGTTGGAATGGCGCTAAAGCTTGCCATTAAGCATTTTTGGAAGCCTCTCTCTTCTTTGACCACAACTTTTTAACCAACGCATTAAAAATGTCTCAGAAGAAAAGATCTTCTTTTCATCTGGAGTACATGGCAACGCTGAGAGAAGCCCGACAGAAACTCTTACTCATTGACTCGGGTTTCTCTCCACTGCTGAGCTGCAGTTTGTGGCTTGCGGACTGTCTGTTTTATTATCACTGGTTTGTCCGTCTTCTTTTTGCATTATGTTCGACCAAGGAGGATTCCTAATGCCGATTTCACCTCTCTTGATGTCATACTCTGGGAAGTTTTGTTAGCCATGGCTAGAATTAGGCTTTTGCAGAAAACTACTTTTTAAAATGCATATTTTAAGTGAGCATCTTAATTGATCGCTCTAATATTGTTTACATCGTGTTCATTTAATTGCCTTGCTTGGTTCAGTGCAACCATCTTTAATTTTTGCTGTGAAACAAGTCCTCCGTGATCAAAATGGATAACAGAGCAGAGGCGTATTGCAGTTTCTGCAGCTCTGTGTCAACCTCTCCTGCGAGACTCCTACTTTTTTCTGATGATGTTACTCAGAGATACAGCAGCCATGGCAAAGTTAGTCAGACTTGAGCCCATAACCTTCTGAGAATGAGTCCTGAGCCCTAATCAGCGCTCCACACAAGGCGAGTGCATGTGTGATACGTAGATAGGACAGGGTGGATAACTACACTGGCTCTTGTGCTCTCTGACAACCATAACAACAAACAGGCTGTGATGTGGAGCCAGAGTCTGCAGACCTGCCACGTTAGTCCTTTTTTGTTCAATTTCTCTTTTTCCCCTTCCTGCTCATTCTAACTGCCGGGCCCTTAACACTTCGGTGGTCCCCTTTGATCACTGAAGAATGTCAAAAGGAAGTAAAAAGGAAATATTAAAAGAACCGTGCATATTTTTATAAAGAAGCTAACCACAGACGCAAGTTAGAAACTCTTAAAAACGTTTTCAAAAGTCTCCGTTCCTCACAGTAGATGGCAGATCCCTCCAGAAATTTGGATGAAATTGTAAGGAATACTAAAATGAAGTTAAAGAAGCAGTGTGTTTTAAATGCATCCTTCTGGCATTTCTGATTTCATGCTCGTAAAGGCCTGTTATAAGCTCTCCATAATTCTCTGCTCTCATTTTATACTTAGATTCCTGTTTATCGTAGTTACTAGCTCCTCTTGATAGCAGTGTTCTGATGTTTTATGTAACTATGTTGTAAAACATATGAATACTTGGGCTGGTATAGTTTCAGTAGCTCAGCCACATCGTAATTAAAGTGTTGCAATGACAAACATTTTAAACAAGATATACAAAATAAATTAAAAAAATATTCCTGAGAGGACAAGCTGACAGGACCCCCTCTTTCTTCACAAGGAAGGAGTCAGGGAGCTGCTGCAAGAGTGAATATGAGGTGGAGAGAGGAGTGTGAGAAAGTAGCACAGGGGGGAGGGGCTCAGCAGGAGAGGTATTTATGTGTGGGAGAGAGGAAGTGGGTGAGATAAGAATTTGCCCTCCTCCCAAACTTGACCACTAATGCCAAGGCATTTGTAGCTCTGTGCTATATAAAAAGAGTGGTGGCATATAAGATTTGTAATTAAAAGGTGACAGTCAATCCAGGTTTGCTGAGCTTTAGACATGAAATCTCGATAATTTAGTTTTCAAATTTCTTTGGTTAGAGATTTATTATTGTCCTTGACTTTTTATTCACCTAAAAGAAAAAAAAATCAGCATCAGGGAAAAGACACAATAAAATAAAAACAATTCCGGAAGTGTTTCCATCAGATAATCCTATAAACCTATTTAAAATTCAATTGAGATTCCCAATGCCCACATTTGCATTGCCCACAAACTGTTAAATAATAAGAAATAAAATTCTTTGTCAACCGTCCTTATTTTTTGTGTTTTCAAATATAAACGTTTTCAGCCTTTGTGTGCATTGTGTGCAAGTGTCAGAACATTTAAAGTTAAGTTAGGTGTATTGTCCTTTGAAACTCAGTTGAAGCTTCTATTTCAGTCTGAGGTGACACTTATTCACACCAATGACTCTGTATAGACAAGGTTCCCCATGGAAAGGAGTTTTAGAAAAGGTTTACATGACAAAAAACAGCCTTTTCACACAAAACTGGCCTCTCTCAGCATCGCACTGCGTCCAGTTTCAGGAGCTGCAGGTGGACAGAGAGACCATGCTGACTACCAACCGCAGCTTGGCTGAGGAGAGCCTGTCCCGCCAGCCAGGACTTCAGAACGGCAAACTACAGCTGGCAGACAAGTACCGGAAACTGGAGCACTTGGCCACAGTGTGCCAGGAGAAGCAGAGACGTCTGGGTGAGTCCTGGCTTTTCCACTACTGTTATTTCATCATGTAGACATGCTTTGTTGATAAAAAAGCCCAAAACATCACGCTCACAGCTTGGTATACATCAGACGATAAGAAAGGGTGATTGCAACCAGCTCAGTCGTCTGGCTCATCTTGCTGATTGAGTCGTGGAGTAGCTGAGTGAATTTGTCCTGTCACTTCTTGAGGGCGTCCAGAGTTTCCACCACTTGCCTGAGAAGCCTGTTCCAGACATCCACATCTTTGTGTAAAGATGTGTTTCCTGTCTCCTCTCCAGAATGAATTCCTTTCTAGGTTCTAGGCCATTTCTGGCTTCATATCCTGGGTTTTTTGGCTGCATAGTCTTCTCTTCTTCCAGGCATGTGCTGAGGGGTGCAGCTTAAAGCTTGAAAAACAGCTGGCTCTTTTATGTATAGAAGGCAAGAGTATAAAAGACTGTAGAAGCCAAGTGGATATTTTAAAGAAAGAAATTAGATTATTTATGTAATTCTGGAAAATGATCGTTCAGACTTTGTTCTGAATGTCTCTGAACTTTTTATTCTTAGTCACACTTTCTGAAGAACAAGTCATCTTTGGTGAGCACTATTCCACAGTCTCAAAGGGCTGAATAAGGGAACGCTGGAATTAGAATTTGTTTCTTTGTAACAAAGTTTTCTATTCAAAGCTGCAAACAGTGACTCCCAGACTGCCTTCCGTTTACATTGTGGTTTACGAAAAGCACATGTGGTGCCATTTTCCCACAATGGCAATGTCCAGAAACGTTCTCAGCAGCAGACATGTTGCTTTTGAAAAAATAACGGGGGTATATGTGATTTTCTGGATTTCCATGTTATCATTTTTATTTGGAAAACCTAGGATTGTGTTTATAATCGGCTTGTTTTGCTGTGGCCTGGGCCTGTCCACGCAGTGAACACCTGCAGAAAGTAGAAAAGTAAAGTTTGGTAGAAAAGTAAACTTAATGGATAGCTATGAATCTAAAATTGTAATTGACCTGATTGATTAACTGTGGGTCAGGAAGAGTATATATGCAGTCCACGCAGTAGAAATAGTTTGGCTCACTGCTTGGCAAGATCAAGCTATTTCGACCCAGAGTCAGAATAAAATCATTTAGCTGTTTTTGATGCGAAAAATCCTTCAATCCTTTTTTTTTTTTCCCAATGGAGACCTGATCCTGCCACTCATAAAGATCCTCTTCTAGTGGAGGATCAATAAATGAATGAGATGCAAACAAAAATTAAAACCAGCTTACGGCTTCCCTAAAAATGCAGCTTTAACCTGCCCAACAAAAGAAGACTGGGGAAAGAGAGCAGGCTGACTTGAGACTGAGAGATCAGGCTGTAGGTGACACAGCCCAGCCCTGCGCTTTGCAGGGATGAGTGTGTCTCTGCAGCTGGGACCTACAGTACGTGCTGCTCTTTCTATGGATAAAGCAGATGTTCGCTGATGGAAAGTGGGAGGACTATCGGCCATCCTGTCAAACAGCACAGGCACCCCGCTGCACTGTCAGACAGGATGGGCGTGAGTTCCTTCCTCGCCGCACATCTGATTCTCATTTTAGAAAAAGGTGGGAAACAAGTATTGGGAAAAACAGAACCCCCTTCCGCACGCCTCTCGGCTCTGGGAATCGGGAAGGCGCAGTGCTGGCGGTACATACCCTGGCCCCGCTCAGCGAGGTGTTGTGCAATTCCTTTTGCTGTGAGTGTGCAGGCACGTTCAGGCAGAGTCCTGCCAGCGCCCCGCTGCAGGGAGGTCCTTACGGTGTCCTGTCCACTCATCGTACCCCATCCCCACACCCGCAGCCTGCGCCAGACTGCAAGTGGACCCGGACACCTAGCTGCGTCACCGTCCCGTCTGCCAGTGTTATCTCCTCGGTCAGCCGTCGAATAGATTCTGAATGAACTTGCTGTATGTAGATGATTTAAAAATGTAGAGAGTGGTGCAAAACAAATATTAATTACTCCACATTATCTCGTAATTCGCTGTTATATGGTTTATATATTTTTTAAATTGTTGAACCTTACCGTGTAAGTCAGGTTTGCTTCAGGATAATAACGCAAAGCCTAGAGTCCTGTAATCATCCTTTGCTTGTGAGCAAAGTCTTTCAACTTTATTTTTCCACGGACATGAAAAGCATCACAGGGCAGCATGATGGCACAGTTGTTAGCATTGCTGCCACACAGCTCTGAGGCCGTGGGATCAATTCTGTATCTGGGATGCTATCTGCGTCAAGTATGTGTGTTCTACCTGTGTTCACGTGGGTTTCCTCTGGGTGCTGTTGTTTCCTCCCACAGTCTAAAGACATATTGGTAGATTAATTGGCTTCTGGTGTGAGTGTGTTCGTATCTGTGTCCCCTGTGATGGACTGTTGTCCCATCCAGGGTGTATCCTGCCTGCACCTGTTGCTTGCCAGGATAGACTCCGGCTACCCCACGACCCTGCGTTGCATAAAATAGTTATAAAGTGGATGGATGACAATAATCACACTGCACTATTATAAAAATAATAGACAAGAGGAATCTTTACACTTTGGTCAAAAAGTAATGGACTGGAGCTTTTGAAGAATGCCAAAGCATAAAAGATCAATTCCCAGTTCAGTTTTTAATGTACAGGCAGAGTTTAAAAAATAATAATTCGCAGCACACTGTTCTCTTCTGGAGCCTTTTATCTAGATGAGTGTCTTCATGGCGATTTGTTCCAGGGTATAAATAAAAACAACAGAGGAAGCTGATCCAAAAGAAAAGCCCCTCGGTCGAAGCTGTGGACAAATATCTTGCAGCCTTTCATCTGCACGGCCCCTCTCTGGAGAGCCCTGAGAAAGTGTGGACAGGCCGTCCTCCCACGCGGGCTTGAGCAACCTGGACAGCTGCGGGCTGACAGGAAACAGGACCCCCTGCCGAGAGAGAAACCCTTCCTGCCTGCGGAGCAGGCGAGCCGTGAGCCCCGTTTATGTCACCATCTGGAGCCACAACAATGACAGGGTGGTGGGTGGGGAGATTTGGCCACACGAAGAACGAAACAAAAAAAAAATGTATTTGCTGGCCTTTCTTTGAAATGAAAAAGAATTGCTGGCATTTGTTTTCAATTACTGCTGACTGACTTGTAGCCAAGACGGGGCTTGTGTGTGAATTTGACTGGTCTGGAACAGTTCTCACTGCATTTCCTCTTACGCTGGTGAAAAGGGTGTTGGGGGGTAGGTATCTGTGTTTGAACACGGGCCTCCAGACTAGACTTTCCAACACAAACATGCATCAAACATCTGGCTCTAATGTTCTTCATGACCCAGATTTGCACATTATTGGCCTAGTTAGAACAATTTGTAGCATTCTCCTGTTCTTAAGGTGTTGGTATTTAATTTCTGTGAAACCTAATTGCAGCAGAATCTTCCAGGATCATTACAGATAGCACCCCAAGTCCAGAATTGAACCCAGTGGCCCAGCACTGCATTGCAGCAATGCTAACCACTGCGCCACAGTGCTACTAAATTTTAAGTTGTTTGTTGATTTCTTTCCTTCACTGCTTTGACATCTGTGCAACAATAGTGGAAGCCTCTTGGCCAGATCATCATCATTGTAAATAAGAAACTGTTGTCATTTGAGTTATTGGGAGTCGCTTTGTTAATAATTAAGATACAACACAAATATGACTCAACATTTTTAGGTGACCCTGTCCGGGAGTCTATGTATACAGCAGTTCAGAGACAGTGCTATACAGATAATTTAATGTACACAGCATTTCAAGGAACAATTACTACTTGCTAATTAGAGACATCATGCTTGCGGCGTGTGAGATGTCCTGACAAGTGCAACTGATTACAACTACTTCTATTTTTAAGAGGTGTCGATGTACATTCCTTGTCAGCTGCTGCAGTAAAATCTGAAGGAAACCGTGAGCAAAAAAAAAATCATGAGAATAGAGTGATCATAGAGGGGCACCTTCAATCATTATGAATTCAAGTTTGCACAGCATTCACATACTGTACATATCTGATATTTGAGGATTTTTTACTCAGATGTAGATGAAGATGCAGGTTTTTGGAGATGCAGGTATTTTGCAAAGGGCTGTGTAGTTTGCTCACTAAAGCAAATGAAACGCTTGTGCAGAAATAAGGGGATGAAGAAATGATGTTCACGCTCTGAATGGGTTAAAAACTGGAATGTGGGAATACTGTTTATAAACATGCTTATATTTACAGCAGTGCATTGACAATGCATGAAACAAGCAACGTGTACAGGTTTAATAATAGGTAGAAGAGGAAGAATGCTAGTAAAAAGTGTAATATGCAGTAGTTAGTAGTTAGAGTAGACAGGGCCACGCTGAGACAAGTTCAGTGCTTCTCTCAGTGTGGGTCTCAAGGTGTTTGCAGTTGTCCCCCAGTGCCTCAGTAGTGTGTGGTTTTGCACTTGTTGCAGACTGTGCTCATGTATCCTCCGTTAACCTGACTTCATCTGCGGGAATGCCGCTCAGTGCCTTTACCACATCCTGTTGCACCTCATATTCTCTTGGTTTGTTAGATCCAATCCAGCATGATATTGTGCATCAGAACTCTACTGATGAAGCAACATCTGTTCTACACTGACACACTAATGACTGGTGCAACACCTGCCCTGTGCTTCACGTGGAATTGGGTCAAAGTGCATTGTCTTACTGTTTTATGCTATAAATGGAAAGTCTGTTAGTCAAGCATGAACCAGCATTTGGCTCTTTGTCTAGCAGACGCCTTTGACCAACAAAGAAACCTAATTCATGACCTAGAAGTCAGTCTTTATCTGGGAAGACATGTTTGGTTTTTAGCACTGTCAGTGTTTTATTAATGTACAAATGCACCTCTTTAGCCACTTTCTAAAACAGATTCTGAAAGGGGCTGTGATATTTGTTCATGCTGCTCTATAATATGATGATATTTAATAGAGGAACAAACACACTGCAAATAATATGTATGTATAAACAGAAAATTGTAAATATTTAAATTAGAAACACAATTTAAATAACCTAGCATCTAAACCTCTTTACCAGACATTGACCACAGAAATTCATCTTGTTTTCTGCGAAACTTCTCACTTCATTTTATTTATTTTTTAAATGTATAAAAAGGTCTGTTCTCTGTTCTCAATCTGTTTGCACTTAACTTAAGTTCTTTGATACTGGTCTGTGGGTTGAGTTTGAAGTGCTGGTTTTGGTATTGATATTGACTTCCTCACCTCCTGTGGGGATTTTCAGACCTCAGTCACATCTCCTCCATGTCCTTCTCCCAAACTAAAGTGATGCTTCAAGAAGGGTTGTAAAAAAAAAGAGAAAAATTGTCAGGAATGGAAAAACAAAACACATGCGGTATGAAATCCTTTTTTTCTTCCTCAAATCAAAAGTATTTAGCCAAGTTTGAGCTGAGGACATTGTTTTCATCCACTCAGCACTCGTGACATTTCCACGCAGTACCTGCTACCTCCTGTCATCTCTGTGAAATCCCCAGACAGAGAAACACCGTTGAATACTGTCAGCTGAGAAACACTGAGAAACAGTGTCTGACAGTAGCTTATTGTCAGCTACTTTTAAGTTGATTCTCTGGCTGGCATTTGCCATGTATTGTTAGACCAGAGAGATCATGTGAGATAATTCCACAAAATATTTTTTTAGCAAAACCTTTTGAACAGGGTTCAGAGGTGTATCTTATTTTGCCTGCATTTCCCATGTTATTCCAAATAAACAGGCCCATGTGTGAGATTTTGTGTCCCTTGTAGGCATTGTTCGGTTTGCTTACTTTTCCCACTACTTGCCTTCACACTTTGCTCTGCCACCATTGTGAAATGCTGTGAGCTACTTAGTGGTGGAAACCTCTATGCAGATTGTAGATGGTGACAAGGAACAGATAGAAATTAAGAAAGGACGAGGAAAGACAATGTGTTTCTGCTTTGGTGCCTTCTTCAGATGTGTGTGAAGTGTGTGTTGTCTCTGACAGACGAGCAATGTGGTGCCATTTTTTTTTTGACTTCCTGCACTGTGCTGTCAGTCAATTAGCCACTGTGTCGGTCTGTTAATCAGAGAAGCTTCTCTCAGGGCAACCACTAAATAACCCTGTCCAGCCCCGTAGACAAGCAACCAAAAAACCACAAGCACACCTGATAGGAGCTAGGCAGAGCGAAGACTGGTTTGAGCAGATTTCTCTTTTTGGTTACGCACACCATCTGTTTTGAGTTTGTGAACTGAAAGGCTGTAGAGCAATACTGATCACAGTCAGGCCTTCGTTGGCAATGCTATACTGCAGTCATGGTAACAAACCACAAAGCCCACCCTTCCCCCACCACAAACAATAAGCACAGTCAAGAAATATGTTGCTTTCTGGCTCTGAACTATGGTTACAGCTATGTTTTTTTTTCATACCGTCTGGAAATCAAGTTAGTCCATTTGGTTGTGTGGCATGTGTTAATACAGCAAACAGCTTCCTTGTGCCACTTACAGAAATTGCGCGGAGCCTCATAAATTTGTGTGGCGTTGCTCTGTGCCTTGTGAGCTCTGATGCAGAAAGCGCCAGGATACCCTTTCATTCCTGGAAACTGGTGCCCCAGCCCACTGCGCCACTGATTCCCCAGGGTGCTCTCTTGCTGGTGTCTGTGGCTCCTGAGCTCCTGAATTATTTCTTTCCCAAATGTAGGTCACTTGCTGTTGTCCCCAAAGTGTTTTGTGTTTTTGCCGCCTGTCTCCTCCCATTATTCTCCAAATGCCTGGGTTTTGGCTCACTTGTGGGGCACACCCTTTTTGTTAAGATTCAAGGGGCAGGGATTAGAAAGACAGGTGGTGATACCGGTACCTGTTTTGTCAAAGGGGCTGAGCTGGTGGTTTTCATTCGGTGCATGGAAAGGTGAGGCAAAATGGCATTCAGCCACAGCTATGTAAAATAGGTATGAGAGACTTAAGAAGATTTGCAAGCATTTCTTGTAAGTGTAGTGCTTTCTACAGGTGAGGAGAGAAGATAATAGCTTTAAATCAAGCAGAACATTTGTGAATGTGAGTGATAAGGGGAGTGAATAAGACTGAAACGGATGGAGTTTGTGGTTTATTTAACTCTAAAAATGAAAAGAGACTAGAACAAGGTGGCAATTATGACGTGTGATTGACGTGAAGTATTTACAGTGGTATTGGGGCTTCTGCAGTGACTTGGTGTCCACTATTTTGGCTCTGTAGGCTTTGTGTTTGAGAAGCACAACTGCCTTTATTGCAGCTGCAGTGGTGTCACTGTCAAAGTGTTTCCCTGTTGTAAATGAACAGAGGCCTTTAATGAAATGCTGCCCTCCAGCCAGCCTCAGACACACACAGGGTCACTGATTAGCTTAATGACACATGTTTCCATAGCTACAAGGGTGCGACTCTTAAAGGGACAAAGCCATTTTTTTCCAGATGGATTAAGCTGATAGAAACTGACTGCTCCCCATCCTTCCCTCAGGCTCACTAATGACACTGTAGACACTTTATGTAGCACAAAGAGAGGGCATTTGCATTGGGAAATGTCCCTATTTTTCATCTCCATCCATCCATGATCAGAAAGCGGTTTGTGCTGGAGAGAGTCATGGTGGCCTGGAGCCTAGCCCAGACTGCTCTGTCCGTGGACAGTGTGCTAGGCCATCGCAGGGTCATCGAGGAAGGGGCAGTTTAGGACAGCCAATCAAACCTAGACAGCATTTGCCTTTGGAAGGTGGAAGGGAACCAGAGCATCTGTGGAAAATCCCCACAAATACAGAGAGAACATCCAGCATTCACACAGAAGGCACCCCAGTTCGGAGTCCACCCAGGACTGAAGAGCTCTGAAACTGTTGTACCAGCAATGGTTCATTGTGGAACTACCTCGTATCAATTTTGCCCTCCACGAATGGCTGTTTTTCTATAGAAAAAACAACTTTTAAGATTCTCTCTTTAGATCTTTTTCTTCTTTTACATCTGTATGTGTTGAGAGTAATGTCTTCAGGTTTACAGAGTTAGAGAAAATAAGGGAAAATAATAAGGAGCCAAATGCTCTAAGAGATATATCCGTTTCCATAATTATATAGTATACGGTGTATGCAATACTATACTGGCCTGATATTGCCTGCAGACTTGCTAAAATCGTAATTCCATGTATTTTCTCTTTCAAATTTCATAGCTCACTGGCCTCTGATCGGATAATGATTAATTGCATTCCACAGTATCAGATTGAATTTTTTTTTAAGCTTTGCCGTTTTTCTTTGCTTCCAGAGGCCTACATACAGAAGCGGAGCCCCCAGGTGGCCCGGACTCTTCTGCAGGAAGAGGTGTCCCGAGCTGAGGAGGAATCTGAGGTGAGTGTGTGGTCCGGGAGGCCTCTTTTGGCCTCCTGTTCAAACTTGCTCCAGAGGTGAAACCCCCTTGATAAACAAACTATGTTGAGCTTGCACGGGCTCTGCCAGACCACTTGGACACTTCAACACTTTTAAACTACTTTCATGTTGCCACTTGAGAGGAGCTTTGGCACAGTAACACATATCCAGCATTGTCTTATAAACCAAATGTCAGGAACATAACTAGTGAAGTTGTGTCAACATTTGCCTGGCATTATTACATTTAGGGTATAATCTGCAACATATGTTATTTATTTTTACAAATGTAGATGCAAAACCATGTTTCAGTTATAAAACAGCACAAGCCCAAGGCTGACATCCAGCAAATAACAACAGCCAAGCATTTCCACTGAGTGCCAGCATGGGCTGTCACAAGAAGCTTTCTGACACATCATTATCTTTCTCTCTCTGACCTTTCATTACAGGTTGTACTTTTACACCCTGCATTAAAAAAAAACCCCAACAAAAACACGAAATGCAAACTACGAATAAGAAAATTGCTGCACGAGTTAAATATTCTTGTTAGCTTTCTTGTTAGCTTATTTCCCCTTTTTCCACACATATGTAATGGATTTAACTGATTGAAGTGATTAAATTAAAGTTAATTGGTGTAAATTCCATCAAAGAGTGTAAATCTAATAGTCAAGAGTAATTTTAAAATTTCTGAACAATCGTTTGACACTTGGTTTTGGTGTTGGGTTATATCAAAGTAAGAATGCTTTACTCCCCTGTGGTTCCAAGTTGGCTCCAGGTTTCTGCAAACCTTACCAGGAGCAATCAGCTTTCAGAAATGGATGGATGGATATCAGGCTGACATCTGAGATATGGTGGGGCTGAGCTGGAAAGCACTGATTATAAAGCCAGGTGGTCCATGTCTAATACAGAGTGTTAATTTATGGCTTTTAAACATCTGAGCAGTGCAGTACTCATTGTGCACTGAGGCGCAACACAGCACAGAAGAGAATGCTATAAGTCATGTGCTCTCTCCCATAATGGGGCCCTAGACTAGATCTATTTCTAAGTCCCACTCAGCAGGGACAATCTATGGATCATCTTTTTTTGTATGTGGAGGTAAATCACTGATTAACTGATTTGAATTCTTATTGCTTAATTTGCCAGGTTTTTCTTCATGGCTTTAGAGAAACTGCCTTATCAAAGGCATATCCTGCCTATAATTGCATTGCACTTTGTCGTTTAAATGATAAATATTTGTATAATTTAGTAAATTAAAAGTCAATACCTGCAAGGCGTCTTTGCTTTTCCTTCCTGGAGATCAACTTTTAAATCAGTGGTAAGGATCATACACTTTGTTCCTGTGTTGTATATTTTCATCTTTAGTTGATGCCCTGTTTCAGAGTGTTCTTAGATCATGAGTGCAATCTTTAACTTGATCTCTTAATGTCTTTTTATTTTTTTGTGTTTGTTTCCACAGGACCTTCTAGAGAAGTTCATGGAAGGCAGCCTGCCCCTTGAAGGGTTTCTGGATTCTTTCCAAAGCATCCGGAAGATCTGCCACATCCGCCGTGCTCAGGCTGAGAAAATCCAGGAGCTGCTGAAACCCAACCAGAATCTCAGGAAACCCAAAAACTCTGGAGAAGAGAAAAAAACAGCCCAGCAGGAGCCCCCTTCCAATGGGTTTTCTGCTCAGGGGCCACCCCGAGTTTTCCAACTGCGTTACGGCCTCACCCCGGCCATATTGCTGCCCCATTTCCCGCTCCCCTCCACCTCAGCCATAGCCCATGCTGCAAGCCTACCTCCTCTGGACTCTCAGCCAGGCCAGACCCAGGCTTTGGGGCCTAGTGCTCCCCATTCTATCCCTGGCCAGCCAGTGGGCCTGAGAGTGATTGGACAGCTTCCTGGGTGGCCTGCCAGGCCTGTGCGTTTGCAACAGATCTGTCGGCAACACAACCACCACCAGCCAGAGCCCCCATACCGATAATGTTTTAGCAACCCCACTCTGGACTTACAGTATACTGCCATAGTCGCCACATTGAGACTCGCAGGTTTATAACAGACACTTTCAGGAGCTTGAAGGATTCCTGTTATCGGCAAGGTTTTGACAGAAAAGGTTTTTTCCGAACTTTTATATTCTTCCACAGCTGGCACTAATGAAGTTAATAAATTAAGTTGAATTTCATTAAATTGTTCATAAAGGGTTTTTGTTGAAAGTGAAAACAAGATCTAACATTTGAAATAATGTGCTTATGTGTATTTGATTTACCCATAATCATTTTTCCAACAAATTCTAGCCAATTAATCACCTGGAAGTCTAAAACCTAGGGTTTCAATGATACATTTGTCCCAATAGCATATGAAGAAACACAAAAAGGTGTAAACTCATATGGAAGCCATAGAAGTGGTTTACCTATAGGTATAAAATTCACCACTGAACTGTGAAGAATGAAAACTAGACATCATTCATCTATTTATTCCTATATTCTTTGAATGACGCTATGACCTTTTGACTTGAAAAGTACTTCATCAAGCCCTTGTGTGTGCCACAGATAGTATAACTAATAGTCTTTCATATTAGGCGGGGGCTGTATTTTGTCAGAAGCGTGTGATTGTGTCTTGGTGTGATTTGAGAAGAGCTTTGGTTTGGAAGCGTCAGGATTTTGTTTTGGTTGCAATTAGAAGTGAACTCTAACAACTGGTATGTATGTCTTCATTGGATCAGAAGATAACAAGCTACATGTCTTAATGTATATTCTAGACAAGTTAACTAGCGTTTGCACACAATGCACTGCCTTGATGTAATTTTTTGAGCCTGTATCACCTCCTGGCTTGGCAAAGCTACTCAGTCCATTCTGGATTTCAATTCTATTTCACACAATCAGTCTTTTTCATGTCTGGACCATTTCACTGCTTCTGTTAAATTTGGCAAAGCCTTTTCAGATCTTTCCATTCTGCCCTATTTCACTTTCTGAGGATTTATCAGGTTCCACAGCATAGACATAATATAGCAAAGACTCCCAAGCTGTGTTCACAAGTACCCTTTGCAATAATGAATGAAGAAAAAAATGTTTTCTACCCACAATCAAGAACAGGTGCCCGTGGAATCTTTGACATTTGCTAATCAAATAAAGGCACTGCAAGCTGTCTACACATAGTAATTGTGTTGGTTTGCAGTGCTGTCTGTGTGCAGATGCACAATGCTCTTAAGAGAAGTCTCTTGTGAGAAGAAATATGTAGTCACTCCTGTGGTTTATGCTCCTGATGAAGACTGCATAAGGAAAGTAATGAGAAACCACAAATCGTCTAAATTTCAATAAGATATTAAATATGAAAAGGGGAAAATGTGAGCTACAGAACTGGGAATTCAAAATGTGATGTGCATCCTACTGTACATCTTGTACAGTGGGTTGTTGACGTATTTATAATATATAAAATGTTGTGGTGGTGGAGTGGTGCAGTGGTTGGGATTGCTGCCTCGCAGTTCTGGGGCCCTGGGGTGCTGTCTGTGTGGAGTCTGCATGTTCTCCTCGTGAGCCAATGGGTTTCCTCCAGGTGCTCCGGTTCCCTTCCACAGTCCAAAGACATGCGGGTGGGTTAATTGGCTTCTGAGAAAATTGAAAGGTGTGTCTGTGTCTTTGTGTGCCCTACGATGGTCTGGTGTCCCGTCCAGGGTGGACCCTGCCTCAGGGGTAGGCTGCCCTCTGACCCTGTGTTGGATGAAGGAGTTAGGAAATGGATGGACAGAAGGATGTAACAGTCACTATAGTCTGGCATCCTTTGTGCTGTAAGTCTCACATGCTCATCTTCAGCACTGTATAGCTACGTCTCTTTATTCCTCCTTAATGCCTCTCATACCAGGCTGTGGCCACAGACCGATAATATATGGAGGGAGAACTGAATTAGAATGAATAATACTGATACCTAATAAAAATGATTAAATAGCTAGGTCTGTTGATGCAAAACATGCTAATTCACTCAATGTGTTGTGGCTCAAGTATAAAATTAATAGTTATTTTGGATCTCTGTGTTCATTTCTTTGTTCAACACAGAAACATACTTGAGAGCGTTTCAAAGAAACTTTGTTGAAGAAACAGCATTGTTGTGTAGGGTTTCAAATCGCATCAATCTGTGATTTTCATTTTTGTGGCTAAAGTTGTTCTTGCAATAGTGCGGGTTCAGTTTAAAAACATTTGTATTTAATAAATGAGACACTTTTTCCAGTACTGAGCTCTGTTTGGGTGTGGCTCTTTGTTTCTATCTTCTCACACAGTGCTGTGTCAGTGTGTCATCTTAAACAGTAGTTTTGGCCTTTTTTTTGTAAAACAAAAAACAGTTTGCTGGTAACTATACTACTTGTTATATTATAACTATAGAGTATATTATTGAAACCCCATTTGTTCAAGTCCCAAGTCCCAGGAAGGTATATTTCCAGTATATTGGTATTATATTTTATGTGTAGGTATATTACGGTATATTGTATTTATAGTGTATTCACACCTCAAACTCATCTGATGAATATTACATCATCAGATGGCAGATGTAATATTCCTCATCTTGCCTCCTCTCTGCACCCCTCCCAATTGAAGATCTAGGCACTACATGTATTTCATATGTAACAAGGATACTACATTTCAAGCCATATATATCATATGGTCAGTCGGCTGATGGGAAACAGTGTGTAATCCTGAAGGGTACTTCTCAGAAATGTACACATAATGCATTCATAAAAGATCAAGAATCAGTATTCCTCATAACATCCATGATATGGAAGAACTGACCACTGTTTTGCCTGAAACACTGCCAAAGCTAAACAGGGATTATCTTCCAAACCTTGGTGTTTGGGTGAAGCTCCTTTGGGTTGAAACAAGAGAGCAGAAGTGCTGTTAGCGCTCACATGACTCTCGCCACATGGCGAAGGAATCAACGCTAGGAAACCAGATGAGGACTCCCACAGCCAAATAAATTGCACATTATGCAAATGTCAGGATAGCTTTGAGGCCAACTGAGTCACACCGCTGAGTGCCCTCTGCTACTCTTGGCGAAGCCTCACAAATTAACCTTGAAATCGCCAGTCCTGACCAAAATCATGCAACCAGATGAGCCAAGCCGATGCCGTAGAATATAGCAGCAGTGTCATTAAGAAGACCTCCCAGGAACACACAACAGACAGTTATGGAAGTCCACGTATATGATCTGTGTTATTTGAGATGCAGAGAAAAACACTTTTTCACCAGAAGGTTGTGTTTAATTTTCCATCAAATGGCATGCCACCAGCAAAGTGTAATTGGGCTGCCTTTTGTCATAAAAAATGATATTTGACTGTGGTTTACTCAGGCCGAATAAGAATGCTTTGGATTTTTGTATTTATGTAAAGTGTTTTTGCTTCTGGAGTGATAGTCACTTTATTGGCAGGACAGCAGCCTCGGAGGTTGTCATGACACAGGTCATCTCCTGTAGCAGTGATAATAAATAGAGGCAGAACATCCATGCCCCTAATATCTGCTGTAGAGTAATAAGAGTGACCATCCGAAACCCACAGCTGCCTTAATTTATTTTAAAAAAAGACCTCAACATTTCTGCTAAAATGCTGTTTCGATGTGTCCAGAGACATAATTTTTTATTTTTATTTTATCAAGCCCTGTAGTCGTCAGGGGAGGTAGGAAGAGTATTGGCAATGAACAGGAAAAAAAGACCCTTGTTTAATTGTCCAAACAGCACACGCTAAATGTTATCTTTTTGTCTTCCTTCCTGACGTTGACTTCCTTACACTGCCAGCCAGGATCTGTTCTGTGGTACACTAACTCTAAATCTGGTGGAACTATTATTCAGACTGTTTGCTTTTATTTTCTGTGACAAATGTATGAAGAGAACAGCAGAAAGGAAGTTAGCTCGACTGTAAAAAAAAGATTGCGTACAAATGCTCCACTATCAAATTAGGAATTGGTCGGTAAAAAGGAGAGATGTAATCTTGAGACCACAGAATTGTAAATGAAATTATAGTGAAGTTATAATAAAAATTCAGAAAGGGGGTTAGATCCTAATCTCGCACACTTCCGCTTGCCTACGCATATAAACCTCGCACCCGGGATTTTGTTTCGCTTGTCTCTGGTGCTTTCCCCCTCCAAGTCTGCGCCATGCAGCAAAATCCCTGGTTTGGGCAGTGTATCCCATTTCAGAATGTCATTTAGCTTCCTTAGCTTCCTTGCCTTATACATGTACATATTCTACCTCTCTCGCCTCTCTCGAAAACATTCCACTTACAGACAAATGTTGCTTAATAGAAATGTGAACTAGCAAGTTTCCCCGAGAGCAAGTGACCTGACTGTAGTGTATTTACTTCATAAAACTCTGAAGCTCAAGAGCCCAGAATGACATAATGATTCAATTAAGGCATCACATATTTTTCAAATATTTTAGCAACAACGATGGTAACAGCTATAATTATATGGCTGTGTATGCACAGTATTAATTTCCTGTCTTCAAATTAATTTTGACATGGACGTTCCAAAATGTCATGTTGTCATTTGTCTTCTAACAGAGAAAGAAATAATGATAACATGTACTGTAAATGGAGATTATTAACTATTAACCCACACTCGGCAAAATCTTTGCACGATCATTTTTTAGCCCTTGTCTACTGTGTGTCATGGAGTATCTACAGATCTGCATCAGAACCCCTGCTGGATTCATCTGATACCCCAAGAGGTCAGCCGAGGGTGTGCTCTTCTAGTTAAACCCATCGCCCTAATTAGCCCTGGGAGAGAGGACAGTAGCCAGACAGAAGGGGCAAAGAAAAAGGGCGACACGAGAGGCTTTGTGAGGCAGCAGGCCTTTTTGTCCCTGAAACAGACTTCTGTTACATCAGTGTCAACACCAACCATTGTCACCAGCGGCTCAAATTAGGCAATTTTCTCTTCCGTCAGCGGGTCATTAAGTGCCTTTGAGCTAGATGTCTCTGAGCAGCACAGTTATTGAGCTATAAAACAGCTCATGCTGTACCAGTACACAAAAACAATACCATATTTTATGTGAATATAACATTTAACCACAGTGTGCAATGCAAACCACTTTAGTATATGACATGGATGGGGATTTATATTTATTTTCTATTGATATATTTATAGTATTGAAATATAAATATTAATTTATAGTACTGAACTATAACAAGAGCTCATGCTGTACCTGTATATTTAAGAAAGAAACATACATGTCAGATCAGAAGGATGTAAACCTCAGGATGGAATGCAAATCAATTAGGTGTACAATAGCAGATGACACTTTGAACTTTGAAAAATTCCATCCAAACATTAAACTTCTAAATTTAGCTACCCCTAATCTGTAATCTGAGTTCAGAATTATATAGTCCATCCCACAATGACTGGACAGTACAGATCTGTGAGTTTCTAGCTGGTCTGAAATGAACTTGATGTCAAGGATGTCAGTGCTGCTGTGTCTGTGGAGTATGTGTGTTTAAGAGCAGAAAGAGACAATCGTGTGAATGATAAATTTCACTAAAGCCTTTCGTGTGGAGCCAGTGTCACACAATCTCATGTTCACTAGGCAGAAGCACCCGCAGACCTCAGCCTACATGCAGTAAGGTCACTGGCAGCCAGCGAGCTGCCAGGGCCTATTAAGACGTGAGACCGCATTAATGAAGACAGCCTGCAGGTGCATTCGGGGAGCCTGGAAACAGTCTGCTGAAGAAACAACCCCCACTCTCCCAGGCCTCTCCCCCCCACCAGCTCTGGTTGCAGCAGAATCAAGCCAGCTTAGTCCAGCTCACATATAGAGTACTCCTGGCAAGACTGTGCCACTCAACTGGCACCAGTGGGACTCTTCATGTGTGGGCGGGAGCATGCATTTAGAGCTTGTGTGCACATGTGTGTGTCCATGGCTGTGCATGTCCATGTGAATTTCTGTATGTTTGAAGTAACAGGCACGTGTATGATTGTGGGGAGGGCGGGGTTGACTTGCATCGCTGAGCGTAATTGTGTGCTCATAAATTTTGTGCAGCACACATATGCATTAGTGTACACGTGAGTTAGCAGTCTCGGGAAAAACACAAATTAAGCATGCTTTGCAGAACATTGGATGTGCTAATGCTTATCTTCTTAAAAAACATAGTTTTTGCATAACCAGACATTGTTAGTTGACTGTGCTTGAATGTTGTTTTCGTTGCAAGGGTGGTGGAACATGTTGATGCTGTTTTCATTATTTTCGAGTAGGTTATTTTTGTCTTCCTAGCACAAAAATTGCAGCTGTTTTGGTGCTTGTCAAGAATTTACCAGTGCGTGTACACCAACAGGTAATCCTAGGGTGTGTGTTGTTTTTCCATTAACACTGCTGTTCCCTGTAAGCACTGTCTCTGCCTACAGCATAGTCAAGTCCAAGGTGTATTTGAGAGAAGAGGTCAAAAGGATCAAATATGTCAGCTTTTCTTCAAGGGGAAGTTTTTGCAGTGAATATAAAATACGAATGTGAAAGGTTGTATTTGCCTTAGAATTCCCTGAAGTCTAGAATTCCCAGTTCCCTAAATGATTGTTATTGTATGTAAAAATTGAAGACCCAATATTGTATCATCAGTTTCCTGAATTGTTTAGTATGATATCAGTATTCTTTAAATAGTACAAATTCAGCGTAACATCATATTGATTTTTTTTTTCTCTGAATTACGGGACTTTTAAGTTATAGATTTACAGAACTGCATAAACAACGCCTCACCAGTAGGGGGAGATCGTCCGCCAGGCTCATTTCGAGCCACCACAGAGAACACTTTCCAGAGCTGCACTTCCGCTGGGGTTGTTGTGGCGGAGACGAAAGATGGCGGACGCCAAGCAGAGCGACTCCCGGCCGGGTAAAGGAATGGGTAAGGAGACCCAGCCCCTCGTCATAGCTAAGACCCCGGCTGAGGAGCAGCGGCTCAAGCTGGAAAGATTAATGCGAAATCCCGTAAGTTTGTGAAATCCAATGCTTGACGTTTTTAAGGGTCGGGTGTAAAACGCCATGAAAGAGTTACCTTTTCAATAACAACACCTACCGGTATATAATAGAAAACGATCGAACTTACTTACATTCTGCTTTGCATTATTAATTATTGCAATAATTCATATCGTTAATAGTTATTATTATTATTTTTTAGACGTTAAGCATGCGTTTGAGCAGAACGTCTGAAAATCTAACGCATTGTAACATCATGCAACGCTGATGTTGTTACCTGGTCCTGTTTCATGTACAAGCCATGTTTTTGTTTTCAAGAGTACGAGAGCCGAGAAAACAGTGTTGGAGACCCCTGACTTTTTGTTTGTATTGATTTGTGATGCAGGACAAACCTGCCCCGATCCCAGAGAGACCCAAGGAATGGAAACCCCGAGCTGCCCCGGAGTTTGTGCGCGATGTCATGGGTGAGACCGCTTTCTGACCTCTTCCTCCAATCCAGGGTCGTGGGGAGCTGGAGTCTGTCTCGGCAAGTAGGTGGGGTGCACCTTGGATGGGACACCAGTCTGTTGCAGAGCAGACCCAGACCCAGACCCAGACACACACACACACATACACACACCTACAAGTATTTCAGGTGGGGAGCTGCGTCAGCATGCGTAGGCTGCAAAGGAACAAGTAATAGGTTTATTCCTGCTGAAAAGAGAAGTAAGGAAACACAACATTTCAGCCGTGGAGCCTGCTCACCCGAAGCTCATACCTGAAGAGGGCTCCATGGCCGAAACGTTGTGTTTTCTTTCTTCTCTTTTCAGCATGGAATTAATCCTATTACTTGTTCCTTTGCCACCTACCAGTATGCTTTTGGACTGTGGGTGTACAGCAGAGCAGGTGGAGGAAACCCTCATGAACACAGGGAGATCATGCAAACTTGAAGCCATGGGCACAGTGCTGTGAGGAAGCAATGCTAAACACTGCGCCGCTGTGGTGCTCACAGAGCAGCAGATGAAGCTCCTATAAGTATTCATAAGAAATATTATAAAGGGCTTTGACTGTTAGGGCTGGTGGTGGAGGCTTGGAATGCTGTTGCAATATTATAGCTGGCTGTGTTTTGGGGGGTCCTTCAGTAGAAACATCGGAAGGGAGCTAAATACTACTTTTGCAAAGAGAGTTGTGGGATCTTGGTCTCTAACGTGTCGTTTGAGGGACAGCACCTCCTGCAGCACGGTGTCTGTTGTCACTATGATGGGATATTGGTTGGACAGTGTGGTCCAGAAGGAAGAGCACCACCTTCTGTTCCATCACACTTATTTATAGCAGCAAGCTGGTTTTCTTTAGAACTCTGCTGTCTCGGTAACGACGGGTTCCAACCCTGCTGAGCTTCTGAGATTTGACTAGATCAAGCTACAAGGTGATAATGCTGCTGTTTTATTTAGGTTCCAGTGCTGGGGCAGGCAGTGGGGAGTTCCATGTCTACAGACACCTCCGGCGCAGAGAATACCAGAGACAGGACTTCCTGGACCGCATGTCTGAAAAGGTCTGTATAGTCTCATCCTTTCATTATAGAACTCTTCAGGAACCATAGCAGATGGTGTTAAATTAATAGCCAGGGTATTGACTTCAATAACAAGTAGCCTGTTACATTCTCCCACAATCCTTGAAGTGGAGAAGTGCCTTCTGATCCCAGTTGCTCTCCTGTTCACTGTCAGGAGTCTAATATTGTACTAGAAATGAGTAGAGTTTATTTCCAGTGCTGTGACAATTGTCTTTACCTTTACAGCAAAAGCAGGACATGGAATATCAGTGGAAGCTGGAACAAAACAGACACATGGCAGAGGAGAGGACAGCGAAACGCAGGAAGAAAAGGTGAGGGGGTGACAGATTGTCAGACACAAAGTGCAGTAGTTCAGAGTTTCTGAAGAGAGAAACTCTGTGAGAGACCTTACACATTAGTACGGGTATCTTCAGAGGTGTGTAGTTTAGATTCTTATCCACTGCTGTGTATATAATCCTTTTACCAAGTACCTGTCTCTTAAAAGCTTATCTGACCATGCAGTTTGCCAGATAAAGACTGTGCCAGATGATACAATAAATCAAGTGAAGAAATATTGCATCAAGGCAAATGTAAGAATTTCAAGATGTATCTCTCTTCCCAGACAAAAGCTAAAGGAAAAGAAACAAATGGCCAAGAAAGCTAAACTGGAGAATGACAAAGATGAAGGTAAGATATTCTTTGAAATAATGTGATCTAATTCTCTAAGGATATTTGCGTATTCTGTGTAATGAGTTTACATTTGGGTGGTTGGCATAGATTTAAGTGTAGTTTGTCCTGAGTTTACAAAGCTGTTTGCACAGAAGTGTGCTTGAGCATAAACACCTGAACACCCAAGTGCAGTCTCCTCCATCCTAGCCTTGTACAGCAAGGAGGATCACAGTGAAAGCTCCCTAACATGTGAGGACAAATTTGATGAGCGCCCGTGATCTCATCATTGTGACGTTCTTTATTGTCAGACTCTGAAAAGACATCCTCCAGCAGTGATGAGGGGAACAAGGAGCAGGCAGGACAGGCTGAAGATGATGCTGAAGTCCCCAGCTTTGTAATGGGAGGAAGGTGAAACACTGCACTTGTGCAAGGGGGGATGAGGACTGGATTTATAACATGCAGTGACATTGAGACTCTTTATTCAAGGAACAAATAACGTGGTAACCAGAAAAATGTGGAATGGAAAATGTGTGGAGGTTCAGAAACCCTGTTCATAAAATATAATTTCAAGTTTTCCTGTATCTGGGGTAGTGGAATATGAGCTAGGGGGATATGCCAATTTAAACCTACACTCATTTAGAAAGGTCATGTTGCTTTAATGCTTTAAAAAAATTAAGTTTTTGCTCGCATGGAACTGGGAGGGCAGCACTGTCACAGTTAATCTACCAGCAAGAAGGAAACAGTCCAATTAAATGTGTGAGATGCATCTTGTAGATACATGGGAAGTGGCTGCCAATCAAACATGAACAGTGACAGACTAATTGGGCTAATTGGTTATTATGAAGGAATCTGAACATTACTTATTTTGGTATTGATGCACTGCATACCAACAACACTTAGTCTTGCTGTGGTCCAGATAGCCTAGCTTAATGGAGGGTTTTCCTAATAAAATCACTTGTCCTTGGTTTTTCCTCCCCAAATTGTATATATATTTTTAAAATAAAGATTTGTAAAAAAGTTTTTTAAACAAAGGGTTGCTTTTTGAAAAGACCATCCATTGTGCCAGTAATGGCTCAATTCCTCTGTCAGACCTCTTCAGCTGCAGAAGTTTTTTTAAGTCCTCTTTAATATTCTAGGACTCCACCCGAGATATTGTTAGTGTTATTTAACACTCAATGTATGAGATCATAGTCCAGTTGCATGGATTAGGAAAATATGGTTTCATGGCAAACTGTTGATTGCTCTGCTTGGGTTACTCTGCAATTCACATTTGAAGAGAAATGTTCAAGCTTTAAAATAATTCCCTTTTTTTAATCTACAATTGTAATCTGTTCTCTAACATGTGACAATGTATAGGAGGACTTCATGCCAGTCTGTCCGTGCCCGCTTGTGCTACTATATAGTTGTTAAACCAACTTCTTCTCCCTACCTGCCTACTGATCAGAGAGAAACACTGCAGAGAGCTGGCAAAATTGCTGCTAAACCCTGGTAATAAAATTCAATTTCCAGTAGCTTTTATTGGCCATTGGGTAACATTAATTGGCAACATACAGAAAGCAGTCGATGGCTGAATTACACTGCAGGATGTATATGCACAAGACAATACACTTGAATCAGGATACAAAACAAAGCGGTGTGATGCTAGGATGAACACAGGACATGGACACATTCCCAGGGACACTTCCCTGAAATATTCTCTGTACTTCTGAATGTTAAGTACTTACCTGGGCACCATTTGCATGATTTTTCATATTATTTTGCCTTTTTTCCTGCCCTGTACTGCTACATCAATCTTCAACACCAGTCACTAGTTCTAGGCATGGACCTATTTTTTAAAATATTTTTATTTTTTAAAGAGAAATCTGGGGCAGCAACCCTAACCTGTCTTCTGTGGGTCTCTTCAGCCGAGCATAAGGTTCGTTATCAACACACAGATCTGCCGGTGTCTCTTTGCTATCCCTCCTGAGCCTCCAGTTGCAGTTCAAGTGCAGAGGAACAACTTCTTACCTTTAATTGTTGCCACACTCAAGTTTCATGTGATGTCTGTCTGTATACACATATAGTTTACTTTAGTTTTTGTTTAAAAATGCAGCTTGCCTGTTTTTCTAAAATAATTCCATAGAGGGGTGGCACAGTGTGGTGGTTGGCGCAGCTCTTGAGTAATAATAATAATAATAATAATAATAATTAATAATTGCTTAAACTTAATATAGCACTGTTCTGGACACTCCACTCAAAGCGCTTTACAGGTAATGGGGACTCCCCTCCACCATCACCAGTGTGCAGCCCCACCTGGATGATGCGACGGCAGCCATAGTGCGCCAGAACGCTCCCCACACATCAGCTGCTGTGTGTGAGTAGCTTCTATATGGAGTTTGCATGTTCCCTCTGCGTTTGCTTGGTGTGTTTCTGGGTGCTCTGGTTTCCTCACACCTACTAAACACAAACCAACCATGTAAAATGGCTGGAAAAAACAGCACAGTACAAAGGTATAGCTGACTGATTTCATGGGATATTTGTGTGCCAGTTTGCTGAAATGTTTATGATGTTATGCTCTATTATGCTGCCCCGTTCAATTGTTCCCATCTGAATCTCGTATGGTAGACTGGCTTGCCATCCAGGATGTCCTGCCTTGTGCCCTGTGATATTGGGAAAGGTTCCAAGCTGCCATGACCATCACCTGGAATAAGCTGATTTGTGATGTTGGACACATCATTCCATATACTATGCATACCACTCATTCAGCACTGAGTGAAAAGATTCCTACACGCTTCTAAAATGGCCAGGAGTCACTACAACAGTAGCCCAGTAACAGAACAGATGAAGTCTGGCCGGCTGAAAAGACTGAGTCATAAGGGCTAGGAAAGGAACTGTAAGGACCAATTCCATTTTGTGCTCAACCCTCCCTTCTTGTTGTGATTGTAATCGAGATTGTCTATAAATGATTTCGACATGATTTAAGTTATTTCAAAAGTTTGTTCAGCATTTTCCTAAAAATTGTAAAAAGCTTTTGCAAAGCATCCCCTTGCCACCTGTGTTTACGTACTTCTATAAAGTGAGAAAACCGCATAAACCTTATGTCATCCAAGACAGTTTCCCTTTGGCCTTCCTTCTTCATATTTTGCCCACATGACCAGACATAGGTGCCTTTGTGAACAGGAGCCTCAGTATAATCACAGACAGGAACTGCTGGCAAGCTGGTACAAAACATTGTTCGCTGTTAGGAGCAGTGGAAAGGACAGAAATATTTGAGCAAAAGCCCCACTTTTACACCGTGCACAGAACTGTCAGTCATAGATATTAAAAGAAACCCAATAAAGTCCAGTAAATATAAAATTATATGTATCATCATCTATATATAACACTGAGGTGTTCTTACACTTTCTAGCATACACTTTTCTTTCCAGTGCAGCACCAGTTACCCTCTCATAGAAAAGTTGTCTTCTCCAGTCATTTTATTTGCCCTGGTGTGAGGAGGAAACCTGCCAGCAGATCTGACACCCATGGGAAGTTCCAGCGATCTGTCCTGGGGAGTGTTTAACATTCAGCTGAGATGAGGTGAGTGGGGTGGTTCGAGGCGAGACTTCCACGCTGGAGCCCTTTGTCAGCTAAAATTGAAAGCCCTGGCCTCTTCAGTCCTTTGGGTCTGAAAGCCAAATGAAGATGGGAGGATGGACAATGTCATCGGCTCCTGTGAGAGCCATTTGTATGTGCACAGTGAGCAGCTCTTTCTGGCAGATTAAAATGAAATGTCTGGAGAGATCCCATCACATTTTCCACTGTGATTAGACCCATTATGTTTGTAGTTCCAGGAGGAAGTTTTTGTTTTTGGATTGCTCTGCACGCTCCACGGCTGCATGGGCTTCCTGCAGGTCCTGCAGGACCTTGAAGAGCCTGGTTGCCACATCCTGCTTCTCCAGTTCTGCACAGAGGGACAAACACAGGCCCTGTTAGCAACCCTGGTGATCTGTCTGGTGCAATCTCTGTGCCCAGCTGCTCATCAATTTAACACTTCAGCTTTTAAACACTTGCAAAGTCTGTTAAAAACTTAAATGTTTAAGATTTATACTCCTTGCCTGCTCTACGGTGCAGGTGCGTTGCAATTAAATCTAAGTTCTTAATAGTTGTGATTCATCTGTATTAGTGAGCCCGACAATATGTAGGTATAATGTACAAAATGCAAGTACACATTGTAGTGCTCAAGGTCTCTCATAAATACCTAGAAACCCTCACCTGATGTAGAACCCTGATCATTACTCTTCTCTTGCTGGATCCTCTCGTGGTGCTTTTCTCTTAAAGACAGAAATAAAACAGGTCTTTGTTTTTGATTCAATTGCCGCAATTAGCGTTGCAAATTCACAATTCGATTTTCCTTGTGGTGGTTCGAAGGAGGGGATCTCAAGGACCCAGGAAGTGAAAGCTACCTCATGGCCTGCTGGACACTCATCAGGTGCCGGAATATGAGCTGGGATTCCAGGTCAGGGTCTAAAGGGTCATTCCACTCCTGCAGAGTGACTCCATGTCGGGTCTTGTCACAGCCCACAGCTGGAAAGGGGAGATAACGCAGAAAGACCCAGTGAGGGAGACAGAAAACGGAAAAGAAATACAGAAAGAATAGAGACCAGAGGCTGAGAGAAAAGTAATTATACTGTCTGGTAGATGTCCAAGTATTTCATACATCTCTATTGCCTGTTCCACTCAGCCTGCTTTCCAAATGAGTACCGGGGGTTAATCCTTTCTAGAAATCCACTTGATTGAGTAATACCACCTTCACAAACCATGTATATAGCTTATAGTGCTTATATGGTGCAGATTAGGTGTATGGTGCAGTACCTGTTTTGTCCTTTTGGTGGCAGCAGCTCCACTTGTCTCCCTTATAAATTCCAGGGTGATAGGAGCTCATGGTCTCTGTATTGTGAATGCAGGCCTTCCTTAGGGCAGAGAGCCATTGGTTCAGCTCATTAACACTCTGACAAGACAGAGAGAGATGCATCAGGAAAGAACTGGCACAAGCTTGAGCTTCTTGCTCCTAAGGCTATTTTCTGTGCTGTGTTCATATTGTGCTCAGCTGGTGAAAAAAACTAGTTTCCACCTCTGTAGAAAAGCAGGAACAAATACATCTAAATCTTCACCAAAAGTCCTTTCCTTGCACATTTTCCAGATATGACGATTCTGTTCAATGTTCAGGATGCACGAAGGTGGTGACTTGAGCAATATGAGTAGAAAATTAATATATTTGAAGAATTTATCCAGTCTACATTGATCCAGCAAAAAGGGACCTCAAGCATTCTAGCAGATGGAGCCATTCTGGAGATTAGTTAATAAGCACAGATTGACATTTCTGTTTTTGCTATGCCCCTCTTCTACTCCAAAGACCAGAAACACCCTTATCCCCTTCTTCTGTGACAAGATCAAGCAATTCAAGGTCTCATGCAGACTTACAAAAATAAACAAGTTATTACATTAAATTGAGACTCTGATTAGATTTAAATTAAAACAACTTTTAACAAATTTCAAAGTCAGTTTTAAGAAAATTATCGATTTTAAGAGTACTCTTTTGCCATATTTCATGCACAGTACAAATATAAATGCTAAAAACTACCTAGACTACTTTAACTCATTCTTTCTACCTTTAACATGCCATCAAATTGCAGTCCTAATTCGTCAAATTCCTAACAAAGGACAAATCTGTGCATTCAATTCAAAAGTCAAAAACAGTAAGTGGGTAATCTGGAAGATACATTTGTTAAATTTAAATATTCTAATGTATTTCTGGACCAAAAGTAAGTGGCACATTTTCTTAGACAGACATTTGTATAAAAGAAAAAAAATGGCCTAAATTTCATCTTGGATGCTGATTCATTAAGATCCTTTAAACAGTGTACTGATGAGGTATAGGGATCAATAATTCTGCTGACCTTGCACATAAGGTAGAGTGTCTCTAGCTGGCCATTGTCCTCACTGGAGATGATCTGCATGACATTGGAGCTGCCAAAGCTCTTCTCTTCCACCTTCTCCACAGCCCTGATCTTCTGTAGGGTGATGAACGAGATCTTCTGCTTGAGAGATGAAACAGACATAGGCTTTGATATTAAAGCACCAAGGTCTCCATCTCCACATTGCTGTAGAACATCGCCCACACATGAAGTGGCACACGGCTGAGAGGTGGAGTGGACATGGGTACATGGGCAGACCTTGGAGTTTTGCGTCCTGGTGTAGGACAGGGTGTCCCTGGCAAGGCTGACGTAGTACTTTTTGAACGGTGAGGCGATGAGCATGCTCTTGTCTTTGGTCTTGTGCAGGAAGAGGAAGCCCTCTTTGAGAATGAAGCTACTCTGAAGACTCAGGCTGTGCTGCAGGTCCGGGTCTGAAACACAGCCACAGAGATGTACGTCATAAAGATAGAGTCTCAACAGTTCTGGACAGATTATCTCCAGCCCTGGTTCTGGAGAACCCCAGTCCAGATAGTTTTATAAGCTACAGTGACAGGAACACTGTCAGGTAAGATGTAGGTGAGATCATAAATGAGAATCGCCCTGGAAAGATGAAGGTCTAGAGCCAGTGGTGTTGGTGGAGGCCATTAGTTTGCTTAAATTTTGCAGGGAGGGTGTTTGTCTCTTCCAGTGGAGTTAATGCTACTGAACCTGAACCTGTGAGCTTTTCCAACCACCTACCCTTTACTGACCCTTACTGACAGAAAGGGAGTAGCAGATGGTTTTCTTAAATTGAAGGCATGCCTGTCTTTTCTTGGAGTCTACGCTTGGTTTTTGGGAGGAAATTAAATTATAGCACAGCCCACATGGCCTCTTGACGCAGTGGGCTGTGATAGTCACCTGTTTCTGATGATTAGCAACATCTGTAACTTAATTGCTAAATTAAGGAAAGGAATCTTTTCAATTAAGAGAGCTCTGGCCTTTGAATGCTGAAGTGTATCACAAGTAAATTATTTAATTGATTAAATCACTTGCTTAATTGGAGCTCTGGGGGCAAGGCTTGGAGATTCCTGATCAATAGTGGTAAGAGAAGAAGGTCCCAGTATTAGGACAGTTTTTTCTGTGCTTCTCCAGCTGTGCTCACCGTCCCCTTCTTCACAGCTGACCAGCTGGGTGATGAAGTCCTTGAGCTGGGAGATGCCCTGCTGGATGGCAGGCTGCAGGGGCACCATCCAAGGCTCCTTGGAACGGCAGGCCAGGGTGTCAAGGTTGCCAATGTTCTGAACAGCCTGCAGGATTGGCACAGAGCACAGCAGTCATTCCCTCACCAGATACTTCCCAGATACTTCCAAAAACCCACCAATCACATCCAGTAGGAAATAATTCTTCTGCTAGATTCCCGTGCAACAGGTATCTGGTAATATTTTTCCCATTGTGTGTATTTTATAGAATAATGAAATATCTATCCATTTTCTAACCACTTCATCCAGTTGAGGGTTGCCTGGCAAATAACGGGATACACCCTAGATGGGATGCCAATCCTTTACAGGGTTCAGACAGTCAGACCCGCTCACACTCACATCAGGGCCAATTTCCCCTGAGCTCAATTAACCTGATGCTAACCACTGCACCACCACGCCAGCCCTTAAATAATAATAATTATTACAAAAATAAAACTGTATAAACTCAGTAGTAATACTACTACTTACAGTACATGTTAAAAATGTTAAGTTTTGCTGCAAGCAAGCTTGCATGAAGGAAGTGGGTGCCAAAAAAGTGCATGCTATAACCACAACCCAGCGACTGCCTTCATCAGGGTGAAGTGTATGGAACAGAAGGCTCTTAAACCAGGCCAGCCAATGTGGCTCCAGTCGATCGGAGGACAGTGTCGGTAGATAAGAGCCGGCGGGCTCCGTCCCGGAGCCAGAGAAGGAGAGCTGCACCTTGGCCAGCAGCAGCAGCGTGCGACTCGTACGGGCGTCGGGGTGCTTCTCCCTCAGGTGGAAGAGCTTGGGGGACATGATGGCCGGCGAGAAGAAGCGCAGGCAGAGGAAACTAGTCACCGCGATGAACTTCACTTTCTGTGGGGACAGCAGGCAGAGGATAAATACGTCAGAGCTCAGTTGTGCCAGCGGAGAGACTAGTCCTACACTCCTCCTTCGACATAACAGTATGACATAACATAACAGAGCTGGTGGTAACTGGACTTCAAAGAAGTACAGAGGGATCTGGTAGATATCTAGGATTGGTTCGTGACAGAGAGCCCATCTACCCAGCTGCACTCACCCGGTACTCCTTCTCGGGGAAGTGCGCCTGAACGCGCTGGTACAGCTGGCGGAAGGCGTGGCGCAGGGCAGGGGGGCAGTGGCTGGCAGACAGCATGATGGCATGGAGCAGCTCGGTCAGGTAGGACTGCAGGTGGGTGGTGCTCTGCTGGATCACGTCAGCCTCTGTCTGGAGACGGTGCAGCCCCGTGCACCTGCACGCAGTCAAACAGTCAGAGACACAGACACGTGCACATTCAAACTGCTCCGAGATCTGAGTTCAGCTGGAAGGCCTGACTATTCTAATAATCATGAAACCTCAATGAATAAATGTCCAGATGGTTCAAACTGAATCGAATCCACAACACATTCATGAATTCATGTGGGATCACCAAAATAACTCTTTTGGCAATCTATTCTCACTGGCACCCAAAGTGTTGTCTCTAGCGCTATGAGTGCTGCACTCACAGCCAGAAGCACAGACAGCCAAACACCATAAAAATGCACACCATCACACACACCCTGCCAGAAACACAATCAGACAAGCAAACACACAAAAATGCACACCGACACACACCGACACAGATCAGCTGGCTCAACCCCCCCACCCCCCTTTTAATACCAACTGTCAGTTAGCTAGTTAAAAAAATGAAAGAGACCTGCACTGGCTTAATATTCTTAGCTCAGAGACTGTGCCTTAGTCAGGTTTGTGAAAGTCCGTCTGAAACTTTATGTGATCGTTCTTTCAGGTCCACAACAGGCCACTCTACCGCTCTGCTTTTTCAAAATAATTTGCCAAGCACTGTGGCGAAGACTGATGGGGAAAAAAAAACAGCTTCTCAAAAAAATTCCAGATGAAAGTAAAAAAAAGTAGATTAAGGTAGAAAAAAGACAAGACAAAGGATGGGAAAGTACTTCCTAGGTGTGTATCCCTAACTACAAATGGCACCGCTGATCTTCATTCTCTACATAACAACATGAGGAGTGTTCTGACTGACAGGAGCCCATCTCGCCTGTCTTCCACGTTTGTTTTGCTGGTAGAAGCTGCTCACCCTGCCTCCTTCAGCTCCACCTTGTTGGGGTCCAGTTCCACGTACTTTTTCTCCTCAAAGACCCTGTTCACGGTGGGGCCCAGAACCCTGTGCAGATACTGCATCCCCGCCACCTAGTGGACACACCAGAGAGTTACCCAGGGCTGCAGAGGAAGTCTGCAGGTGCACCTGGCTACTCTTCCACTCATCCATTCTGCCACCCTCTCATCACGTCTTCCAATTCAGGACAACATAAAGCAAAGTTTTAATTTGTTTACTGGGGTATATATTACTTCAGTTAAGTAAATGAGACCTCTACTATACATATATACCTTTAAGTGCTACACTAAAGCCAACATTAATACCAAGAAAAAAAAAGCCCTCCTTACCTTTAAAAAAGACTCCATAGACTTGGAAGCCAGTGAGTTGCTACGAAACAAGGTGTTTGGTTCACCTGCAAAGAATAGCATAATAACAGCAAAAAGGAGAGGTCAGACAATTGGGTGGACATTTTTATTTGACTCCATGGTATGAACTACTGTCTTACTGGTCTTCTCCAGCTCCAGGGTGAACAGAACGTCCAAGAACTCCAGGGCTAAGCCCTGGCCCAGGAAGAGCTTGACAAGGTTGGTGGCCACTTCCTGTCGACCCTCAGCTGTGGTCGTCTCGTCAATGAGCATGATCAAATCTGACCGGTTGCCCTGGGTAACAAAAGTGAGAAACCGCTGAATGGTAAAGACAAATAACTAGAAAGATGATGATGTACACAACTGGCTGGGCCAAGCCAAGGCTACAGATGCCCCAGCCTGGCTGCTGGAAGTAAGTTTTCTGTCACAGGAACATAATTTGTTACACTGACTTACTATTCCAACAAGAGTTACTTCTCAAACTACACCTTAGTTTAATTCTCAGGAGGGGGTGAACAGAAATCAAACTAACAACATTAAAGCTGAGAAGACTAATAAGTTAAGCCTGGAATGGCGAGTAAGAAAAGTATGCCTTTCTGTCACCCGTTTTTCCAAGCTATATAGTAAATCCTAAAGCAAACAACATTTATTTTCATCAGTAATGACACTGATAATATGACCAGATCTGGCACAAACCAGATGACCTGTACTGGGCCATAAATAAGCAGAGTGCCAAGTGGGCAGTGTGTAGGACTGGGCACTCACATTGAGGTTTGTGCCCACAGACTGGCACATCAGCTCGGTGAGAGGCTGGTAGTGGCTGGAGGGCAGGACAGTCTCATCTCGGAGCCTCAGCTGCAGTCTCAGCGATCCCAGAGTCCCTCTGTAAGAGGCACTGCATTACACACCAGAAATCACTAGTTTCGCTCGGTGTGCTCTGATACGGGACAACTGCTGACTACTGTTTATAGCCAAGTGGGTTAAAAGGGAAATAAACTGGTTGCTAGAGCCAAGTTCTACGTTTTTTTACACACAGCTACACTACAAAGTAATGCACTGCTTCGTATATTCCCATGAGAGTAGAGTACTTTTACCTAACCATGTGTATGAGTCACACAAGTAAGGCCAAGCAATGTAAAATAGCCAGCGCTGTAAAAGTTCCTGTCAATTTCGAGTACATTCCTGTCAATGTGTCCAAAAATACCTTTTTCTTGTCTCTCTCACTTCACCTCAAAGAGTCACACATGAAAAGCTTTGAAGTGATCATAGTTCAATGAATCCCCATAGTTTAAAAATAAATATTAAAAAGATGCCTCACTGATTAGACACTAGAATTTGTATTGCAATTACTACATAACATGGAGATGTCCTTGGTTTTAAGGGGTAGTGTGTTCTAAGAGAAGGCAGCATTTCTTTGGCAAAAAAGCAGCAGTGAATCGACAGACACACAGCGACAGATGGGAAGCTGTTGTAAAACTCCCGGTACAGGAGATAAAACGCAAAACAAAGCGAACCACAAACAAAGCAGTTGGATTGTTCGGATTTCAAACAAGGAGAATGAGGCTCGGACCCACAGAGGAAGGAATGCCTTGCTCAATCAAAGTGAAAGCCTCCAGCCAGGAAAGTCTAAAAGCAAGAACAAGTCTATTTTCTTCTCCCTCCAGCTACTGTACTTGAGTTTCCCCAACATTACTTTCACTGTTCAGTATAAGGGGATGTTTATAACAGTCACACTCTCCTTTTCTAATGCATTTACAGTAGAACACATTATGTGGTGCATACTTTTGTTTTTTTAAATAACCACCTGATAGTTGGTCTTGGTTGACCTAGGTCTTTCAATGCTTCGTAGATTGCTGCTGGTCTTTAAATGCTGGTCTTTAAATGGTTTGCTATTTACATCTCCAGCATGATTGTGCCTTCTCTCTGCAGCACAGTACTAATTAACTAATAGTCAGCAACTGCCTCTCCACCTCTGGAAGGAGCATTTCCTACTTCACGAGTTGAGATGTAGTTGCATACTTTCCTTGTAGCATTTTTTGTCAGAAAGACTGCAAGTGAGAGGATGCCATTCGGTAGTCGGAAATGTATTACTCATTTGTAAAACAACATTTTAAAATTTAATATATTTTTTGGAGAAAGGAGTTTAGAAATAATTATTAATATTGACAGCCTCCCCTTAAAACCTAGGACACACACAAAGCTGGAGCATAGTGGTGTTTTTAATAATGTCCTGAGCACTTCTAATGTATTATTACTGTGCCCTGTAGTTATCTGACTATGTTAAAGTGCTTGTAGACCTTTTGTTTCCATTAAAAAGGCCCAACTAAAAATGACTGTGGATACAAAATATCAGAAATTGAACTGATCTGTTGGTTCAAGTCCTACTTTGAATACAGAAGCAAAGGCCCAGGTTCCTAATAAAGAGAAGATGCTGTCCACTTAATCTTTCAATCCTCAGGATTTTCTACCATTGTAAGCTCTAAATATAATACATGGACCCCTGCCTGGCATTATGATTATGGAAAATTCCTTTCTGTCTCTCCTTTTTTAACATAATATTTTAAGCCTCTTGTTTATAACTCATAAGACCTCCCACTCAAGAGATGAACTATTTATTTTGTTTGAAAAGGAACGTTTTATCAGCCATTCCCTTGTAATTGTCATTTCAAGAACACGGCCTGTGATTTAGGAACCTCCACTCAGACTTTCCTAACAGGAAATTAGACTCCATACTCCTTGTCTGGATAGCAATCAGTATATGACTCATGTATAATGTGTAGCAGCGCTTTTCTTTAAATGACCATGACTGGCTTTTCGATTGAACCATGATGTGACCAAATTTTCCAGTCAAAAAAAAGGAGAAGATCCAGGAAATAACAAGATGACTTTCTAAGGCTTTGCTCAAGAGTAAAGCTTCCTTTATTCCAGTTATATATTAATTAGTAGTCTAATCTAATCCAGCTGTAACAAGTAATTTCCTTTCGTACTGAATATACTTTTGAATTCAATATGGCGACACTCAAAATTGAAACTAGGTTTGATAAAAACGTCATTCCAAAACTATTTGGAATAGCTGGAGTTGGCACATCCCTAATGATTGTATGCTGTTATCCATCCAAAAGTCTGTATCTGCATCCAGCTCTGTATCAATCATATCATAGCTTTAACAGTGAGGATGACACCACTCCAATCTCTTCTGCACTTGACTATATTCCTCGTTTTTTGCTGTATTTTGAAGTGGGCGGTCCCTTTTATCACTAAACCTACAGGGTCGACTGTAAGAACCCTCACCTGTTACATAACTCGCCCCCTTTGCTGTTGAACACTAATCTCTTCTGAGCATCCACATTACCACATGATCTTCTGTGGGAGGGAAAAGGGGGATTTTAGAGCTGGTGAAATGGATTTGCTCTTCCTGTTAGCATGTGGAAATGCACAGATAGCCAGAAAGAGAGAGGAAAGGGGGATGAGCTGGTGTCTTCCCTTAAATGTTGGGTCATGTTGGGTCATGTGATTAACTCCGACAGGGAGCTGTTGCCCAAGTCAGAGGTGTGATGTGCAGGCAGTCCGAGGACTCACTCGTACTGGCTGTGCTTGGGTTTGTCTGGGCTCAGACGGAACCAGCCCTCCACCTGCTCCGCGGACTGAAGCCTGTTGATGTTGAACAGCACCTGATCCAAGGGAGAGTAACACAGAGTCATGCTCAAATAACACCAACTCAGAGGAAGACTAGCTTTTTAGGACATCCCCCTCTTCCAGCTGGAGCTCTGCTAAAGTTTTGCACTCTGCTATTATCTCTTATTACTCTTAAATATAACTGAAAGGTTGTGGTTTTATGTTACACAACACACATTAGCAAGGTTTGTCCTAGGTTACTAGAAGGCCACTGTTAGAGTATTTCAGATCTTCAAATGTAATGTTATAGCCAGATCTTGATGTTTTATACACATTGCTCTCTTCACAGAAGGCTACAGAATCCCACAATAACAAGTGAACACTGCAGTCTGAAACCTCCTTCTTAAAGCACTGTAAAGGTTTTGAAACATGTGTTACCCCTCCAAAAACATCTACTGTAGGTATATACATTCAAACTGCTCTGGCCTTATACAATGACACATTCTGACACATTCTGATGGTAGCTTGCAGATGGGAATCCCCTACCCATGCATATTTCAAAATTCTGCAGGCATGCTGGCTGCTACTCATTCTTTATTGATGAGGGTGCAAATTAGGCTCCAATAAACTTGATTTATTTACACAGAGAGAGCAGTAAAATCCTCGTGTCCATACTTTACTTCGAGGCTCATCGGAGTGTGTTCTGGTTTCTGTAATGTTACAAAGACCCTGAATCACAAGGCTACCCTCTAGCAATGCTGGTAGCTGTTAGTATGTCCTCAACAATTAGTGTAAAGTACCTTGCTGAAAGTTCTAGCAGCAGTGTGTGGAATATGCACTTGAACCTAAAATCCTCTATATTTGCCTTTATTATTGCTTCGCCACATATTCTGGAAGATGTATGCTATGTCTCGGCATTACTGCCTCTTCAGTCTCAAATGATTTCCATTTTATTTTTATAGTTTATGTGTTTTCTACTTGCATGCAAAATCCTGAACTTATCTACATAATATAATCTACCAGGTGTTTGCTCAGTCCTGATTTTTATCTAAATGTTTTTGGAAATTCTTTTACGGTTTTTACAGTGTTCACTAGCCATCTTAATTTGGTATCATCTGCAGACTTGACTAGTTTGCCAGTACCAGAACCTACATCACTGTTATGAATAAAGAAGAGCCCAGGAAGCTGTAAGGCCTACTGTAACGCTGAGAGCTGTGAGAGTTTGATCACACCCTATCTTTAGGGACGCTCAACCAATTTTATGTCCCTGCTTAGGGGATCCCAGCCACACTCAGCTAGTGACATGAGCCTGGCTCAAGCTCATAGAGTTCAACCTGGTATGGTTGGACCACTTGGGGAAGCCCCTGTTTTCGTATTATAAGCAATTCTTTATTCTATCTGTTCTGGGATCTGCAGCTTCTGAAAAGATGTATCCAATGAGAAATATACAGGCGAACAGGACACCTTGCTGAAAAAGAGCTTTAACAACACATGCTGTGCATCACTGCCCCAGATCTTCAACAGGCCATTTCAAAAAGCTTTTTCTTTTCATGCAATTGCTGGCTAGCACAGAAAATAAGAAAGCAAAGAGAAACGGCAATTGAGAAACCATGAATCACACAAACAATAGGAAATGCAGTAATGGAAGTAAATGTCTCCCTTTGCACAACAGTTGGATTCACTTTAAGTGCTACGAGCTGCAGAATATTGTAAACATTGAACTGCAGAATGTAATGATTCATCCAATATATTTATTTAAATATATACAGTGGCTGTATAAAGCTCACGAGTAACAAGGTTCAAATATTGATCTTGAATCCAGTTTTAAAGGCTCATCAGAACAAGGAGCTCTCTGTCCTTCTGTCTGTGTTCCTCTGTCTTCCCCTGCTCTCTCTATACCTGCCTGTTTTACCCTGTGATCCTGATTGACACTTAATCATTTACCCAGAACTTAATTAACCAAAATAAACTAGCATGTGCCACAACTAAGTAAACACCATAGTTCTTTCCTTTGCTTTGCACCTCCTAGAACATCACATGTTTACCCTGGACAGGGTAAATCATTATATCTAGATTCTTAAAGACACTTCAATAGTTAATTCCAATAGCTATGAGAATATTAATACATTCTGAGGGCACTGTATGCATCAGGCTAAAAGAACTCATTCTTGGCAATGTTTGTATTTGATTGACATATTCACAATCCTGCAAGGTATTAAAGTAAAATCAGTGCTGTTCTACAGAACCAACAGTAGAAGGAACAGAGGACCAGTAAAACAGAGCACACTAGATCCATCGAGACTCTGCCTCACCTTGCCCAGGAAGTCATTCTTGCTGACCAGATCCCAGTCCCACACTTCCACGCTCAGAGGGGTGTCAGCACTTGCCTCGTCCAGGTCAAACTCGAAGCTCTCGTTCCAGCGAGGGTAGCAGGACTTCTTCACAACCTGCAAGGTACACCACACCACAAGCACACCGTAGGCCTCAATATTAACAACCATCAATGTCTTTTCAGCAGATCTTCTGCCCTGGGCTGCTCTACAAGACGGGAGGCTATCTCAGGAGTGCTAACTTACCGTGCTCTCATGTGTTTTGCCATTGTAACGAACTCTTACAAAGGGGTCAGAGGCTCCGTTGCGATCCTTTCTGGCCAGGTCTCTGTTGGAAGAGAGGAATATGTACCCACACATTAGAGGATGGATGAGATTGGAAAATAAAGCACCTTACATGTAATAAAGAATGTTTTTCAACAGCTCTGTAACTCTAACAATCTTACTTCCTATACTTTTATTATATTCTTACCTACTGTCCACTGGTATGTATTATGATAATTAAAATCATACTTTTCTTCTATAGTATCTTGATACATCATGATGCTTTACAAAAAAACAACGAAAAGGAGTGGGTGTACATACATTAATACCCTGCGCCGCACCTGCTGTTCGCTGGGATAGAATGGATGGATGTATCAAGTGTCTGTGATTCTTTCTAAAGACGAACAGCTTGCAGATTTCTGAGTACAGCTTTATTCTTTTTCAACAAACTCATTTGTTTTTTAAAACAAGGTCCCCAAATCTCTTTAACTTCACAAGAGGAGTAAGCACAGATGGCACCTAAGCTTTACTTTGTGTACTATGACGTGATACTAGAGCGAGAACGAAGCAAACACTCTCTGAGAAATGCAGTCGGGTGATCAGAGTTTGTTCGTCCTGTCAGGAAGCCTGATGCTGCACAGATCTGTGGGCTGGCTTTCAGACCAGAGTGTCTGGCAAGTGAAAACAGGAGATTAAAAGAATTCCAGAGACACACAAGGCAATCCAACCACAGCAGTGGTGGAAAACTATGAGACACTTGCAGGTAATTGACATTTCTTCTTGAGTCTCTCGGATGGGGGGTTCATCTTAAGTGCCTGGATTTCTATATTCTATAATCAGCGTTGTGAGTATATTCTGAATTTGGTGCCAAGCTAACATCCCCTTCTGGGGATTACATGGAGAAACACAGGAAGGAGAAGAGCAGCCCCAGTGCAGGCCTTGGGTTTAGAAGTGCATACCAGCCAAAGACAGAAAGAAGAGCAGAGAAAGAAGAAAACAAGCAGCCTCTGAGGTCCTGTTCCCAGATTGGTGGGCAACCAACTACTGCAAGAGCTCATCAGTGTATCGCCTCTTCCTGTTTACAGCCGCTAAGGTGAACCGACTTTACATTAAAAAGAGAGTCATCTGATCTCATTAGGGCTCGCCTGATAATGGCAATCAGTGCCTGAGTGAGTCATTCACTAGGCAGCCTCCTCTGCCAACCGCTGAGCAATCGATTGAGAGAGGGGAGAACCGCATCCCCTCCAGTGGCTGGGAGCCTGGCAGTCAGAGTGCGGATCTGTATGGCGCAAGATGGCGCTGGAGATATTCTTCTTTGGCTCAGTGGACTCCCAGCCCTCTGCTGTGAAAGTGAAACTCTTTTCCAGTAGCCACAAACAAGGGCTCTTATCTCAGCTGGGAGTGGGTTTGCATAACCACTGGGTTTCCTGTATTTGTTTTTCTTTGCTGTTTGTTCCTATACAGCATTGCCATCTCACCCAACGTTTCAAGCCTGAGCATTTGTCTCAAGGTGTGTTTTAAGATCTAGACACAGTGGTTAGTCACATATCTGCCAAAAACCATTCAATAAGTGTATAGCTGTAAGACAGTCAGTCCCAGTGTAATATGCAAACTAGAATAACTTAAACAATGTACATAACCATTAACAGTCATTTGCATCTGATAAGGATGTATTAAATGTTAAATGTATTTGCTTTAGAATTTTATTTCCACCCACCAAAAGTAATCAGGGAACAAGGCAAAATACAGTAGGCGTGAATACTTATTCATTCCTTTATGTACAGTATAAGATGATCAGTTCAGAGATTGATGTCAAATTATCCGAATGTAGTGCTTGAATGTGTACTTATTAACACTGGCAACTGGTTGCTCTTTGAACCCAGGTCTCATAAATTGTGTCTCTTATGTTGAGAGTTTATTGGCTTGAGCTACTTGTATTTCAAATGGAAACAAAACCTTTTAAGGCCTCCTTTGCCTTGAGAGTTCATTAGCCAAACTCAAAACTTGGCAAAGTGTTTTCGTAGATGGTTAGAGCTTTCGAATATGAAACCAAATAAAGGTTGAAGGAAAGGTTTCTGCAAGAAGAAACAAGGAGTTATGGTACAAGCTAGCTTCAGGAGCTCAGACTTCCATGATGTTCTATCAAAACATATTTCTGTAAGCTTCCTGAACAGACAAGGAACAAAAGTAGCAAAAATAAATTTTAAACAATCTGTCTCAACCGTAAACTGAGATTTAAAGGAGAAAGTTGGAGGCCTGTGTGAGAGAGGAGGGAGCCACACTATGAGTTTTCATTAACAGCCCATGTTTCTAGTGGTTACACAACCACAAAGCTGTTTAACTCCCCAGATGCAGCAGATGGTTTTAAAACCCCGTAGCACTGACTGAAATAGTGGATGAGCTATGAGATTCCCAGGCCATTTCTCTCAGGGAGGAATTCAGTATCCTTACTCAGATCTATGGGGCTATCAAAATAATAACCGCTAGCCAAGACCTTAAGCAGAAGGCAAGACATGAGCTCAATCAGTTATATACAGAATACTGTCCATAGTTTAACATATGGACAGATAAAAATGATCTATTGTAACAAAGTCACAAAGAACAATATGCAACCTGCATGGGACAGAAAAAAATTATCATGATGTCAAAATATGAGATAATTGGCTTATGTACATAAGGTATCATCGGTACCAGCTTATTCACAGAGGAAACTTATTGTGCTGTTTCTTTAGGAGTCCTAACCCAACAGCACACATAATTAAGTTATACTACTTAAAAGAAACGTCACTTATTTTCAGTCCCTAAAATACTTGGAAGTAATTTCCACAGAATATCCCAGCTTTTCTCTTTGTTGTGTCTGAAGTAAAAGTTGGGAGTCCATTTAGAAAATTCTCTTTTCAAAGTATTGAAAAATTCCTTGGAACAAAGTGCATGAGTATTCCTGTTCAGGGAAAACAATTAAGACACCTTCTGCATAGCAACACATGCTTTAAAGCTTCCTTTGAGGAAATGTGCATAAGCAGATAGGAAGATTTTAAGTTATTTCCAACACAATGTTTTTCTGCTTTATCAGCACAATCTGCAACTCATTAAACCTGAAGTGTTTTGAGCTTCTACACTATGCATACATTTCCTGTTTCCCTGCAGTTTGAAATATTTGTTGTAATGTGAAATTTAAGATGAACACAAATGTATCAGTTGGCTGATCATCTGAATCTAGTAAATGGCAGAGGGCAAAACATTTTGAGTCGCTACAGCTGGGTCAGAAATCCACAGCAGTAACGTTTCTCAGTCTCTGAGGGAAACTGAGCAGGGCAGCGACTCCCACGCGCAACTGATCGCACTGAGGTGGAGAGCTTCCCTGCCAGGAAGGGTACAGAGACCGCACAGCAGCCCACTCCTACACTAGCTCTCACCGCTACACTCCAGCAGCAACAGTAAGTGCGACTTCAGCCTCAACAGTAGGAAAGGGCCTCCAGCACTTGATTGCTCCACTATAACTGAGTCTACATGAACTCCAGGTAAGGTTACCAACACGGCAGTCCAGGAGGAAAAAGTCCCTTTTCCCCATTGACTCTGTTTTCTCCTGGTAGATACAGTATGCAGCCCATTTTTAACTTCAGCTTTTAGGAAAACGCAGAAAGCTTTTAGGAGGGCAAAATCTCTGAAAATCCCCGTGTGAGGTAACACAAGTGGAGAACCATACAATTACACCAAACAGTACACAGAATCATAACGCACAATCAGTACATTATTGCTTTTTAGTGTGCCTTTTTAGTGTATATCAGATTCCACAACTAGTTTAGTCCAGGGTAGCTCCTCAGACTATTTGGAAATATCTGAACATTTATTGGACCAACAATATATAATATAAAACATAGGAAAAATATTAAAGCACTATGCCCCAGTTCTGTAGGCAGGAACAGTGATATACTGATAACTATTACAAAATGTATAATTCATAAGAAATTAACACTGAATTCTCAAAATAGACATTCTCTGTTAAGATATGCTATATTTAATTCTACCTTGGTTTGCTAAAATGCTTTATTTTAAGGGGTCAGGGAGGTCAAACACACCTGGCCTCGAAGACCTGACAGTGAAGTTTTCGGGCTCCCTGGTCCCCCAGCACTGCAATTTGCAAGTGGATCTCCCCTTGCACCTCCTCATCCGGGTCGATCTCAGTCAGACTCACCCAGCCGTCCAGCCCTGAGATCAAAACACAGTTAGGACACAAACACTAAGCTTGCGATGAGTATGAATCTGTGAAAAGCACAAGTATTGGGGGAAGTGAAAGGGTTTGTGATTTTTGCTGTGTACTAATAATAACACTGAAACTATAATACTAAATGTACGGAAGATAAATCTAGAGGGGTGGCATGATAGCACAGTGGTTACAATTGTGGTTAGCTGGTGAGCTGATGTGTGATGAGCGTTGTGGCGCACTATGGCTGCTGTCGCATCATCCAGGTGGGGCTGCACACTGGTGTTGGTGGAGGGGATCCCCATTACCTGTAAAGCGCTTTGAGTGGAGTGTCCAGAAAACCACAATATAAGTGTAAGCATTATTATTATTATTATTATTATTATTATTATTATTATTATTATTATTATTAATACAATTGCTGCCTTACAGCAGTGTGGCCCTGGGTTCAAATCCAGACCTAGGGTGCTATCTGTGTGGGGGTTGTATGTTCTCCCCATTCACATTTTTTTGGGTTAAGTGTTTAGCAATCGAATGGATGGATGACACTGAAGCTTGTATTTCAGTTAAAAAGATTATTCTGAGGTATTATTTTGCAACACCATTTGCCTATTTGTCCCAATACCTATGCTCACCTGAATTTTGAAACGGGGGGAATAAACACTTCAAATAACACTGTTCTAAAATGGATAAACATGTAGGCACAGAAATATCCAGAAATAAAAGCTGACATTCTGTAATTTTGCCTCATTTGTCATTTGAGATCTGAAATACAAATTTCAACAACACAGCAAAACTGACAAATTTTACTTCACTGTCCCAAACCTTATGCTTTTCACTGTACATTTTTCACAGTCTGCTATAAACATATTTTTGTATTACTCAATTTATGTGCATTCAGAAATAAAAAAGAAGACCAGTATAAATAATTTTACTGTCTATATTTGTCATAATATTCAGAATTGGCTAACAATCCCACTGACTGGTTATTAAATCCAATAAAAATGCACCCAAGAAATCTATACCAAAAGCTACCTGTGGTCAAGAAAAAATACATTAACAAATGAGAAGTATATTAAGATAAAGTCATGTTTAAAACAAAAATTAACCCACATTTGTCACACCTCCTTACTCTTTTAAGTGAAGCCGTAAATAGATTGATCGTCTATTCCAGTGGGAGATCAGCCACCTGTTCTCTTTATGGAATGCCCACAGTGAAATAAATGCTTGTGAGCCTCAACCTGGAAGCCTGTCAGGCTACGTCTTATTTGGAAAACTCGACTGGAAAACAAACAGTGTTTTTCCATGGACTTGCGTGTAAAAGACATAAATCGCTTCAAAGTTAGTTATTTATGAGTCTACAGATACAAGTTGACTTTCCACCATGTAAGTGGAAAAACTGTACAAAGCCTTCAGCCCGCCCTGTGCTGTAGGGCAGAATCCAACAGAGATGATTCAAGCTTCTGTTGTGACCACAGAGGCAGAATATGGACATTGACCTGAACTGGTGAACCACCCTGAACCCTGGTCCTTGGTCTTAAAGTAAATGAACACGATATGGATTAATATGAAAGGGCTATTTCTCTGCAGAACTGGACTTTATTTAAGTCCTCTGTGTGTATGCTGATTTTAAAGGCTGCACTTGAAGATCACCTTATTAACTGTGTGTGATCGCAGCTGATTGGTATCATTCCATTACAAAGAAAATGAAATTGATTCCCGCAATGTCATTTCCATGTTCCTTTATGCAATAAAGAATGCGCACAACGTCTGATCTCAATGGGGGTTTTAACTTGCAGCAGCTTGTGTTGATCTGCCACACTCTGTTTCTCCCGAGAAGCATTTCTTTCCAGATTAACGATTTGAATGGGTCACTTTTTAGCGACAAGCCTGTGACGAGGCAAAGAACAAGTCAAAGGCAAATGGGATGATCAGATCGCCTTGTCATCAAAAGGCAAAGAGATGGGATTCTAGGAGATTAATGAACTATGCGTCATAAAATCTGTATGCAATCACTGCACAAAATGAAGCCAGAAGAAAAAATCCCTATGCATCACAACATTCATTCACATTTTAAATGTGGGAACAGTATTTAATTCCAAATTTATCCTACTCCAGAAAACAATATTTTATCCACTTTTAATGAGGGAGTGTCATGTGGATTCCCTTTTCTCTCGCTTTTTTGTGCCTTGCAGGGTCACCTGCTGGACCACATAACAATAAAATGTAAATGACCGCAGGTTTTACAGCAGTTTAAGTAGCTACTGGGAAAAATGGGTCCAGTGTTAATTAGCGAGTACTGTGAAGTATAGCGTTTTAAAAATCTCAGTAAACTGGTGCACAAAATCCCTGTGAAATTAGACACGAGTACACTACTCTTTGTTCTGCTTTTTCCAGTTCATTGCAAGGGAAACACACAAACACATTGAGGCACAGCATTAAAATGAGCTAGCATGTCTGTGGAGGGTGAGAGGCAACTTGATCTCCTGGTGTTGTAGGAAATTCTTCCTCAGAGGAGCAGAAAACAGTCTTGTGCAGATTCAGTTTTATTGAGCTCAATAAAGACAGCAACATGCGCTGTGTCTGCCCTACAGAACACACACTGCAAGGGCTTCCCAACACTTACATAGGGTCAGAATAAAGCAGACATTGATCTGCTTAATCCTGTTTATGGTACAGCATGTTTATGGGTGTTGGATCTGCCCTTTGTTATCTAGCGTTACATCGCTGGAGTTGCTAAAGCTAGTCATTTTTTTTGCATCCTAGCATAATTTTTGTTGAAGGCTAAATTGAAATACCCCAGCAACACCTTCCACAATGTGGTTAAGTGGTAATATTGTAATGCTGGAGATGTGCGACATTTACATGTTCGAACGTCAGTGGCAATAACCCACTTGAATACAGGGAGACCAAATCTTCACGAGGGACAACAACATTCAAGGATTTAATGCTTTCTGAATGGCTGGATTAATTTGTGAGAAAAGCTTGTCTTAACCCCCTTGGTTAATGGGCAGCCTAATGGCCACAGCACAAGGAGGCTTGAACCCATTCAGACTGAGAGAACCAGCTGGGTGGAGATGGGACAGAGGAGAGATGCTTGAGACGAATGCGAAAGGGGGCATTTGAGATCAGTCTACATAGTTTGGTGATACTGGTGATTAGGTGCAGCTAGGTAAGACTGACTTGTCGTTGTTATCCCTCCAGAAAATAGTTAATAACTTCCATTTAGGATCCAAGATCTATGACAGCAGAGCAAACAACCTCACCACCATTCTGCTCTACCTCGTATAAATAATGTGTTTTGGTTACTCTAATGCTTTGTCACCTTACAGAAAAGCATCAGCCAAATAAATTAAAAAATAATAATGAACAGGCTCTGTACATGGGTGGGGTGATCGGAGTTTCAGAGTTGTCTGAGTCTTCCATTAAAAATGTTCAAATGAAATGAGCAACTTCGCCCACTCACGCACACTGGGTATGACCTTTGGTAACTATGAGCGCCAGCTATCCCCAGCTGGGTGCCCTTCAAAAGGGCACACCTGCAGCTCCACCATCTCCGTTCGCAACCGGCGCTTGTGGTAACAGCTGGATACCTTGCTAATATGACCCAGCTCAAAAGGGTGACTTTCATACAGTAGTTTACTGTTTCAAACAAATGTAGACATTTACTGTATGAACAGGAGAGTGTTTTTAACACTACAGGCAAGTCAGCACAGTGAGGACCCTGTAATTTCAGATAAAACAGCAAAGTCAAAGAGTTAATTTTTCAGATTAGCGCATAATCTTATTCTTATGTGTAAACAAGTGTCTTTAGTTAAACTGGAAGAGCTGATGCATTAGAGGTACATAGCACATAGTGGAATTAATGACATATGTGGCACAAATCGGATTAAATTAGGGGAAAAACAAACATTTATCCCAGCCAGAGACACATTCACACTTCCAGTCAGCACCAGAGGGATAGCTGTGAGCATGCCCTAATTCTTCTCTTTCCAAACTCGTCACGATATTGGATGTCCCCACTGTGGCCTGAGTCAGTCGGTATGTCAGTCCCAGCGTGCAGGAATCGTTAGGTCAAGATCTGACACTGCTGCTTCCTTAATCCCAGTGAGTCACCACTTCCTAGCCTTGTCAGCGACGGTTACTCACTCAGAGGTAAACGCGAACAGATTTAGTAAAACTGTTGTTGTTTTTCTGACGAAGTATGAGCACCGTTATGTGCATTCAGTATCACCCAAGATAGTCCCCTAATTGAAGTGACCTTATAATAAACCACAAGGGTGTAAAATGACTAGCTGTGTATTACAGTTCAAAACCTTCAACACTGAATCAAATGTGGGCCTCTCACATCCTCAAATCCTCAAAAGTGTGGGCAAAATCAACAACATGGATTTGTTCAGAACAAACAGTGAAACACCAACAAAAGGATAACCAGCAGAAGTGCATTTAAAACTGCAAACAGGAGGAACCTCTTAACCCAAAGGGTTGTGGGAGTATGAAACAACCTAGACAGCCATGCTGCTGAAGTCGACTCCCTGGGTTCCTTCAAGAAGCGGCTGGAGCAGATATCTGCTTGAAAAATGTGCACCTGGGTGCATAAGAAAACCTTCTGTCAGATTTTCTCAAATGATACCAGATTTTTAAAGACAACTGTTGGAATAATACAGACTCTGCATAACAGAGACATACAGTAAGTGGCTCAAGGCACTGAACCGAGTTAAGGAAAGGTCATGCTGAATTTAGAACAGTCTCTTCAATTATTGCCCTGTACCACACAGGATGATTCAGGGAAAATGGATCACTATACTTCTATTACCTTAAGGTCTTCAGTAGGTTATCAATCCTAATTATATGCTTCAGATTCAGAGAAACTGGATGATTTTGCTTGGAATGGGGCTAAATGAAGCCAACAAAATACTCCAGAAAAGTTTCAAATAATTCACCCTGCCAGCCTCCAAAATAACAACACAAATCTCCAGCCATATGCTTACTGCTTCTTCCAATTTTGGCTAATGGGTGAGCTGGACCCTATCCCGGCAAGCAATAGGAGCAGGGCAGGACACACCCTGATCGGGACACCAGTCCACCACACGGCACGCACACACACACAAGCATGCAGACACTCACACTAGGGCCAATTTCCCCGATCCAATTTATCTACTTGTGTGTTTTTGGACTGTGGGACAACACCCCAGGAATTGAATCCAGAGCCGCAGAGCTGCAGGGCTGCAATGCTAACCACTGCACCACACTGGTGACCAACACAAAACTCACATTTGGAAACTGGAACAAAGCAAATCGCATGGTGGGCACGAGCACGGAGAGGCAGATTCTGGAGCTACTGAGTCATCCTCCATAATCCACAGGATAGCTTAATGACACAGGTGAAGGTACATCTTAATGAGGCTCTTGGGTCAATAAGCAGTCAAAAATACAGGCTGACCCAGTGGCCTTTTCTAAGCGTCTTAAGTTTCTTTGTCAGGACGTCCTCACCTTGCGGCTTGGCGGCCAGAGCTTCCTTTGTGATGGACACCTTTCCAATGACATCATCTCGGCTGGAAGACAAAATGAATCAGATGTTTAACTATCACAGTCTGGGTACCTCTAATTTAATGTTTATTAAATAACTATTGCTATGTTAAATTAAAGTGTCACTACACTAATTTAAAAAAAAGGCAAAACAGTAGGTTAATTGTGAAGCTGCTGTCTGTGGGACTAATCCTGAACACCTCTAAGTCAGAATCCTCCCTAATGGTAAGATACTCCATAAACTACCACACTGCAGTGGTTTTCTTTTATTGTTTATGGCCTCCATCATTATTTGACAGGTTACATCACAAAAACCCTGCTCAAATGCCCTCTGGTACAACGCTCGGCTAAATCCGAGGAATCGGTGGCCAGGGGTGGAGGCCGTACCTGAGGGAATCCTCATCCAGAACGTGGAAGGACACTGTGTGAAAGGATGGAGGAAGGTGCACATTATATTCCTCGCCCCAAAACGGAGAGAGTGTCTTCCAAATCGTTGCCGTCCTGTAAGGAAGAGAGAGAATGAAGCTGGTTGGCAAATTTGAGAAACCGCCTGCAATGGCAAAATTCCACATGAAATATGAAATGGTGTCGCAGTGGCACAGTGGTCAGCACTGCTGCCCTACAGCCCTGGGTTCCATTTCTGGGGTGTTGTCTGTGTGGAGTTTGTATGTTCTCCCTGTGTTCCTGTGGGTTTCCTTTGGGTGCTCCAGTTTCCTCTCACAGTCCAAAGACATACTGTACTGGCAGGATAAGTGGCTTCTGCAAAGTTGGACCTGGTTGGGGGTGTCTGTGCCTGTCTGTCCTGTGATGGACTGGCCTCCTGTCCAGGGTGTACCCTGCCTTGTGCCCTTTGTTTTCCAGGTTAGGCTCTGGCTCGCCCCTGACCCTGTACTGAATAAAACAGTTTAGAAAATGGATGGATAAAATATCAAAGAGAATAACAAATGCCTTTGATTACTAAACCATGGTTTTCTTCCCAGTGTGAGCCTTGACGGCACAAAGCTTGGAATAAAGGGGAGAACATCTGACTCACAGAAGTTGGCCTAGGTGGACAACTGTGGTTCAGACCTCTTCGTCAACTCTACACTGTACCTGCCACACATAGTCCTTGGCCTGTCATGGGGGCTCCTGTTGTCTGGTGGCACAGCCTGGCTTTGAACCTGCGATTTTCCCAAGCAGCTGTGGGATCCATGCAGAGCTATGGAAGGACCTTGTCAATGGACGAATCCCAGAAATAACACTAACAGTCGCAGCCACAAGTTGGAAAACTTTGGGAAGCCTGAGCGCATTTATCCAGTTTTCCACTCAAGTGAACATGCCAATGGAAAAATTCTGGTTTTCAATCTTTGCTGTGGGGAGGTCAGAAAAGGACATGACATATCTTTAATCTATGCCGATAAGTTATTAACAACCGCACTATGTTGTATTTGGCATTTAAACAACATCTTCACCCCTTTCCAAGAAAGCAGTGGTTGAAATGTTTTTATTATCTGTTTGTTCAAGCCATGGCAACTCAAAATGCACAGATGCAGCTTGAAACTACATTCCAAGCAGCTTTTTCATTAAGGAATTAATGTCTACTCGTAAACTTTCATCATAAACAGGATCAATGTGGAAAAGAGCATGAATGGAAAAGTCAAAATGTTATTAAACCATTTAGTACGGAATCTACCAGCACACTCTAGTTAACATTAGCAAACAACACAAGTAATGCTTAGAGAGGTCATAAGTTAACCATTAATGAAGAGGGAGTGTGTTTTTTTTGCTTACTTTGTTTGGCTCAAAGTTTAATCAGCACAAACTGCTGAATTAGTGTTTTTCATTGTTGAGTGTGTGCTCATAGCTTCATTGACCTAAGAGCACACCTCTAGGGAAACATTCTCAGCAGGTGAAATATTTTATTTATTAATTGACCCAAGTACAGTGTAAAGTGTGAAAACCAGAAGCATAGAGTAGAACAGAATAGTAGAAATTGTCTAGTAGAGCTCAATAATAAAGGGCTAGAAAATAACCTCACTCAGACAGCACCCCAGGGCCAGAACTGAATCCATGATCCCACCACTGCAATGCTTACCACTGCACCATCACACAGCTTTACCTTCTTACATTAATTCTTAAATGAAATATTCAAAAGCTGATGAACTCTGATAGATCTTTTAAATATATTGTTTTATTTCATTTAGGAAATGTTTTTCATTGATTATGTTGCTACCCTTAATTCAGATCTAATTAAAGGCACAGGAAATTCTATGTGAGAACTGTATTGTGCAACTAGATTCACCACATCACGAAAACCAAGGAAATGGTGAGTTTAGGCATCACAACAATACACACAAACCACATCCCCTGTCTTACACTTACCTTATAATGGCCTCATTATCGATCCGTACAACACAGTAGGGATCACTGCTCCCAGTGCTACAGAGAAAACAGACTTTAATGAGAAACTGGTCAATGGTCAGTCTCGTCATTGTCTTTCGTGAAAATCCAGTTCCAGTGGGGGACACTCACAGTCCAATAATCAGCTCAAAAATGTTGTATCAGTTTTTGCCAAAGTATTAAAATCTGGTTGGTACTTATCTTGCCTAGGGAAGAGCAAGCAAAGCAGCTAATTTTGACTACAGCTATCAAATGAAACACAGGGCAAAACACAGAGATCCATCTAGTAGATTTAAAAGTGGATTTATTTAAAGAATGATACATATTTTTCTCACTTAATGGAACTGAACTTTTATTTATGACTGTCTGATGGCTTCCACCAAGTGCTAATTTCGAGCTAATACAACTGCACAAAAAAACTAAGAGGAACTGATGGAGAACAAAATGAAATGGATAGGTTTTTGTTATTCCTGTTTGATTTCTGCTTTTTCATTTAGACCTCACAGTCAAATGGCTGATGACATGAATCACTTCTGACTGAAAGCAACTTAGCAACACTATAACTGGTGTTCAGACAGCTGGGAGCACAACTGTGAGACAGTATTCTGAGTCAGCCTTCCAAAGAGAAGAGGTGCCTACTTCCAGAGCTCACAACACACATGAAAATACTCATTTTCTGACACTCCGTCAAGTTTCCTGCCTTATTGTCAAGAATCAAGCATAAGGTTTCAGATCTCAGCAGAAAATAGTTCTAGTGACACTTAACGCTATTTAAGGCAATGTTAGGCTCTGGGCATATACACAGCAAGGTGGTTGTAAATGAACATATTAAGAGAATATGATTATATAAATCATATAATATAATATATTTTCACAATTTAACCAACCAACCACCCAACCAAACGATCGGCGAATTCATCAATTAACCAATCAAATAGCTCTTTTATACCTCTCCAGGTCCCTAAACGCACCCTTGTTATGAGACTGAGCTCACCAATGATGTCAGGGCTGTACTGGAGTGAGTATCCCTGATAACCCCTAATAACCCCTCATCTCAGTGAAGACACGCAATGCTATCTGTGTGAATAGTTTCCAATGAATGGGTGGGGCAAGTCCAATGTACTGCCCCACAACTCCACACAGTTCACTCTTTCCAGACTTCTATCAGCTATTCAAATCAATAGAACATTCAATATTGATAGAGTAGTAACACATTTAATTTATAAATACCTATATCTAATTTATTAGTATTTTGTATTTGTGTAAAAATATTAATACATAAACAAGAGAAATAAACAGTACACTAAAGCATTTTTAATAAAGTAACACCAGAAAAGGCAACATTTCCTTTCTGTACCCATAGGTTTTAATCATGCCAAAAACTACTTTTAAAATGTATATAAGATTCTACCCTCCAGTAGTAGTTAAGCATGAGTATAATATTACATTGGTAAAAATAACAGGAACTGTTATAAACAGATGCTACACTGTAGGTGTGGGTGGACTTCATCTACATAACTCATAGCCAATATGAACGAGAAAACGGTTTTGCAGTTAATTACTTAATTCAAGAATAGTTTTTCAGCAGATATGTTGGTTTCCAATATACTGGTAACTGAGTCTCCAGATGTGGTAAGCCCCATGGGCACTGGGCTCAGCTCAGCCTGTCTCTGCTTTCAACCCTCTTTAACACACAAACTGCACCGTTCTTACAAATGACCCTTCTTGCTCACTGGCTCAACAGCAGTGAAGGAAAGGTGAGTTGTCTTTTCTGCCAGGGATTTTCTGGAGGGTGTTGCTACCAGTGAGATGATGGCGAAGTTTAGCATCTGGAGAAAAGGCTACTTCTCAGATCTCCCAGGAACAAAGTGACGGTATTGTATGGATCTCACTTTCCGGGAATGTGCGGAAAGGGCACCTGGCACCGACTGTACAGTACGTGTCTCCACTCTGAGCAGTGGGAATCAGAGCAGCCTTTGCAGCCTGGCAGTTCAAAGTCAGACCTGGACGCTGCTGAACTTCACAGCCGCACCCAGGACACCAGACACTGCTCCTCTAAAGCCCCAGAAAGGTCAGCCCAGGGAGGCAGGCTCTTTCAGCTCTCTCCCCCTGTCTCCTCTTTTCTTCCCCTACCCCCGCTTTCCCCTGGCTGCACAGAAAAAGGCAGACTGCATCATGTGTTTATACATCAAACTCGGGTGAAAAAATCGCAGGCACTGCCCTTGGGTCTGCAGTCATAAACTCCAAGAGTTTGCTGTGCTGTTTTCTGAATGAATCTCTTAATTAAAGGAGCAGCTCATTAGCATTCACAGTTCCACATGCACCTTATTCCTGGCTGGTTCTCTTTCTTGTCCCCATATCACAACACATAAATCCAACCATCCATTAACCCAGTACAGGTGTGTGTGCTGGGGGAGCCGGAGCCTAATCCGGCAAGCAACTGGTGCAAGGTGACATACCCCCTGGATGGGATGCCTGTCCACTGCAGGGCACGCAGACACTCATACCAGAGACAACTTTCCCAGGAGCCAATTAACCTACCAGTTTGCCTTTGGACTACAAGAGGAAACCAGAACAGGTGATTTGCACATACGTACAGCAGCTGACAAAGAAGACAACATGTCTCAAACAGAGCAAGTTTATCGGCCAGGAATCAAACCTTTAAATGGTGCTTAACACTTATGCTATGCTCTACACCTACGTAGAGCTCCCTACGTTACTCTCCACTTTTGGGTCTGCAAGATCTGTATGGAGCTGTTTAATATCTTTACTTTCTTTATCTCCTAAACTTCAAATAATAGTTAAGACTATTATTTAATGGGAGCAAATTATGTTTGAGGAAGGAAATGGACAAATAAATCAAACAGGACATGCAAAACAGGATATGAAAAGTAGTGTAAAATGACACACCAAGCAAGTAGTGCTGATTTAGACACATCCTTTCACCAACAGCTCACTGACATACTTCAGGCACTTTGGTGTAAGGCCCCGAGAGTCCAAAAGGAAAGCAAACAGCTGATGTTCCTTTTTTTATGGAAACATTTGAAAATAAATCGTTACCACTTCCACCCCTTGAAAATGTATGACCTTATTCATGATGACAGTTTTTCATTAACTCCACAGTTAAAATGGTAAAGGATTTTTTCCGAATAACGAACTCAGTTACCTAAACTTATTCCGGTTTAAAACAAAGGTGTCCCTTGTTTTCCCTGGAAAATGTCAGTTTCACAGGATTCCACATCATAAAAAACACAGCATCTTAGCACTTCCAAGTAATAAGACAGTATTTCTGATGAAAAGGATGATTTTGCTTATCAGTACCTTGGAAGTGATGACATGCTTCCACATAACCTGACTCGCCTGCACACAGACTGCCTGAAGCACAGCCTCATAGAAGTAGGGGAAGAACCTCCCTACGTCTCATTCCATGTCTGTTGAAGAGTCTGGGAGAGGGATTGTAAATGCCGCGTTTCTCCCCAAGTGAAATCTTATTCTTCTGGGATGTGCACTGTGGGAGTCATTAGAAGGATTTATAACCTCATTTCCATGGTTCACCCTGACAGTAATAAAGCACACATAAATTAGCCTGGTGATTCACAGAGAACTCGCTGCGCTAATTGTTTCTTTAACAAAGATTGGAGGACGTCGGGAAATGCCGCACCAGACTATGCTCCCAGGAGAGGGACAAACGATGTGCCAAGGGAATGTGGAGTGAAAATCATTATGCCCACATCTCTTCTCACAAATGCCCAATATAATAGCATGTAATGACTAGGTTACCACCTCTGCTGTGAACATATTCACAGACTAGGGGACACAAACACCAAGTCACCCTTAATCATCAATGTGTAAAGGTTTGGGTTTGTGTGAGTTCAATTTAGTAAGTTAATTTGTTCAATTAAGGCTGGAATGACCTTGTGGGGTTCTTGGGAATTGCTGTGTATCTCTAAACTACCTGACTGAACAACTCACCTGCTTCAGTGGTCAAAACAAAGGTATGGTTTAGAAACTGAGGGTGATGTTTAGTTTAGTGAGCACATTGTGAAGATACTGGCACATTTTAGTGGTATTTGTAATCCTGCAAGAGTGTGAAAAAAACAGTGAGACTGAATCCCTGTTTGATCAGTGCTACTGAGTCACACTGAGTAAAGATACATGCTTTTGCTATACAGATGTTAAGGCTTGATCATGGAGGAATCTTTCCCAGAAACCCCACAATTGGTGTCCTATGTAATCAGGTGACTCCCTTTCGTACTGCTGCAACACAGCATACAAAAGACTCCAATAAAGGGACTAATTAAGACTGGATTAATACTGTACATACAGAAAGATTTTTGTGGCACCAAAAGCAAAAAGGCCTTTGTTTAACATATAAAAAAACATAATCAAGAGCATAGCAGTTTTCATGTTTTGCTGCATAATCAGATACCCCACCTCCACACACAAACAGCAGTGGAAGCCAACACTTTCACCTAAAGAATAGGGAGAGTTAAAGAATATAGTCAACAGGACGTCAAAAACACGAACTGCTTTGTTTCAGTACTTCTCAGTGCAGTATGTGAACCAGTACGAAACCTGCCGTGCCCCAACACCTCACTGAGCCACCTTTGTGTACGTAGAACGCAAGACGAAAGCTAAAAGCAACCTCATGCTTTGTAGTACTTACAGGAGTGTCTGTAATTTGATTAGACACAAGGAAGCAACAAAAAAACTAGCAATGGTAACAGACTTGGCTATTTTATTATAAAAAAGGTACTATACAGTACAGCGCCACATACGGACGTCACCTACTGTAAATCCAATCCATTGAACTTTCAGCGTTATTGCTGAGACGTTAAATGTTCACCCACTGACTGTGGTTCCCTTAGCAAACGAAAATCGGGGTGTCTTGGGAGAGTACACCTGTTCTCAAAAGAAATGTCCAAGACACCCCGACATGCACACGGACAAACATGAAACTGGGAAAGAACAGTGAAACGGCAGCGCGCCCCTCGTCTCGCATGACATTGAAGACAGAATCGCAATAACGGTAAAATAACCCAGATGTAAAGTTACAGCACGAGAAAATCAATATATACGTACTTATTCCATACCAAATCACCATACATTATAGTGCCTGAAACAAACTTACAGCACGTATTCGACGTATTTCTATATTCCGTGTTCTACTGCCCTTAAGAGAATATCCTAGATGTCCTCGTTGTCTATTAGAAACCTATAGGTTTTTGTCGTGTTTCGTATGTAATACAGCTCGTCTTCTAAGATCAAATAAAGCCTTTGTTTCTGTTATTATCATTTTGCCTAGGTGCACTAATGTGGAAATAAATTCTGCTATGCACGAAAAGTGCAAGATTCCCTGCACTAAATCACGCCTTTACCTTAGGATAACATGTACGGGATAATACCTACAGTACATGATTTTCTCCTGATGAAAAGTGCGATTTAACGATATAAACCTGCAAATCTGCACCTTGACCCTTGTCTCAGCAAACCTTATTCATTGTACGTGTCCCGTGCATTTCACTATAGAAGGTGTGTCAATAAAACGCACTCTGGGTTAGACAAAAACGACATAAATTGGTTTAGCTTCCATGTCAAATAACATTTGACTACGCAAACTAATTTTCAAAAGAAGAACGGACGTCATTTACTTACATGTCCTTCACAGGTAAATTCTTCCCTTCCACAATTCGGATAAATAAAGTACTGCGTTTTGCCATTTGTACTAATCCGGTATGGTCGTGCAGCCGAAAATCACTACCTGGGGGGAAATACTACTTTTTTGGTGCGTCTGGTGCGGTTTGTGGAACGATATCAGGGCTGCAGTGCACCCCTTTATAAAGACAAGAGAAACAACAGCTTTGCTAATGGGATGCTGTCTTCCAGAAACAGGTCCTCTCCGTACTCTCGCACTGTAGCGATTTGCTGTGCTGGGACTATACTGCTCAATGTGTCAAATTATTTTCATTCCACTAGCACTGCGGCTGATGCCCAGAGGAAACATTGAAATATTCCAATCGCAGCACAACCGCTCTGCCTGTGAGAAATCTGATTGGCCGGCTCTGACGTTGGCGCTGGTCATGCTGGGATTTGTAGTTCTGTCATTTCCCTGACGTTTTAAGCCTTGACGATTCCTATTTCACAGGAGGAAAACCTTTCAGAATAAAAATCCCGTTAGTCAACGTAACAGTTTTGTTCAATGTAGGAGAATGTCTCGATTAAAAGTACAGTACATTTAAGAAATTATCTAGTTGAATATATTTGTTGCCCTTTGTAAAACTGTAATTGAGTCAAATCTACATAAAATCGTACAAAATTAAGTAAATCGCAAAAGCCTGTTTGTTCATTTTGTCTTAAGTAGAGAATGGCAAAGTGTGACTACAGTATATTTTCTAAAACAGTTTTCACAACAAGATCATAGATTACATGGATAGTATTATACTTCAAATTCATACAGAGGGCTCTCCCACTGAACGGTACACTCATTTTTGAACAACACTGTCGGTCTATCACACGAGTTCGGACAGGACCCCAGTGACAGCCTGTCGCTTTTCTCGATTTTAATTGCAAGCACAATCTGACAAGCTGTGTTGAGGCGCACCTGTGTCGCGGCCTCTGCTCAGTCTTAAATGTCCACACTTGAACTCGGCGCTTCTCGCGAACTGCGAGAGATCCTTCCCTCCTTGGCTGACCTCTCTGTGTTGTGTGCATCGTTTAGAGTTGCTAAGGCCAGCTCCTTCTACTGGGGGACCAGGGGACAAACGGATCCAGAGGTAGCCGTGTCCAACAGTCCTTCATCCAACAGCTCAGCTCTCTTTGCCAGGACGAGCAGACTGGAAATGGACAGGGGAAGGTATCCGCGCCAAGACAAAGCTGATTTTATACTGATAATCCCAAACTTCAAATGTACAACAGGACATGGGCTACAGGTCTCATTAGTAAAAAAAAATAAATACCAGGAGCTACCTTATTGTCAAGCCAACCTGCTCGTGTGCTTTTCTGTGATAAGAGGAGGTTTGTGCTATTTAATGTTTTTCAACAGGTGAGCAATTGTATATGCGCTGATCCCATGAAGGGAGGCAGAGGGTCTGCCAGGATTTCCAGTGTTCCGGGCCAGGGCGTTCTGGAACTGCAGAGCACAGCTCGGTGCCAAAAGCATGACCTTTCGCTCTACCACACAAACCGCGAGCCGAGGCTGCTGTGAGACTGCTCCGGGGAAGGAGGAGAGCACAGCAGACCGCAGCCGCCGGTTCAACCTCCACTCTCCAGCCGCAAGCACGATTACAAATACGCACGGGCGTGTCTCTCCGAAGGGAAAGCAGCCTTTTGGGTGGAGTCTTGCCTTTCTTCGCGGACCGTTTCTCAGACAACGTCTGTACTGTATGTCATCCTGAAGGTTTCTGGAGTTCTGGGAAATGAGTCACAGCTATTTGAAAGTATAGCGTTTTCCAAAGTATTTTGCCCTGGGGTGTAGAATTCTGGAGATATCTCCTGCTTTATTCCTTGTAATAAAAAATTGTTGAGTACACCTTTTATTTGCTGAAAAATGCTTTATTTTGGATTTGTAATATGGTTTTTACTGCAGATCAGGGCAGACTCACAAGTAACCCATTTTCCAAATCAAGAGTCACTACAAATTTACAGGACAGTTATCTCAGTCCTACAGAAACAGCCTACTTCTGTTGTTCAGTGGGGCTGCTAACACAGAGTTTTATGTCCTTCACGTCTCACTGTTGTACACAATTTAATCATGACAAAAAAAAAACATGTGATTTCCTGAGGTCTATCTGTCAAGACAGGAGACTCATTAACACTAAAAAAAGGCCTCAGTCACTCCAGCAAAGCCCTGTTGGGGAAGCCTTAGGGAGGCTGTGAGTGTTTGAATTTCTAAGGCTCAGACAGTTTCATTACACAGAGCCCATGTGAATGCAGAGATAAGGTGCCTGAACAAATGGGACCAATAGGAAATGCTCGCAACAAAATGAGATCTGGAAGGAAAGCAAGCTCAAGGTGGGCTGGGTTATTGGAGCAAACTGCTGGCCATTTTTCCAGGGGGTGCTCACTCCGGTGCACATCTGAATGACTGAAATGGGTTTGCATTTTGAAACATCTTCCTTGCCAGAGAGTAAAGAGATTAACAATTGGCGATTCCGGATTGGAAAAGAAGAAAAACATTTTGCCGGCTTCACATAAAAATACATAGAAATAATAAAAATCAACATTTACCTGCAACTTTACCTTTCCCCACCCCCAAAGTGATTCGTTTCAATGTAAAACTATTATTTTAAAAGTCTGGGCTACTGTACATTCAGTAGGTATCTTTTAGGTAGTCTAGTCATTTCTTTTCTAATGAGAATTAAAATCTTTCCCTAGTACTTTACAAGAAGTGATACGGTAGATGAGGGTATTGAGACTTTAAAGGGCTTAATTTAAATACTGGGAGGGAGAGCTTTCTTTTCTCATTATACACGGGTTTATAAATCTTGCCCTCTTTTGCTGATTGAAGGACGGGATTTCGAAATGACGCCTGGCGAAGATATGAAAACAGGAATCAGTAAATATCCTAAGCCGAAACATTCTGCCTTGAATAACAGTCACACTAGATAAATCTGAAAAATATTTATTCACATTTAAAAGGACATTATTTACAGCTCCTAAAATAAACAATATAAAGCATCTGAATGTTATCTGTGAGCATGTGGCCACCTGGCATTGGAACACATGGTCTGACTGGCAACCTCAAAGTACTCTATCTACAACCGGATACAATTTCTGCCTGAGATGGTACTTGGTATAGACTAGTACTTAGATAAACAACAGGATTGATTGATACATGCACTGATTAAAATCACTCACCCATTCCTAAAAACCTTTTTTTTATATTAGAGGCCTTAGGAAAACAGTTGGCAATCCAGAAACAGCAATGGAATGTCTTCCAAGGTTGTCTTAGGCAAGAAGTTGAGTTCTGAAGATACCCAAAGAGGAAGAAAGCTGAGATAGGCAACAGCATACTTAAATATGCATGTATCTGTAGTGCATAGAGGAGTCTTATCCGATATGTGGAATAACTTTGTGTTCACGAGGAATGAGAGCAGCCGTAAATTGTGTGAAAGTACAATCGTTTATTGAGTTTGTGGAAGCTTGGTTTAACCAGCTTGGCTGAGGGCCGACTAGCCGGCTATAGCACGGGACCCCCATGCCCCAGTGGTTATCTGCAAGATGGAGATGAGGTGGAGGAGTTTTGCAAAATGAGTGAGGAAGAGGAGAGGGTGACGTGTGGCTGCGGGAGTTGAATTAATCTGGCTGCCCTCGTCCCTCCCAGATGTTTGTTAGAGCTCCATTAACATCACTGGTCCAACTCAGAACTGTCTTGCGCCAAAATGTCTTCAGCTGTTGGTTGTTGTCATTAGCCTTGTTTGTTCTGGTTCTTTTTTGAGTAAGTGGAGTAAAATAATGAAAATTACTGGAAACCAGTGGCACTAAGCAGCTACTTTACAAGGGCTGCAGATAAGATTGTGAGGGGATAAACGCTGACAACCCTCAGGTTCAGTCTCAGGATTTTGCTGGGAAAAGAAGCAAGAGTTGCTGCTCTCGTTACCATGGAAACTCCTCCATCAAGAGCAGCGTTGCTGTGTGTTCCTGCTCATCACAATCTTTTGTGCTTTCATGTGACGACAGAAACTCAACAGACTGAGAAACTGGCAACATAGTTGACATAGTTAGCAAATAATGCATGTGCTAAAAGCATGCTTCAAGACTTCCAAAACTGCTTTGATAAGCAATGACTGATGGTGACTTAATGTCAGTGTTCATCCTGTCACTCAGTGGGGTGAAAGTTCATTACAGAATAGACTGAGAAAGATAAATGTCAATTGAGTTGTTCAGCAGTGTTGTTCAGCTAAAGGAAATGTTTATAAACTACTGTCTATTTAACATAATGTAGTGTGGGCAGGGAATGATCTTCAGTCAATACTGTCCAGTCAAAGATTAACTAAACCAAACAAGATCAGTGATCCCATGGAACACAGCTCATCTTTCCAATGGAGGCTGGAGGACCACACCATTCTTCCCTGGGGGATGAGGCGATGGGTTCAGATGAGATGAGGAGAGATACCAGATGCTTGTGAGTAGACGTTATGTTGGGTGCTGTACCTCCTGACACTGAATGAGCCAGGAACCAGGTCTGTTGTGATGTCCTGCTTCTTGCTGAAGACGCTTGAACTGTGGGGACAGATTGTGTGAAGTTTGAGTACGATCAGCACATTGAAAAGTGAAGTTCACATCTAAATCCTAAAGCCAGACACTAGTAAACCTGGATAAAAAAAAATGGTGTCACTACGAGAGCCAGGCACATTGCAGATATTAGGAGTTCAGATGCAGCAGAAATACAGACCTGAAAATAGATGAGCAAGTATCACATCATCAGACAGTTGTTACAACGACAAGCTCCACCCTAAAAAGTGGTGCGTACTTGAATGGAATTGTGTAAAAAATGATGAGGACTTGTTGAAAGTACATAGCTGGTTTCAAACCATAAAGATTCAGGTCAAGCCCGGGGCTGAGTCACCAGACCAGGGTGAGCATTTGAGCAGTGGAGCTTGAAGACTCACCCGCCCAGCAGCAGCGCTGCCACCAGCAGCAGCAGGATGGCCAGCAGGCAGGAAGTGATGACTGTGATGACCACCATCCCTCCAGAGCGCTTCCATGTCCAATCATCAATGGAGGAGCTGGGCATCACTGTGGTAGACACAGACACATTGCTGAGAGATGACCATCTACCACCACAAGGCCCTGCTGAGCCCAGAGAAGAGCCCCTTTAACCAGCTGATCCTGAAGCTGACTGACAACAGCCAACCCCAGGACAGCACAGCTGCAACAACACAAATGAACGTTAACCAAATCCGGGCTTAAGCCAAACAACAGTGCCTTACCTACTGGGACGCACACACACACAAACACAACACACAACTGGAATGCTTTAGGACCAAGAAAAGACAATACATGTTAGCTGAGTATCTGACCAGGCTAAGAGACAGCAGAGAGAAACAGACCCTGACGAACTACAAGCTCAGTGACCACAGTCTGGCCATAGAAATTGGGCGACAGACAGACATGGCTGCCCAGAGAGGACAGACTGTGCTCCCACTGCCAACAGGGAGAAGCATAAACAGAGATGCACTTTTCTGCTACACTGCAAGAAATACTTTGGCATTAGACAAACATTCTTTCCTAAAATAACAAATCTAAACCCAGAACAACTTCCAGTCCTACCAGGGGAGGGGAGAGGAAACTGCAGCCCAGTATGTGATCTACTGTCACAGCCTCTGGAACAGACACTGTCTGTGTCTGGTCTTAGTGTAACTGAGCATGTTTGTACAGTACATAAATCTGAAAGACCAAGAAGGACTTTTAACACAAATGAAAATCTACTTTTTTGGACAAAAATGTTTCCTGTGGATTAAAATATTTCTGGATGCTTACAGTCTGTTTTAATGTAATTTTACAGCAAATGTTGTGCTAAATGTACGGTATATGCTTTGGCAGCAATGTATCTCATCAGTCATGCCAATAAAGCTCTTTGTAGCCGTTTAGAGATTCCTGATATATGGAATTATTTGCCATGTGGATGTATAGGCTTGGACAGAATGTAAAGAAAGACTAAATACTGCTCATCGGTTCCATCTAGTGGTTGTCCTACTGTACTTTTGACACACTGTGGCTTTGCTGGTACTCTGTGAATTGCTCTACAGCAAAAGGCGACCTGTAAGAGACTGGAAGAATTCATTTGCTATTTCGGAAACACTGTGTCTCAGTGGCCACAACAAGTCGAGGTGTATCTAGTGCACGGAATACTGGAGAGGCATTGAGGTAAAATACAACCATACAGGTAGGATAAGGTGAAAAAGGTAGTTACATGATATGAGAGTGATAGGAAAGGACCATTTTGTCTCGTAGGACACTCTCCTGTTTTCTGGGTCAATGAGAAGATACTTCACTCTGAAAACACAAAGAAATTCACATATGAGCTTACTGACTCTTGTGGCTGTGTGGTTAACTTTTTTCAGACCTGATTTTGGTCTGCTAACAAGAGAACAGTTAACCACAACAGCCACAACAGTGCTCCCTTCTTGGGTGACATTGGAAATATCCCACACGGATTTTACCTGGCAGTGGAGCCAGCAGGCAGAATTCCATTGCAGGTGGGAGTGCTGCAGTTGCCTTCAGCTCCCACTCGGAAATACCTGATGCCGGGGAGCTCAGCACAGAGGAAGTTGTTCTGGACCCCCAGTCTGGTGACGTAGTAGTTCTTGTTCTGGAAGGCCTCGGGATATGGAGAAGCGCTGACGATGTCGAACGAGGGCTGGACCTTGTCCGTATCGAAATTGTTAACTCCTGCTTAAGGACGCAGAGAGCAAACACAAGCTGTGCGGAAAGCCAATAGCCCCAGGTGAAGTCGCTTTGTTAAACAGTCCAAAACATTTTTTTTGCTAGTTTCATAGTTGTTGTGTATGAGATTCACATAAAAGAAGACAGTTTATTTTACTTATTTCCAGAGAGGGGTACTTTATTGTGTTGGCAGCCTGGCTCTGTACTCTTTCACACACAAATCAGAGACATTACTTAAACCTTTACAGTTTGTTTTCAATGAGGGTCCTTTATAGTCTCTAGATCAAGGAAACAGGCTGGTTATTCCAGAAGACGGGGATTATAACCCAAAACCTGTTTTGGAAACATATTGAGAAAAGCAAAACTACATACTGGACAGAATGACAATTTATCACCCAGACCAATGATTACTCTACTGTTAAATCAGAATTAGTCGGCACAAAGTAGTAATTAAGGATCTAGACACCCAAACCAGGGGGTTTTGAACTCAAGCTCTCACTATTGATATTTTGCATTTGATTCTGCTTGCTCCATTCCTTCCAACTGCATTGCTTGGTACCAGCCTTGCAATACACTAGCATTCAATCCCACAGCTCCCTCTGACCCTGCTGGCATTTGGCCTTGTCGTCTCTGAGTATGCACAGAGCCACTTCCTGGACAGCAGATTACTCCGTGCCATACCAATAAACCAGGTCCTTTGCTTTAGCAGAAATTCACACTGTCCTTATTTCAAAAGGAGTGACATCACTTCTGTAACTCGATCAGTGTACTGAGCCCTGTTGTACACACACTCTGTGCGCTTCGTACTCTAACAACCAGGGTACACTCCAGCCTACACACTTCTCCTGATGAAATCTTATTTCATAACAATATCGTTCAGAGGGGTGTTTATTATTAAATATTTTGCTTTGGGCTATCCATGAACAACAAGCGCGCATCTTGAACAGGAACCCATGTCCTTTGCCTTATCAGTAAAATGAGACATTCGCTGTAACCATGGATATAGAGAGCAAATTTATTTCATGAGATCCCACTGAAATTAGTTCTGCTATCTTGACAGTTCAATCAGGTAAAGGCATGGTATTAGTTAATTATAAAAGTCACAGTTGTGTGGCAGTGAACCACGTAGTTGGAGTTGGTTTTTAAATGGTCTCAAAATTCATTGGAGATAGCTGTTCACCTATCATCAAATCCAAAACTCCTTGCAAATGTTAAGCACAATAAAACATCTCAGTTTTTCCCAATTCCCCAGAGTGTTTCCCAGGTTTAGCATGCTTTTACCAGATAACTCTCCCAGATAACTCTTCACACAGTTTTGCCATACTTCCGTGTTTCACTTTATCTTTACCACATGGCTTACAGGATCATTTGTTACACTTTCCATGGTGTAACAGAATAAACATTTATATTGGAAAATACTTGGCACTTCTGAGCCCCTGCTCTGCAGGTATCAAAAAGAAATGAAACAAATCCAATTGGATATAAGAAGAATTGTTATAAAGGGATGGGGGAGGGGATTCAGATTAATCCAGGCAAGGAACTCGTGCTCTTTGGGTTATTTCTGCGAAAAAGTGTAATTTGAAACTAGACAGCACTTACCTGCTTCTCTGGCAACAGCTAGCCATATCTCACAGGTGCTGAGGCTGCAGTTCAGGCCCTGCTGGTTGCTGAAGTAGCACAGGGGCTGCCTCAGCAGGAAGGTTGTACCGGTGAGCCTGCCAGCCAGTTTCATGGGAATGATCTCTGGCACGTAGTCCACTGAGGGGACTGCTGCAGTAGGAGGCAGGAACAGTCAGACCTGAGTTCGCACGTGATGAAAGTCTGTGATATGGGCCACTCAGAAAACAAACAGACCTCACTTGAAAAGGATATTTGTGCCGCCTACTCTGTCCATCGCTTCTTACATGTTTATCTCCTGACATGGTCTTTTGGCTATGTTTGCAGGTGTTCACCAGCTCCAGTTTGCTTTAGTATGGTTTCCCATAGTTTAATTCGGGTTTATCGCACTACTCTGTGCTTTGCCATCTCAGCATAATTTCACTACACATTACAATGCTATTAATATGAGGGAATATAGGACCTATATTGATCTTCCTGCGTGGATTTTTCTGTGACATTTCTATCCTATAAAACAAATATATGAAAAGACTCCTCAGTGCTGAATTACCGTAAGTTAATTAGACAGGAGATATATCTCTCTGTTGCACATATTGGCTTCAGCGCTTCAGCAGTGGGCCACAAAGCACTGCGCTGTCTTTCAGTTTCCTGTCACGTTTTCTCCCACTTATACCTCGGGGAATATTGTCAGAAATGATTATTGCTGGAGCAACTGGCGAGTAGGTGAGCACAATGCATGATCAGGGCAAAAGCATCACACAGGACTGGTACGATTCTGAACAGACTCCTTGAAGGTGTTGGGGCGAGAAAGGAGAAATTACATTTATGATGCACAACGCTTTGCAGCACATTGATAAAACATTTTGAAGCCTTAACACTAATATCAGATTCAATTTTGTTTTTTGTCACTTACATTTTTGCAGATCTGTCAGTAACTGTTTTGAAGATACAATTTAAACAGAAGGAAGGATTTGCTCATGACAATAAAATATTGTGAATGAACGATTTCTAATGAGGGTTTCGACATTGCCTCAATCAGTTACATTATTTCAGCTTTAACTTCCTGAATCCTAGCTACAAGATAACTACCTTTCTTGTTTTATACAACACAAGATCTTGAAACCATGTTTGTTATGTTTCAGGATCTATTGTTAATGCTGTACGAATGAGCTATAAAGCATTAGGACAAATCTAACACATTGCCAGTTCTGACACAGATACTGTTTGGTAATGGTAACTTGAGTAAACCATTGTTTTCTCTTTTCAACACAGATTTTGAAAAATACTTTAAGTATTCCAATTCCTTCAGATAAGGTATAAAGAAACTACTTCATGCTTTATGACCTAACAAGACCATGAGGAACCAAAGACATACATACATTTCTTGAGGGTAAATAAATTATTATGAACTGCATTTTTACTAACAAATCTTGAAATTAATTACCTGAATCCTATGATTCTTGGGTGTTTATTTGTGCTAGTGTTGTACTGAATTTGGGCTTAGCTTCTGTCTGAAGGACACAAAAAAGAAAGAAATGACTGTCTAGGCCGGAAAAACCAGTTTGCCCTTTTTTTTTTGTTTTCCTCCAAGCTCTTTCCGAGAACTGTCTTCCCTAATCCAACACACAGACTCCAATCACACGTCCTCGGAGACTGTCTTTCACAGAAACTCAGTGTGGCTTGTCCTGCATTCGGTCAGCTCAGAACAATACTCTTCTCAGGTTGCTGTGAGGAGCAGCGGCTGATTTAATTATACAGGAGGCCCTTTTCTTCCTTTTCCTTATTAAATCTCACGTTACAGCAATGTTTTAACTGGCATTCTGTTGTTACTTTAATACTGACTGAACACTGATCTGCGGCATTAAAACAATGTCAAGACTGAGCTTCACAGAAGTAGCTGTAACATTTTAATATAACCAACTGTTAGATTTCAATGCGTGTGTTATGCTGTGACCATCATTGAATTGGGCATTTTGGCTGACTACAGGAATAGCTGGGCTGACAGTTTCAGTTTCTGCAATAATGCTCTCTGTTGTACTGACCATAACATGGCCTAGTGCTCTGGGCAGTGTACATACCCCGCCCTCTACATCAAACAGACATGTTCGTTTAAATTAGAACAACTGTGTCTTGCACACCAGCTTAGCATAGCAAACCTTCAGAGTGTCCTGCTCCTTCAGTACAGTATACTCTACAACACTGTGAAGTGTATTCAGCAAGTCCTCTGCTCTATTTCTCTAGAGCTTATAACTCATGGTATCTATATACCTCTCAATTCAGAAGACACCATTCACGCAGAATTAATAAGGTACTGTATGGTAAAGTTACTCTTTTAGACGCAGTCCTCCCGTACATACCACCATAGCTATTGTATCTCTTTCCACTGTTGAGAAGTGAGCTTTAGTTACAACGTCCCTGGTATGGCAGGAATAAAACAGGACATCGCTAGTCATCCATAAAGAACACATTCCGTTGTAGTCTGTTAACAACACTATTCTCGGATAAAGACTAAAATAAGCTCCCCCCCGAACCTCGTCTATCCTGCCACGACTTCATACTGTAAGTCCATGAGGAATTAAAAAGCAATTATAAACAGGGTCCAAGTCGTTATGTTTGTAGTTCTTAAATATACCAACCAAAGGCAACCGACTGACGTCAAGCAGTGGTACAGTATTTAGGTACTGAATAACTACACTAATAGAACCGGTAATCAAGACACAAAGACGCAGCTGGAGCTGATGAACTACTTACTTTGAGCTTGGCTGCCAAAAAGCACGGCGATAAAACACAACTCCAGGAGAAGCATGACAATCACTTTTTTTTAACTTTCTCTCCAGGAAAGTCAGGTACAGGATAATGTCGCAGGTCTTCTTTTAAAATGACAGTTCCGTTAGACAGGCGACACCTGAAGTAACACTTGTTACGCACCGTATCCGTTAAACTATGCTTGGCCTCGCCTTCTTCTAGAATTTCTTTGCTACCTGACTGCTTTGCAGCGTCACCTGAGTACAGTACAACAGGACAGGGTGGCGGAGGGGGTGAAAGCCACATGTTTTTTAGCGATTAATTTATTTTGATTTATTTCTACCCCAAGCCCACGGGGGAGGAAACAAAGACAATTACATAATTAAAAAAAAACATACACTTCTTCCAGAGATACAATGTATATTACAGTGTTTCAGTCAAAACAAAAGTATGAAAAATAAACAAGGGGAATAAGAAACTTAGTCGCTAGACACCACTATCGCATCTTTACGAGGGTCCCAAATCGCCCGAGTAGTGATATAGACAGAGAGCTGACGAGCTGTGGGCCAAGCAAAATAGAATTTTAATTCCCATCCAAACACAAGACAATTAATAACAGGCTGTATCCACCCTCTCTGAATAGTCTTTGCTGCAATCATCCCTGCTAAGAGAACTCGCTTGGATTATCGTTAACTGAGATCAGAGCGTAACAGTCAGGTGACCAATACCTAAGTTATAGCTCTACACAGATCCCGCATAGTTTCAAAATGTATTAATTTTGAGAGGCTCCCAAAACGTGTAAACCTGTTCCCGTTACCTGGACTTACAGAGCTGACAGCCAGGATCTGTTTATAACCTCATCCGAACTCTCCTAAGAGGAGTAGCATGGGCCCTGTGAATAAACGTGAAATGTAATGCTAATGCATTAAGCAAGTTTTTGGAAGATGCAAAAAGCAGATGTTTTGAACACAGGTATGACTATACAGTATGTGGTCCAGCAAAGGAACAAGCCTGTTTGGTAATTAATACTTAATTGATCCAAGGATCTCTTCCAGCAATTACATTTCAAGATGCCAGAGTATCAACTTTTAGTTTGTAGTGAGACATATTCTCTACACAATCGCAGGGACACACAAACACAGGACACATTTTTTTTATCTTATATTGATATACACTGTATTATGGCATATCAAGTAGTCCGAGTGTGCATTTACATTTATATAAACCTATACCCGATGTGGAGAAAATACTAAAATACACATAGGTTTTAACTTAAATTCAGCATAGCTCCCTACAGTAGACAACAAGGTTTAAATACTGAATAAATAATGAGACAGCTGAGAGTGGAGTAAATAAAAATCCCAGAATGCCAGAACAACCCCTTAAATACAAAAACAATCAATAATGGATCAAGGTGTGAGTAATATTTTCAAATGATGTGCCCCAGGTTTATTTTAAACTATTCAGTGTAATGCTTTGTATGATGCTAATGTTGCTGTGGGACAATAGAACCCTCAAGTGGGGATTTTAACAATGTATATTATGTTCAGTGCACATGTCAGTTTTTTCACTGTGAGATTAAATATTTTCCCACTGCAACAATAACACACAACTCAATAATGATATTTATACAGATTTCCAGTCGAAGGTTAATACAAAAAACCTCTCACTGCCCATCCTTCATAATATAAAAGATCGCACAACCAGTTTACCCTTTAGTTCCTTAAGATTTACAAAGTGAAAGAACTCATTTTCAAGTCGTAAACACTATTTGCTTGCTCATGTTCTCCATGTTCTCCAATCTCACAGATTGCTGGATTGCTCACAGAGATGGGTTCCAGTTCAGGCTGGACTGTCTGTCAGTGGGACGTGCTCTTACACTGGTTGTAAACCATAGACTGACCGGTACTTTGTGAGATGTGTCCTCTGGGTGGCATATATGCCTCATTGTATCATACTCATCTAGGGCTTCTGTGTCTTCAGACCTTCCCTTCAGAGGCTGTTTTGTGAGTGACTTAGAAATCTGTTACAGCTAGATGGTCAGACATGGGGTGGTAAATGGGTAAAAATAATTACAAATTTATCGATTGGAAAATTCAACGGCATTTTTGCGGAATCAAGGCAACCTCTCAAAACGACACCTCTGCGAGTTGTTTGTCGGCTCATCTGGTTTAAATAGGGTTGGCATAAAGACCATCATTTTGCAAGTTATGAGTCTGATAGTTCTGGATGCTGTTGGAGTCCTGAAGCTCTGGAATGTCTTCGGGGAAGGAGTATTGGTTGGGCATGCCAGGTTCAATGTACCTTTTAACTCCATCCTGTACTTTCTGGGACTCTTGGGGCTGGGTTCTTTGTAAGTTGTGTGTGTCATACTTCTTGATCCGTAAGGAGCCCAGTTTGGCTGGGATACCTTCTTTGTGCTGCTTCCAACACCTGTGTCTGCTGCAAAGATAGAGACAGAAGAGTTAAGCTAGTGCTTGGGCTATACTTTTACAGGTGCTTTTAGTTTTTGAAAAAAGACATCTTTCATTTTCTCTGCAATGGGTTAGTGATGTTTTTGGCCAATGTTGTCCTCTATACATACTGTACATCAGGTCATATTATGCATATTATGTTGGATTTTGATTAATAATTAGTGCTAAGCCTCTTTAAAAAAAAACAGATGTTTTCTTTTCATTAGGGTTTAATATGACTCTAGAAACTGGAGAACTATCACCCATCAGTTTCCTTCCTAGTACTGGAGTACATTTTTCCTTTAATTAATTATTTTATCATCTTATAACCGCAGCCCTAAGACTGGTGCAAGGAATAACGGCCTGATTAACTCTTAGGCAATAAAACTAGAATGTGGACTTCGCAAATGAAAGACTTTTCAAAGATCTGCGATTTATCCAACTTACTTGGCATAGATCAAGCCTGCAATGAGCAGCAGCAGCAGCAGGAAGAGAAGGACACTCAAGATAGAGGTGATGACAATCATCCCTGCAGAGCGTTGCCTGATTCCATCAAAGATGACCACTGGATCCGTCGCTGCCGAGAAATGAAGGCCAGGATTCAGTGATTGTGCACATTTACCCTGTTGGTGTTGGGTTTTGTGGTTATGAATGACCTCACTTAATTTCTAGAGTGACTGCCTGGCTACATCGAGAGCAGAATCTGTCTTGCAGTACAACTGTGTGTTGAACTGGTTCAGTTCAACTGAAATAGGTCTGTCAAAAAGCTAAATTGACATGACAACAACATTTGTTTTAAATTCTTAAAAAAAACAGAAAAAGAATGAAACTAAATGGGCTTTAATTGCAACTATTTTACTCTTCCAATAAAACAATGTCTTAGCACAGCAGAAATCACAAACACAGTCCACTCCCTGCTCTGTATTCAGCACAGATACATATGTAGCTTTAAAATATGTATTTACATGAATAAGAAAAAGACCAAAAAGGACTTACAGCTGTAAAGAGTAATATTTTGAGACCAATAGGTTTCTGTGGTCACATTTCTGCTCGCTGGGTCAACGAGAACATACTTCACCCTGGAAATGACAAAGGAGTAATGGTTTAGTTATTTTCAGCTTTGCTTAATGATTTTAAAAGACTCTTGAACTTGGCTGTCTTGTACAGAGAGAGACATTAAATTCTAAAGCAAGATCCATTTGCTCTTCCACACACAAATATTAATACACTACCTCATGGGGCGAAAACCAAAATGAAAAAGTTTCAAAATGAATACCAGACCAAAGTGTTCCTTTTCACTCTAACCTCGAGTAAATGCAATTTACTTAGATCCCATTAGGGGGCAGAGTTTGTCATATAATGACCAGAAGGTGCCGTGCAGTCTTCTAGTTTACATTTTATTCACTTAAGTATACTACTTAATCTTTATTTTTAGTATCAATGACAAGAAACCTACTTGTGGCACATTAAAGCACCGTGCATCCATGGTTTTACTCACATAAATCATGGTGGGCCCCGAAAGAGATCAATACCACCGCTAACAAGCACAACATGTGGAATCTATTGCTTTGATTGATATATGATGAGCTCAGTGTTGTTGTGATGCATTATAGACATGAAGCTTGGCAGCACCACAGGGATGCTGCTTACCAGATAGAGTGAGCGGAGATACAGTAAGAGAGCTTTACTGAGCCGTTCTGTGTCTGGATTGGAATAGGGGTTTGAAGGATTGACTGGATCCCAGTGAGCAGATTACCTGACAGTGGAGCCAGCCGGCAATATTCCATTGCAGTTGGCCGAGGTGCAGTTTCCTTCATCCCCGACTCTGAAATATACAATCCCATGGGATTGCTGACAGGGGAATACCTGCTGACGTCCCACCTTCGTCAGGTAGTAGTTCTTAGGGGGGCTGCCGGTGAAAGCAGTGGGATAGGGAGATTCACTGAGGATGGTGGATTTTCCCTTGTCTGCATCGAAGTTTTGGATTCCTGCTTCCCAAAAGATAAAAAGAGGTACTTGTGTGAATATGTGGCATCTAATTATTACAGACTGAACATTAATAATAACAACAGTAATGTATATGGGACAATGATTCCTGGGCGGAACGTCTGCCATTGTCATACATGGACAGGCTAGAGGTGTAAAATCTGGTGAGCAAAGGTGATTGAAAAGAGATTTTATGTAGATGCAAAATACCAAGTGATGCAGAGACGGACAACCCAGGGGACTGTTTCAAAGTCAGGAGTGCGAGGGGGACACAGGTCACAATTGGAAACTAAAAGGGAATTTGTTTATTATAAACAATCCGAAACACTTCTTTGCACAAAGAGTTGCTGGTAACTGGCACAGGCTTCCCCACCAAGCTGTAGAGGGCCAGACTCTGGATCTTTTTAATAAACTCCTGGAGGAAATTGTAGTTTCACTTCGCATGAGTACCAGAATCGCAAAAAAGAGTTTTTTGCTGCCTATTTTATGCTCATCTTTTCTTTTGTTCCTCCCCTGTTTATAAGTTTAGATCCATTTTCTTTTGATTTTTCAAGCCGAGTTCCATCCTTCCTACTGCTCTGTGAAAGGGAGACTTTGACACTCGGTACAAGGAAATACTATTTCACAGGCCACATACATCCTTACCGTTATCCTAACTATAACTCCAAACTCCGATTTCTGCCCACTGGGGCAGAACTCTACTCCCAAACACAAACAGTAATCCTCTAGAAATTTTGAAACTGTATGGTAGTGAACCAGTTCTGGGTGCTACCCGTTCATTCAGGTGGTCTGACTGCACAGCCTGTGTCCATGTCAGATTAAACAGACCATTACATGTGTTTTTTTTCTGAAATGGCAACCTTTCCCATTCATCCCATTCTTTCCCATTCTTAGTCTATGCTGGCCCTGGGAGTTTCCTGCAGCAGCAAAATCCACACACATTTCGTGAAGAGTGTCTTTTACATGGCGAGTGCTTGCTCTAACTTGGTGGACACTCAATTTTTTAATTCCTCTGGAATACTCAAGAGATTAAATTAAGCAGGATCGCTACTCACCTGAGCCTACAGCGGCCACCAGCCATATCTCACATTTATCTGGGGTGCAGGGCAGAAGGAGCTGGTTGTCAAAGTAGCACCTGGGCTGTTTCATTACCATCGTGGTGCCAGTAACCCTTCCAGCCATGTTGTAGGCGGTGATCTCTGGGGTGTACTCCACTGAAGTCACTGCAAAGATCAGAGATTTAAGCAGCTTGCATACTGAGTTAATTCTCATTGTGTGTTTAATTTCCGTGCCTTCAATGATCCATTTACATTTGCTGGCACTTCCACCTTCTCACACTGCGATATGGGAGAAGGTGATGGGCATTCTACAACAGACACAGTATAGATACAAGAAGGCCAATAACTGAGTATCTCATATAGACAACTGTGAAAAATCTTAGCAGCGGTTCCTTGCCTACAAATAATGGTGATTGTATCAGAGGACATGGACGTGGGATCCACTATGTCCCACCCAAAACCGTAGGAAATAGACAATTACCGTGTTTCCATAGAAGATTGACAGCTCTTGCCAGGTAAATCAGAAAAGACCCTTTAATCAGAGTGTAACCTCATTTTAACTGAAGTGAATTAATGAGGTTCTGAAGGCTAATACAAAACAGACAACACTTAACAATTACATGACTCACTCTACAATTAGATTTCAGATTTAATTACCATACCAAGCAATAACTAACAATGTTGAGCTATCCTAACGTTAACCTACCTTTAATTTGATTTTATCTGGTCAGAGGGTGGATGAACAGACAGACAGACTGACAAACAGAAATTGTCTTTGTGTAGATGCACAATGGGGAGTATTGAAAGTTGTATATTAGTCAAAGAACAAAAATGATTTTAGATACATATGATAAATTAGGCTCAGCTCAGACAGATAAATTCCACTGAGTTAATTGGAAGGGCTTTAACACGTGAACACAGCTGGGCCACAAATCATTAATCTGAATTTGAGCCCATTATCATTCAGTATCACAGAAAAACAAAGGGAAAAGTTTTTTTTTTACTATATAGCATAAATCATGCATCTTGGCTATTGAGTTGTAAAGAAAACAGGATTCTGTGTATGATGATGTATCTAAATGTTAACTCTGAAAACTCTTTGAAAGTCATTGAATCCAGCCTGGCCTTATGTCTGAGAGAGAAACTCCTTAAACTCCGCTGGTAAAAGAAAGATAAATGAATATATGAAGTTCAAATGAAAATATGTTATGCTCTTTGGATTCTATAACTAGATTGTTGATAAACCTGTATGATCGGTAAAATTGTACTTTTCTGTTACTTGTTTCTGTCTGTTTTTGTTGTGAGCCATAGGCAACCACACCATTTAAGAATTGTTGTTAAACAGGACATGTGTAACTCCACTCACAGAGTAATTATCGATCAGTGTCTTCACACAGGTGCAGCTCACAATACACAGGTGTGTTAGTTAGTGGGTGCGCCACAGGACCGACAGGTGCTGCAGTAGCGCGTACAGTCATGTTAGAGAGACTGTTGCGAGAGAGATGTGAGAAACAGCAAAACTACAGCAAAAAAAACAAACACTATGGCAAAAAACACCTAGTGTCAGAGAAGTGTGTGTGTGAGAGGACAAGGGGTCACAGAGGAGCTTGTCCTGTCTGCTCGCAGTCACAAATAAGACTGCATTTATTTAACAAATACAACTCAACACAATCT